TACTTTTTTTCATAACCGGTGCCTAGTATAATATCAGATTGTTTGCTCTGGTACGAGCGTAATTTGATTGCAAAAAAGGTGAAACTTGCAGTATTAAAATTTCATTCAGTTATGTTTCGAATGGTAAAAGTCACGTCGCTACACTCCGACATCTCTAATTTACTTTTTTCATCATTGAGTATAATGTGTGTAGCACTTATGCTACTCTTATCCTACTAATGTAAGATGGGTTTTTAGTATTCTTGAGACATGTCAAATAAAAAAGCATTCGTTATCTGCGAAGAATTATCGGCTCACTGTTTGTGGGCATACTTGGGATATTCAAGGTCTTTGGTAGTTTCGTAAGTAAACATGTTTTATAACTTTGTGAACTTTGACAAACGGCAAGGCAAACATACGACGCGCAACACTGTGAATAAATAGGAATTCTTTGACTGTGAAAGGTTGACATTATTACCATATACAATACGACAAATTTTGAGAATACAATAATCAGAAAAAATGGAAAGAAAGTGTGGTAAATTCGGTACAAAGCATAATTTCCTGTATTTACAATGTAATGTATATCCAAATTAAGTGTAATTCTGGTAAGAGTATTTACAATTTTACTTTATAAACAAGTCAAATTAGGTTTGGTTAGTAATAACTGATCCGATGTGGTCCATTTGGAATGTTTTTCTTGTCGACAGAGTTCTTCAATGTGTTCGCAAACACTTGAATTTTCCTTGAGAGATCGTTGTCTTCAAATTCGTTGAGGTTTAAAGCAAAATCGTTGTTAATCCACTGGATTTTCAGACCCGATTTGGAGTAAAGAATCTCGATTTGCTTGGAGTAAAGTCCGTCTTCGTGTTGAAATCGGAGGAAGTCTTTCTTGGATTGGATGAGCCAAAATTCAACAGTAAAGTTGATATCGAATTTGGAGTTGAAAGTGAGTTCGGAGTAGTCCTTGAATTTTCTTGCGTATTTTAAGAGTTGAGTGTAGTCGAAGTCACGGAGGTGGGATGGGGCCTAAAAAATATAGCTGAAGAAAAGTGCAAGTGTCCGAATGGGATGTTATGGGAAAAACTTTGGAAATGCATGAGATATGCCGGCGGTTTTAAAGAAAATTGGCTCATAAGGGAACGGTGCCAAGTGTGACGCTCAAATTTTCTTCAAGTTTTGCACACCCTCCGGACATAGGCCAAGTATCAACTCTTAAAATTTTAGCTCCCGCTCTATCGAGCGCCGAGATATTCAACGGTCTTTTCCGACAAGAGAGTAAGCAAAACTCCGAGAGCGGTCAGACCGAAAAGCATGTTTTGGTCATACCTTTGCCAGCTTCGTGCAGAAAAAAAATTGATTTTTTTTTGGAAACAGTATAAATAAGCTCAAAGCTTTTCATGCCAAAATTCATAAAAAAAACTGTCATAATTTGCCAAGTTCCGGCCTCCAAATCTCGTTCGTTTTTGTAAATTTCGAGCCAAGGAGTCAGTCTTGCATAATATCTTTGAAAAAATCATTTTAAATTTGAGCCAAGTCTCATCAAAATCTGAGCGTCGCACTTCTAGCACCATGACTACAAGCCTCAATTGAACTTACAATTTGTTTGTCGCTGAAGACGATTTTCTCTACATCCTCTCCATGCTTCTCAAACGTCGACAAAACCGCTGCCGTCTTCTCCAGCGAATCCGATTCCCATCCGAATTTGAGCTCTTTGATATTCGAATTCAGTTTGAAGTCTCGGCTAAAATAAGATGCAAAATTTAACGCAAAAAGTCTTCTTTACAAAATTTGAATGACTAATTTTCTCGCATTTTTACTTACCGCAGTTGATTGAAAGTGATGTACGAATGAGCTTCAAGATCAAATCGGCGGATGTTTTGGGCGAGCAAGGCTTCGACTGGACGAACCTCATCAACTTCCCGAGTCCTCTCGAGCAAAGAAAATTGAGTTGCAGAGTCGTTGAGAGACTCGCTCTTTGGCGGTCGGAGCCCGTATATTTTACCGTCTAGAAAGAGCACAAAGAATTGTTTTTAAATATCAACTTTAGTAGCAGCACTTGATGAACTTACTGATTCGAAAGACTGGAGATCCGCAGTATTGCAACGAAACGGGTGGAAATTTGGAATGCTTCAAGATGGCTTGATTGCAGCGAAGTTTTTTCAGCGATTTCGCAGAATTGGTAATGAGTTGAGTGGCGTTGTTTAAGACGGATTTCAGCTCTGGATTTGTGGGATGGACTGGGGCTATGCAAAGCTGTTCTAGCTCTGAAAAGATAGAAGTAAAATACGTGAAAAAATGTGTCATAAAAAGGCTTACTAAAATTTGATATGCTACATAAAGCAATGTCAAAACAGAACAATGAATTTGTCATGGCTATCTGTCAAGTTACAAAAATGATAGCTTGTGCTTTGTAGACATGGCCAAGATAGATATCTTCCAAGATCTTTCAAGAAATGGTCGCCATTTTTTTGGAGTCAAAAAAACTTTTGTAGTAGGGTCCTTTTGCCCCGAAAATCATTGTTTTTTTCGGTTGGAAATGAAAGATGTCTATTTTTTTAATGATGATCTTTCTTGCTCCAAGATGTCCTTACCAGTAAATTCGGCAGTATAGATGGTCCATTCTGGGAAAGACGACATATGAAAGACTTGCAAGGCTTGAGGTTTCCATTTGAGCAGACCGGCAGCTCGGAGCCGCTTTAATTCTGGGAATTGGCAGTAAATCCGGTGAAGCTTGTTTTCCAGGATCAATGAGGACGATTTCTCTATAATTCAGTTGATTGTGATTTTAAAATGTAGTATAAAAACTTTCTGCGTATCTTAACAACTTCTTTGGAAAATTTTAAAAATTGCCCTATGCTTATACAGTTATTTTTATTTGCAATGGCTCGCTGTACGGTCTTATCAAACAAATTCTTACGTTGACCTACCATTATCTCCCGTTACGATGACTTGGAAATTACTTTTACACAGGTAAACATTAATAAGACGTTGAAATTTTTTGTTGACCAGCTGAAATGATAGATTAAGCAAAGTTTCATCTTCAAGTCCTGAAATTTACATTTTTTGTCGGTGATCTCACTTACAGCCAATTTTGCGACGTTTTTTGAATCAAATTGCTTTGCATAAATCTCGTTTAACGGCTCTTCAAAGCATCTATATTTAATAGAAGGAGCGTTGGAAGTTGAGTCGAATTCGGACCATAACTGATGCTCTACTAGGATACGTCGACTCTCCGGGAAAAGAGTCGGCTTGGACATCAGAAATGGGGAAATGGCTGAAAAGAAGATTGGATTAATTACTGAGTTCATGGTGATTGAAAATTAGATATCTTCGATTAATAATTAACGGCAAAAGACGTTCTAAAATGTAATCTCTGTTGTTCATTTCTGTGGCATTGAAGGTGTTTATGCAACGATCTATAAGTCGCGCCTATCAATTGCTGACTACAAATTTTAGCTCTTGTTTTGCGGGTAGGTACGCGACTAATCTTCAGCGGTCTTCGTAAACAAAACACTAGGCAAAATGGGGAGAGACGGTCAGATAAACGCTTTTTTGAGCATCTTGATGAAACTGGCACGAAGAAAAATTTGTAGAGCCACGTGGTTAGTCAAAATCTCAAAAAAAAAAATTATGTCTATCTTGGCCCAAAACTCTCGGTTACCTTTGAAATCGTAAGCAAAAATAAGCCATATGCCCTAAAGGAATTTACTTATTTTTATCTTAAATTTCATTTGAAATAAAATGTAAGTCAATAAAAATTAAATTCATTTCTATGATGGTAAAATACGACAAGAATTCCAAAAATTCCTTTGCAAAAGCATATCCCTAGGGAGGTGTGCAAAGGATATGCCCTATGATACATATCCCTTGCATAAAATTTTGACTCCATCCCTATAAATCCCGACCCCCGCCGTGAAGGTCTCCGCTCTCTTCCCACCCGCCTATTTTACGGAGCCGAATGACCCATACTCCCGCAATGAATGGAACGACGCGGGACGAGCCGGAACGACCAAAAATGCGGGGAAAAACGCGTGGAGAAACAACACGCGCAACGATCAGCTGACTTTATACTCGAACTTTGGGGACTTTCACGAGCACCGAACGAGATATCAGCTGGTCAGAGGGCGAAGAACAATTACGTAAGTGATTTGAGGGCAAAACAAAAAAAGGATTTTTGGAGTGTGGACACAGGGGAATGGGGAGAATTCGAGGGCTTGAGTTGGGATTTTACGGCGATTTGAAGTGTCGTTAACATGAAGTGATAATAGTGGACTAATAATTCAGTCGATAAAGAGCTTTTTAAGCACGACAAATACATCGACTTTAGCTATTTACAAGCACATTTTAGGACCTATTTTCAAAGCTAATTTCAGCTTTCTTCCTTTCCTGTAAAACCTCCAACTTTTTGCTCTAATCAAATACAAATTGAATATTCATTTCACTCCCGAAATTTATTGGGAGTAGCAGTATCAGACCCCCCAGAGAACCCACAAAGCACTGGAAACTAAAAAAGAAAATGGACGGCCATGTTTTTAAAAATAAATGTTCGCCTTTTCCCTCTTGCCCTTAGGGGGTTTCTCCCGTTTTTTTGGACCGAGTTTTCAAAAACAGCTAGAAAAATGAGAAGGAATTGGAAAAAAGTTGTTTTGACAATTTTGACGTATTAATTACAGTTTAAAGATTCAAAATAAACATTGGCACAGCTGTTACTAACTATTCAAAATGGTAAAAGGGAGAACACGAGGGGTTTTCCGGCTTAAAACATTCAATCTCCTTTCCTTTTTCTGTCTAAAACCTCGCCAAAAAAAGACTCCGCCTATTTGGTCGGGAAAGTGCAAGAAAAGTGCAAGACCATGAGGAATATGGGAGTTTCGAATCCGGTACGTTGAGCGGTAGTGCATAAAAAGTAGTAATACTGCCTTAGAAAGAAGAGGAAGGGAGGAAATGTGAAACATCGGGAAATTTTAAAGGATAACGGGGGAAATGGAAAGAGGAAGTTGTACAACATTGGAGTAGATAGTGCGATGAATTGGAAATGGTGGAAAATAGATTGCAGAATACAAAGGAACAAGAAGAATGATTGCAAAAGGAAGAAAAGGTTTGTAAAATACGTTGCTCCTTATTTCTTGCGACTAGTAAAGCACACAGACCTTATAATCAAGTACCACATGAATGCTTGATGTTCTTGATTCTCCTGATTAGTTTACAGACTCATTCGACCATCCATAGCCGAGACATGGACTTATTCTAGAGGATTTCTATCATTCAACAGGATGTATACTTACTAACATAATTACTGCTGTTCAAAAATCACCGTGGCAGATTTTAAATTCACATATAAAAATTTTATGGAAAAGGCCCTGAAAATAAAACAAAACTTGCAGCATGGCTATCAAATGGAAATATGATTTTTTAAGACTGCATTTGTACCCTAGACAGCAAGCAGCACTTAGATTTACGAAATTTCTGACCGTAGGACAGGCCTTTAGTAAAAGTCGATAAAGTTTGTATCCGAAAAGAGCCCTAGGCGAAGAGGGCACCTTGCGGAAAAAAATCTGTGGTGATTGGGGACCAAGACAACATTTTTAGAATACTTTGTTTGCTTTACCAAAAAAATGATTTACAAAAATCCACCTTGATTTTTTATCCACCGCACCATATATTTTTCCCCCAAGGCGTCCTCCTTTCCCAGATGTCCTTTTGCCCTTTTCGTTCGGTTCGCTCTTTGGACCAAATCGCTGATAAGCCGAAGATGTTATATTGTTTTATTTCTGTTTAGTACATCCATACTTTTCACTGCTCTAAAAATATTTTTCTCTGAAAATTGATTGTCAATTTCTTTGTTTATCGGACACTAAACCAGCGTTATCTTTGCAACTATGTATACCTCGTATTGTCAGCTCTCTCTTCTCTCATATGATTTTCTCAATTTCTGTCCCTCGCGTGTCTGTTCTTTGCTCTGAGCTCAATTTCAATATGTCATGCCTAGCGTCGTTCACGTTTTCGTTCTTTACCCATCAGCTGACAGGGCGCGTGAAGAGCTGTCTGAATTTTCAGATTTAAAAGTGCTGCAGATTGGGAGTTAAAAAAAGAGTAGTTCTTTTACAATGCGCTTACCTAGACTGTTGTAGGTGAATTGGGTGAACACAAGAGATAAGTGGAAAATTGGACGAAATCATAAAAAGAGCGATTAACTATGCGTTTGGGAGTTCAAAAGGGCAGATTGGCTGGTGAAATGAAGGATTGGAGGGTAGTGTTATCCGAAGCAATAACGCTGAAAACGGCTTTAATGAGATTTAAAATTCTAACATTAAAAAACACCTCAAGAATAAACTCGCCGATTGAGTTATTATCAAAAATAATTCCACATTCAATTTTCTTGATAAATCCAATCAGAAAGATGCGATAAACATGCCTCATACAGGATAAACCAGCCGTTACAAATCAAGTATTACTACAATGTTTTTTTCGATGTAGGTATCGAAATAAGGATTATCGATGGTTAATTTCGAAAATGACATCATTTTTTATCGTTACTTTTTTCACCTGTAAAGTACTAATGAACTTTTTTCACCATTATCTGCTTATAGGTTTTCGACAGTGCTGATTCCGAAAATCTTATTAATTTTTTCTGACTTGGAAAAAGCACCATTGAAGATCTCGTGTTAATAAAATTTTAAAAATTGCTATTTTACGGTTCTTTTCAAACAAAATGGAACAAGAGGTTCGGCGAAGCGGTTCCCGACTCGGCCCTGCTCATCACTGTCGGCCTAATGCTGGGGATCATGTTGAAGTTGTCGCATGTCGACGAAACCGTCTATTTCCTCAATTCCAACGTGTTCTTCCTCTACCTGCTGCCTCCGATCATCTTCGACGCGGGCTATTTTATGCCCAACCGGCTGTTGTTCGAGAACTTTGGCTCGGTGATGATGTTCGCGGTGGTGGGGACCATCTGGAACACTGTCGCCATTGGCGGGACATTGTCATTGCTCTCCCAATACACCAATCTTTTCAATGTGAACGTCTCGTCCGTGGAGTCGTTCCTCTTTTCCTCGTTGATCAGCGCCGTGGATCCGGTGGCTGTGATCACCGTTTTCGAGGAGATCCATGTCAACGCCTTCCTGTTCATCAACGTCTTTGGCGAGGCCCTCTTCAACGACGGGATCGCCGCGGTTCTCTTCCAAATCTTCAACAAAATGACGACGGTTGGCACCGCCAACCTCAATGCTCAACATTTTGCCGTGTTTGGCTCCTCATTTTTTGCTGTCGCTCTTGGCGGAGCATTGATTGGCGTTATTTTTGCATTTGTCATCGCGCTGGCCACGAAATGCACTCAACGCGTGAGGGTGGTGGGCCCGGTATTCGTGTTTGTCATACCGTATATCTCGTATTTGGTGGCCGAGATGACGGGATTCTCGGCGATTTTGGCGTAAGTTTTTTTTGGATTTTCATTTTTTTTTATTTTTTGGAACTTGGAAAAATTGAGATTAGAGCCTTATACGATGTATATGTAAAATTTTTATATTTATAAAAGCTTGCGGTTTACAGAAACAACCAAGACTTTTAGACCGAAAATTAGTAAAAATGTAAAATTTTTTTTTGCCAATTTTGGCATGAGAAGTTTCATGCCTATTTCTACTATAGAGAGTAATCACAAATGAATGTCATTTTCGAAATCAGCGTCATCGGTTATCCTAATTTTGACACCTACATCGAAGAAAAATAATACTTTTCATTTACCCCAATTGACGATGTTCCTAATTATAAGCTTTATTAAATAATAATAAATGTACACAGAGCATCTAGGTCAACTCTACTATTCAAAGGATTGGTTGCATCCAGATATATCACTGCGTTCATCCTTGAAGTTGGTTTTTGAATCGGAAATATGCGATGGAATGTTTTTCTGGGGCCTTGGACCATTCACGGAGTTGAGGGACTGAAGTGAGATTAGTTAAAAATTTTTAGATAAAAATAAGTCGGTGAAAATATGCGTATTTTACAATTCTTCAAATACTAACGAGAGCTTTGATGCTTTAGAAATTTGTAGTTTTACCGCGTTTTTAATAGCCTCTTACCGTGATACATAGCGTTTGCGTAGTCAGGGAAGATCTGATCCGCCAATTTCTTCTCCTTCTCTCCAAGCACATCGTATTTTGCGAGGATTTTTCCAATGACATACAATTCATTTTGAATTTGCTCGTCTTCATCGGCAAATTGGGTGTTGTTATTCGTCTGGTGCAACATCTGAAATGAAATTATAAGCAAAAATTTTACTTCTATTTTTTGTAACTTTCCAATTTTATTTTTACAGCGATCTAAGACAGGGCGTATTTTACCCACCTCAACGATGAATTCGACCAATTTTCGGTCGACTTTGTGCTCCAACAGCAAATCAGCGCTCAGTCTGACGGCCTTCTTGAACACGGCCGGATCTTGAGTGGCCTCAACGGCTTTTGGAGTCGGCTTCGCTTCGTCGGCCATTACGAGTTCGACCAGTAAATCCCTTTGTTTCTTGTCCAACCCATCAAAATACTTGTCGGTTCGGTTTTTGGCCAGTTCTAAAGTATTGATTTTTTAGCGTTTTTCGGCAAATTCGCAAAGATGCAATACAGTGACTTTATGAAAACCGGGGACAAATCTTGATTTGAGTTTTATGAGGTATAGGCAAGGCTCTTAGCGTATTTCAACGCCCCTCACGATGCCGAAGTTGGAGAAAATCCGAACGCGGCCTGTTGAAAAGTCCCTAATAAATTACAGCAACAAAAACCTTCCCAGAAAAATTGATATTCAAAAGAACATTAAGACGTTCTGACGTGTCAACTTTTCGTTTTGACGATATAAATTTCCTTACCTTCAAAATCCGGGACCAGAACATCGTACCGCGACTTCGCCGCCACGATGACAACACCAAGAACCAGTAGAATACCAGTCTTCAAAAGACTCATTTTTTATGAGATTTTGACGCTGCTCCCAGGACTTGACGCCATTTAAATAGACGCTGTTACGACATCTGCGGAACCGGAACTTTGTCTGAAAGGTTTCGCTTTTGCGTGGAAATTTCTGGATCGCCGACGGTCGGAGACAAAGATCTTTATCGGGATTACTCTGCTTATCTTATTTTCGATGACTTTCGAAAGCGGTGAGATAAACGAAAGTGTGGGGGATTGCGCAACGAGCGAAATTGAACATTGGAAATTTTTTGGTATCTAGTAAATAACTACTCGCAGTCGTTTGTGTTTCTTATTTATCAAACTGTCAATTGGCGGTTCATCAGTGTTATATCTAGAAGTTTATTGCGTTTGTCCCATTTGACTTTAAATTTATTATTCAACACGGTTGAAAAAGAACGAAAATTGTGACTGTTTCTGCAGAGTTTTCAGCTCGCTGTGTAAGTCATCGAAGGCATGTTTTTTGTCATAAGAAGTGTTTGAGATACAACACACAACATGTTGGCGAAAAGTTAAGGTTCCACTCTCGGCGGATTGTTCAAATATCTAATCTCGCGCTTTGCAGAAGCCACCGAGAATTTTCAATCGAGATTTTGCAAAATTCATTCACACTGTTGCCAACGAAAAGATAGAATTTTCCACCCTGTTTCTTGAGCGGTGTAAAACATTGTCAGTCTGTCGGGAAATTGCTGAACAAAATGTCGCTATTGTCATCATACATTCGCATTGCTGAAGTGAAAGCAACTCGAGCTTTTTGTGGCCCAAGTGATGATTTCCAATGCGACAGAGTGCTCATTACAGTTTCATTTCCGCGACATTAGTTTTTTTTTGCCAAAATTCAACTTGTACGGTGCGGGGTTGTGAATTGTATTCATCGCCGTTTAAAAAGTTGCGACTAGGTTTAACCCCCGGAAGGTGTGTTCAGTGAGAGATAAAGTGCAGGCTGAACAATGAGTGATCATTTTGCGTTCTCCTGCCACCTTGATCACATTTCCATTTTTGGTCCCATCCACCACTTTAAACATCCCGCAACATTCCCCCTTAAGGCAACGTTTACTTATACTTTAAACTGGACAAGACAAACAATCCGTTCCAAGTGTGACTGCAATATGATCCATCAAGTTTACTGCGTTCAGATTGCCTTAACAACTATAATTGACGCTGTTTTTATGAACATAATCGATCTTCCGTCAGATATTCTGCTTGATCAGGACTATTGTAAACCTAATTTTAAGTGCAACTACAAGACGGAAACAAGTGTATTGTCTGTTTTCGACTATCGTTTTTGCTGTTTTGCACTTGAACGGACATGTCAGAGTGTATCTCCAAGAAGTCATTCTGGGAATGGGATTGATCAAGAATACAGTGTTCACAATACCTTTACGAAGAAAATATTACACCAAAAATGTTCCGAAAGTCGCACCAATTGTTTATAAGGAAGCCGCTAGAGGAAATCACACCCCTTCGTTGCTGTGATGACTGAGAATGCGGCATTGAATAATAATGTGGTCGAGAAGAAGGAAGTGCTTCCGAAGTTGAGTGCCGGGAAGGTAAACTGTTACTTATTTGACTATAGTTAACCTGGCAGTCAGCGTCTGTGGTTACTACTGAGATTTGGCCTTTTTTGGGCCCCTTGATCTTATTTTTTTAATTGGCGTTGAAGCCGTTAGAAGTCTAAATAAAACTTTGAACATTAGTAATACTATTTACTAATATTTAAAAGGCGTATGTGGCAATATCTGAGTTTCTGAGGGTTTTTTTGGTTGTGCTTTCAAATGATTCCATTAGATCTCTTGTAATCAGCGTTACCAGCCACCATCTGTTTATAAGAAACATTGCCAATTTTATCTCCAACCGTCTTAACCTTAAATTTTCAGTATGACATATCTTTCATTCTGATCAACGCTGTTTGTGGCGGCATTGCCAAGATTGCCAGCAAATGCGCTGACCGAGTAATTGTCCCTCCATCAGCACACCCTCTGTTAAACATCTCGGCTGTTGAAGCGGCCGAAAAGATCAGAAATAAACAAGTAAGTATCGTAAATTACAATATGTAATATACATGTATATAACATACTGATACAATACTTTTATTTAACATGAATTTTCAGTTAAAATCCTTCGATCTTCTTCAAGCCTACTTTGCCAGAATCCGCGATGTTAATCCTTATATCAACGCTGTTACTGAGCTATTTGAATACGAAGCCTTGGAAAAGGCCAAAGAAGTCGATGCTTACATTGAGACCATTTATGGGAATCCAGGAGAAATCGAAAAACTGAGGAGTGAACAGCCCTTGTTCGGGATCCCTATCTCGCTGAAACATGTGTTCGATTACAAAGGTCATAGAAATATTGGTGGATTGGAACATAGACGAGAGCTTCCGCCAGCCGAGAAGAATTGTGAGCATATTAGGCGGTAAGTAGGTGGGCAAATAAGGCCAAAAAAATTCTACTTTTTCTTACAAGGCTCGTTGTATATCTCACAATTAGTTATGTTTGTCAAGCACAAGCTAAAACTTTGAATAATTTGTTTGTAACCAAGCCAATGTTAAAAAATCCTAAAGTTTTAAACGGCCACCATTTTTCAGCGTTCTAAACGCCGGCGCTATTCCCATCTGCTTCACCAATGTGCCCTCCGGCGCTTGTTTCTTCGAATCCGACAACACAGTGCATGGGCGCTCCTGTAATCCCTTCGACACTCGCTGCACTCCCGGCGGATCCTCTGGAGGTGAAGCGGCCTTAATCGCGGCGCAAGGATCGCTGCTTGGATTGGGGACGGACCTCGGAGGTTCCATCAGAGTCCCCGCAATGTTATGTGGAGTCTACGGACATAAGCCCGGCAGAACCGTGCCTGATGATAGCTTGGTGCCGCCTGCTGTGGCAAATACTCTTTATGATGGGTTTTTCTGTGGTGGCCCATTGGCCAGATATCCGGAGGACGCCGCGTTGTTGAATGCGGTGATATTTGTTGAACCAATTCCCAAGCAACTCTCCGAACTTGCGCCATCAGTTTTGTATGCAGCTGCCGTTGATGAGAAGCCGTTTTTGGTTAATTCCAATAGCGTTCGGTCCGCCTATGAGGATGCAAAGGCCTTTATCTCACACGCCTACAACTTGTCCATTTACGACTTTAACATTCAAAAGTCTCTCATGGAATATGTCATCCTTCTAAAGTCCTGCGCATTCGACGCCGACAACTTGGCCAACCTCCATGAGCATTTAATGCCAGTAAGTCTACAAAAGTCTACAGTAAATTGAATTTGATGTAAAAAAGATGCAGATAGAGATAACATTTTTACGACTTCCTGTAACAAAAGCACGTCAATATAATAATTTCATAGTTGTCATTCAAAACGATCATGTTCTTGCCTTCGGCGGTAGTCTTCGACATTAATTTTGAGCTTATTTTGCCACCTAACATGACTTTTTTGGACGCCTTACACTAATACATTGTAGTATGAAAACCTGCAACTCTTTCAGGACGGCTATCCAGTGAATGTCTTCAAAGAATTGGTCAAATCGTTGGTCGGTGCATCGTCTATTTCTCCGGTGACGCTACCCATTCTATGTGCCTTCCGAAACCGATACCCGGAATCTTTTATCAAAGAGTGTTGCCGTCAGTTGCATATTCTGAGAGACCGTTGGCACAAAGCTTTGAAAGGTAGTTTTTTATCGCATGATAGAGTTATCGCATATGTTTTTGAAAAAGTTGACCTAAATTTGATCTAAATCTGAGGGCCGCTGTTTGGAACACGTTATTTTTTATGTACAACAATTTTCACGTTTAAGGCGATGTTGTCCTTGTGTTCCCTGCAGTCCCAGAGACGCACTACTTCCATCTCTCTTACGGGATTCTCCCTTCGATGAATACGCTGCTCTTCAATTGTCTGGGACTCTCTTCTTTGGCTGTTCCGATGGGCAAAGACAAAGATGGGTATCCGTTATCTGTTCAGCTGGTCGGCCATCCTGATTCCGATAATTTGCTCTTTTCAATTGCTGCAAAGATGAAGACCCAGTTTGGAGGATGGGTGAAAACAAAGGATTTGTAAAATACGATATGTTACAAGATGTATTTTTTTCTTTTTTTTTGTCTTGATAAATTGATCGGAATATGTAATAAAGCGTAACGTGCTTCCTGAAAATAATAAACTTACGGCTTGTGGTTAATAGTAACTGGCAAGCTTTGTGTTTTGAACTATGTATTTTTTGACGTGGTAAAATGAAAAAAGGAGGACTGTTAAAAAGCTCTTATTGTGTATTTATTATAATTGCAAGCATTATGCGAAATTCTTAGCTTGCGCTTCGACAAGGCCAAGATTTTTGATAGGAAGTTGTCAAAAAAATATTCATTTTTTGGTTTGCAAATTGGTTGTGATGTATTAATACAATTCGTAGACGAAAAACCGAATCGAATTTCACCAAAACTGCTTTTGAAAGTCGACAATTTTCCCATTCATTATCGTCAGCTGTAAAAGTGAAGCTATATTTTTCAAAAACCATTGACTTTTCTCGATATTCTCTCTCAGACAAACAACTTTTTACAATGACTAACCTCTTACTCATTCTTTTATGACGCAGCCATCAAATTTCCAATTTTTTCAAATTGTTTTCCACTTCCCCTTTCTGAACTCGCCCTCTAAAAACCTCTATAAATAATGAACAACAAAGTTCAGAGCTCAAAAAAAGGCTTACATTTATTTAAAAGTACTCGCCGACATATTTAGCATTCATAACATCTAAAATCAGCATTTTCATGATTGATTAGTTTGATTTAGCGGCTTTGAAATTAATCAAACTTTGGTTTCTCTGCCTATTCCACGTGAAAGAAAAGGACGCCTTGATTTTACACGGGGTCATCAGAAGAGAATGTTTTGACGCGAAAAAAGCGAAAAAATTCTTGATTGAAATAGTTGTTTCTCTGATAAACAACACGCTAAAAGTCGAGCTAACTAAATGGCTACGGAAACTTTGATCCCAAAGGAAGAAGAAAAGGAGGAAAAGTTGTCAAATCTTCCGGTGAAAAAGGTAATTATGACAAACTTTATTTATGCTACAGTATCTTGCAGCTAGACCCAGAGGCATATCTCCTCCACGCCGCTTTGAATGGAGTCTCAAAATACGCGACTTCCAGAGCCAAGAGAACCATCATTACTCCCAGCGATGAGCCGCTTTTAAATTTAAGCGCAACAAAAGCTGCAGCAGATATTCGGAATGGGAAGGTTAGCTCGAATCATCAATTTTTGCATTCAAAATCAATTTTAGATAAAAAGTTTGGACCTGATTCAAGCCTACTTCAAACGAATCAAAGATATTAATCCTTTCATCAACGCTGCAACTGAACTTTTTGAAGCCGAAGCCGTTGAATTGGCTAAAGAGGCCGATGAATTGGTCGAGAAAACCAAGGGAAAGAAGGATAAAATTGAACAAGTATGGCCAATTAGATGTACAGAATCATTTAAAAAAAATTTGTTTCAGTTGAAGAAGGAGAAACCCCTCCTTGGAATCCCTGTTTCGTTGAAGCACAATTTGAATTACAAAGGCCATAGGAACATCTGTGGGTTGCTCCATTTGAGAAGTTCTCCGTTGGCCAAAAGTAATGCAACTTGCGTTGAAAGGTGGGTCTTTTAATTGGTCTCCTCATTTAATACACTATCTCGAAAGGAGGCGGTCTCTTGGTTGAATATCAGGCGGAGAAGTTAGCTATAATGCAACGCAAAAAGCAACCTTTGACATATACTCAGAAACCAATCTTCTTCTTGAACTTTGATTTGTGTTTAATATACTACTATACTCCGCCGATTTAATTTGGACCAGTCTGAAACTTGAAAACGGTTATAGATATGAACTCCGTTCCTTCAACAAGTTTGATAACCAGTCGACTCTATGTTCAACTGTAGCAAAATATTTCCTCTGCCTTGAGGCACAAGAAAAATATTCCGATTTTTTAATTTTGGCCGTCGAAAAAGTTTGGACCAGGGCAACAAAAATTTGCATTTCTTTAAAACTACTTGGGGTGAAACCATTATAACTTGTGAAAACAATTGTGATTCCCTGCTGGTTCTAACGAGCAGGGAATTCCGAGATCAGCGCTGTGTTAAAGGCCCTGAGGGCAGTTTTTAAGAAAATTTCCAAAATTCCAGAAATTTTTCGCCCTAGCGCTTGAGTAAGAAGCGTAAATCGTCTTAAAAGTTTTCGAAAGTGAAAAAAGATGTTCCTATATGTATATTATACGTTTATTCCGCTATGAGGTGCTTGCCAGACCTGATAGAACTCAATTTGATGCACATTAAATTGTTTTTTCTCAACATGTTTCGACTGGGCCAACGAAAACTTTTTTATCAAAGTGTTCGGTCTATTGTGCATTTGTCGCGTGTAAATTGGATATTGTTTTGACACAGAAGGAAAGTGTGGCATGCCCCTCATATGTCCCAAGCAAAACACTGTATGATTTAGCAGTTGTTTGAGCGCGGTGGCCTCACAATTATCGCCAACCCAAGTTTCAAAGTCGCAAATCCTCCAAGAACAAAAAATTTTAGATGTAAAACTATTTTATAACGTCATCCAATTAGATGTACACTATACTGTGGTTGCACAGAAACTAATTTAAGACGATTTACGCTTCTTACTCAAGCGCCAGGGCGAAAAATTTCTGGAATTTTGGGAATTTTCTTAAAAATTGCCCTCAGGGCCTTAAACACAACGCTAATCTCGGAATTCCCTGCTCGTTAGAATCAGCAGGGAATCACAATTATTTTCACAAGTTATCATGGTTTCACCCCACCTAGTGATAAAGAAATGCATTTTTTTTTTTTTTGTTGCCCTGGTCCAAACTTTTTCGACAGAAAAAATTAAAAAATCCGAATATTTTTCTTGTGCCTCAAGGCAGAGGAAATATTTTGCTACAGTTGAACATAGAGTCGACTGGTAATCAAACTTGTTGAAGGAATGGAGTTCATATCTATAACCGTTTTCAAGTTTCAGACTGGTCCAAATTAAATCGGCGGAGTATATGTACATGTTTTGAAAAGTTTAAAAAGTAGAAATTTTGCTTCTATAGAAGCCGTCAATAGGGATTTTTCGACTATGTATCACGGTACTTTACAAAAATTTTAGCGAACAGCCAATTGACGTATTTTACCATTTCAGAGTTCTTCAAGCCGGCGGAATCCCCATATGCTACACCAATGTTCCCCCTGGCTGTTTGTCTCTAGAATCTGACAATGCTGTCTTTGGCCGGACACTTAGTCCGCATGACTCCCGAACAACTTGTGGTGGTTCTTCTGGAGGTGAAGCCGCCTTAATCGCTGCTCAGGGGTCTTTAATCGGAATTGGCAGTGATTTGGGAGGATCTATTCGAATCCCGAGTATCTTATGTGGCATTTACGGCTTGAAACCTGGCCCAACTGGATGCCCGCTGGACGGGTTTGTACCGCCATTGGCTTTCCCTCCGGAAAAAAGAGGAATGTGTGTGGTTGGGCCGATGGTGAGATATGCGGAGGATCTGGGACTGCTTCATAATGTAAGCCATGTAATAAAGAGGATAATCTAGCTATTGTTCCTCAAGCTCAGCGAAGTAAAAAACGTGCGGAAACTCTCGTAGTAATTCGTAAATTCTCGCATCAAGAAGCATCAAGTTTCATTTACTAGAACTTTCTGAAAATGAACATTCACAACTTCCCGATTAGTCGAGGCTAAGCAATACATTTTCAGGTCCTGGCTTCAACTCCAATTCCTTTCAATATTGGGGCTTTGCAACCCAGCAAAATCTACAGCTGTGCCCCAGAGGCACTACCGCTTGTAAGATTGAATCGAGAAGTTCGTCATGTTTGGGAAGACGTCCGCAATTATCTTACAGGCACGTATCATCTTTCCAACAACGAATTCAAACTTGGGAAGACGCTACCAGAGTTCATGGTGATGCTCAGTGCCATGGCCTTCCAAGAATTCGATATGAACGAGTTTCTGTCCCCGGTAAATTACTTTTACATGGAGTTTGACCTGTTCCGGTCGAGAAAATCAATTGAAAGGCTTGCTTGCAGGGAGAACATATCACTGTTCTAAAGGAGTTCGTCAAGCTGTTGACCAGATCTTCTCCGCTCTCCTTTGGCGCTCTTTCCTCATATCACGCCTTCACCAAGAAATTGCCGCAACATGTAATAAATGAAGCGTTGAAACAGGTTCAAGTTTTGAGGAAACGAATTGGAAAATTGTTGGAAGGTAAGGACTGTGGATAACACTTTCTAAGTTCGGTTGAAAAAATGATGATACTGTTCTAAGCGATCACCCAACTTTCAGACAACGCCATTCTCTTGTTCCCTGCCCTCCCCGAAACCCATTATTTCCATGCCGCCGCTTTCCCCACCGTCTGTGCTTATACATCTCCATTCAACGTCCTCGGTCTCCCTTGTTTGGCCGTGCCCTGTGGCCGAGATAGGCTGGGATATCCACTTGCCGTCCAGCTGGTTGGAGGAGTTGGATCTGAGAATTTACTATGCGCTGTAGCCGAAAAAATCGAGGAAAAGTTCGAAGGATGGGTGAAGCCACATGGAGTAGCTGTTGAAGAGTAAAATCATTGGATTTTTATGCTGTGCAATGCCACAAACAACTTGTCATAATTAACCACTAATCAGGGAAATAAAGCTTTTCAATACTGCAAAATTGATTTTAAGCAAGGCAAAATGCAAACTTTTTGGCTCTAAAAAGTATGTCATCCAGTTTCCGTAAATCAATAAATTTTGTGACACTTCGCAACATCTGTAAACGAAATCCAATAATCTGTGACATTTCGTCAAATAAATTTTTTTTTGCATAAAAAGTCGAATAGAGAGAAATTCCGGATTTCTAGCTGATTTACCAGGATTTTACTGGGAATCCATCTCAAACCTTCCATATTTATGGAGAATCCAATTCCGAGGCTAAATCTCAATGAAAATGATGAAGTTCCAGTTGAAAGCGATGCAATTTCGATTTCAAGCACCAATCGATCGGACAATTTGCCCTCTGTGGATCCTTTGAAACGTCGAAATTTGTTTGTAATAACAGAATTGTAAGTTTTCGACATAAAATTTATATTATTTTTGATGTTTAGTCGCTCCATTTGCAATCGGCCGCCTGAAGGGATTTATGTCCGACCTAGTGAGCTGGATCTACTTGGTAAGTGAGAAGATGGTCTTGACTCGCTCTAAAGATAAAGTTCGGACCGTATGCTGCCATCATTTTCTTTGAACTTGAAAAATTGTATTAGCTATGATTTTAGAATGGTATGGAGTCATTGTGGTGAAAGCTGGGGTCTTTGCTGGTGGAATTTTTCGGTTTACATTGACATTATCACCCAGTTTCCCAGATACGGATCAAATTCCGGTAAGTTCCACTTTTTTCTTATTTTTTTTTCTTTAGACAGTTGAATTTGAGTTAAATCTGTTCCATCCCATGATTCACCCCAAGACAAATCGCGTGGATTTCCATCGTTTCTTTCCCAGTGGTTGGGCTCCTGATCGGAATCACATCTATCATGTTCTACAAGCCTTACAGGCACTCTTCTTTCGATATGATTGTACATTAGACCAGGCGGCTAATCCCGAGGCTGCTCTTTTATGGGCTGATGATCGAAAAAAGTTCAAGAAGATGGCGAATACAGCTGTACGAGATAGTCGAACACAGATTTACGATCCACCAAAATCAGATGACCCTCAGGCATTGAAATTTAAACCTTGGGATGGCAGTATTATGGAGCCGGTTTTGAGTATGATTCATGGGACAACTACTCCTCCAAAAGAGCATCCATTGAACGATGTATTATCTAGACAAGATAATCCTTTTGCCAGCTTCTTTAATGTGGAGAAAACCAAGTATTTATGTGATGTTTTGCCTGTAAGTTGATACTGGAATTTTTATATTTATTGTTCAAAATTTAGGATGTGAACGCTGAAAGGAAGGATAGTGACCCTGATCTTGATATGGACGTGCAATCTGACGATATTGAAGAGGAAATACCTGATAGTTCTTATGTGGCGGGTATCGAAGAAGAAGATGATGTATAAGTTATGATGTAGATTGGCAGGGACCTTCCAATCGCTTCTACATGAATAATGTGCGATGTTAATAGTATATGTGCAAAATTGGCAGGGAACATTGAAATTTTCTGACCATTTTTTTTATCTACTACAATATAATTTATTGCTAAATTCAAATTTTCATGTGTGATGGAGTATATTGTATTTTTGATGTATATAAAAAGACATAGACTATGATTTGACAGGGCATTTTGAAAAAAGATAGTCAAAAAGTTTTTGAATTTTGATTTAATTATGGTAAGTAAAAAAGTAAAGTTTTTCGAATTTTTATGCAGATTTCTATTCAAATTTCCCATTCCTTATATAATAGTTCTTTTGGCGGTTGGTTTCACTTTTATGTACTTTGAATTTCCACATCTTTCCATTTCCCTTTTGTTCTAAAACTTGTTTCGGTTGACCCTTTCTCTAATAGCACGGCCAAAAATTCAAGTTCGATGAGTCCAGAGCGTCTGCTCTCGTTGTACACCCTGTTGTTAGAATGTGCCGACTTGAACAAGCGATTTTCGCCGGCGAAGCCGACTTCTTTGGAGATTTGGAATTTCGAGTACGATAGTGCTAAAGAAAAGTTGATCTTGAACAAAATGGGTAGTGAAAAGAAGCTAATGTGAGTTGTTCAGCCTTGTATAGATTCGCTTGGTTTAATTCTATGCGGTTTCTTTTTTAAATTTGAAATCTGCTTCTTGTTCTAGCCCGGAAGAAAAATTTGAAATCAAAGGGGCCTCCAAGGTGAAGATTGGACTGTTTGAAAGTGGAAACGATGTCGTTTGGGGTGGAACAGTTACAATAGGCAATGAGTAAGAATCTAAAAATTTACCTTTGACCTTTTTGACAATGAATTATAATCAATTTTTAGTAATTATTTTACGTTGACGACTGGTCCTACGGAAACTCGGATGTATGCAGATTCAGCCCTCTATTTACTCTGGAGTCACGACAGGGCTCTTCAATTGGCCTGTAAAACCAACATGTTTACCCATTTTCTGTCACTTATCGGGGTTGCGCAGGAGGCCGTAACACAAGATTTTTTAAAATGTGAGGATTCCGTGGCAATCCGAGAGGATCAGGGGAGATTACTGTACAAAGCGGGAAGAAATTGCAGAGTTGTGAATATTTCTAATCCGATCAAATGGGAAATGACCACTAAAGAATGCGATGATGCTGCTGAATCGAAATTTGATCTGCAGGCTGATGGACATACGACGTTTTATTCATTGGTAAATCTTTGTGGAATTTTGGTCAGAAATGGGAAATTTTCGGGATTTTTTTTGGAAAGTTTTAACATGTAAATTCCGGGGTCTGTTGAAAGAATTTAAATACAGGGTACTACTGAATGTCTTACTTAGCCAAAGACACTGATATTCCGAGAAACTCAATTGAAAATCATTACAAAAATTTTCTAATAAGTTTCACCGATATCGGGCTCTAAATTTTGGAATGAAAATATCAAGGGCCAGTACGGGAGCCTCCGTGAACTCGGGCCTGTCATATTTGGTGGACAAAAAATGGGGCACCTCAGCTTCAATTTGATATAAATTTTATAGAAATTGGTGCATTATTGGCGGAGAAATATTCGAAGTAAGGGGAAGCTTCGGCTGAACCACCCTGTATAAATTTTTGAAGTGAATTTTTAACCAACTAAAGTAATCATTTTCCAGACCTATCTACAGCTCACCACGACCTGCCAAATTGATACAGATGGGATCGATCTGGACAACACTCATATAAAGTTTTTCAATTCCGCTTCGGAGGCAAATAATACGTAAGCAAAATAATACTTCTTTGACATGAACTTGATTTTAGCCTTACAACAACTGCAAGTGCCCCCTTACTCGATGGTTGGATGGTCTATGCACTTGGTATATCTAACGGACTCCTTTTGCTGATCGTTGTCGTGGTTGTTGTGGTCGTACTCATCAGGAAAAATAAATGTGTGAGTGATTTTAATTTTTGAATTTTTTTGGTTGTTGTCTCGTTATAAAATTTTGATTTTTTTCAATGCTGGCAAAAGAAGCCTCCTCCGAAGCCGACCCTCCTGCAAAAACCCAAATTCGGCAGTTCCACCGAGACAGACTCCCTTCAGAAATTAGGATCGGCGGCAGCTTCGGAAACCTCCAAAGGTAGCGCCGAAAAAGTTGGCAAAAAGAAAAATAAAAATGAGAAACAAAAAGGAGCCGGGAAGTTGAAAAAGGGCTCTAAAGACAAGGAAAAGGACAAAAAGAAGAAGGAAAAGCCCGAGGAATCGAAGGCCAAGGAAAAGAATGCCGAAGAGAAAAAGGAGAAGAACCCCAAATCGGCGGAGAAGAGTACAAAAACCGAGGAAACGAGCAAGGAAATGGTCACGCAAGTGATGAGAAAACACGGAAACAAGATGAAATTAGGGCCAAATGCAACAAAGGAGGAGAGGGAATCGTTCTTGGCCATGTCCGCCAGAGTCGAGAAGATCATGGATGAAGCGCCTGGGGTAAGAAAGAGAATTATTTTTTGGGGTTGAAGTGATGGATAATATAGAAAAAAAAGATTTTTTTTTTGACCTGTTGAGTATCTTATTCTTTCTATCTTGATAGTTTGAAGCTCCAATTTTGACTTATATATTTTGACTCCAGAAACCCCGGGTATTCAGCATTTCGGACGGTCGAAAATACAAAATCACCACCTGGCATCACCTTCCTCACGCCTATACGGGAACTTTGATCTTTGAATGCGTGAATGTGAGTGATCTTATGGACACGAAATGCCTGAAAGTCCATGAAAATGCAGCTCATAGAGATCGAGAGCTGGAAATGTTGATGTTGGATACGAATGAGGAACCGAGAAGGCAAGATTTTGACACATTGGGTACCTCATCTGAAAGATTAATTTTTTATGTAACAAAAAAATTTTTCAGAGTTTTCCCTCGAGTCATTGAAAAAGTTGACATGAATGAACTTGGATGGGGAATCTTGATGGAAATGCTCGGAGACAAAACTAGCTCTTTGTTCCGCCGAATCCGAAAAGAAGGCAACTTCCAAGGCGGATTTATGTACATGAAACACATGGCCGAAGCCCTGGAAAGAGTCCATGCACTCGAGTTAGTCCATAACAATGTCAAACCAAACCATTTTGTATTCGATCTCAAAAAAGAGAAGGTAAGATGAGTTTGAAAAAAAAAATTTTTTTGGTATTACGGTATTTTTTTATTGAAACTTTTTTTTATTACGGTATTTTTTATTAAAAAAAAATTTTTTTTGTGATTTTTTAAATTTCACCCATTTTTTTGCAGTTCATGATGGTCGACCCGCGCTTTGCGCACGACCTCAAAGACCCCGGGCAACACCGTCCAATCGAGGATTACGACGCGAAAAATTTGGAATTTGTCAGCCGAAGAGCCATGAGCCATCGCCCAACCCAAATCATCGACGATTATGAATCGATTTGTCTAATTTTTGTGGCCATGCTGTTCAAAACAACGTTTGCGGAAAAGGGCGATGCGAATGCGAGCGAAAAGAAGAAGGAGGACTTTTTGGGTGGAGGGTATGCAAGTAAATTGAAGGGGAATGGACTGATCAATTTGTTCGAATTTCTGGAACAATGTGAACGGAAGATTCGACAAGGGGATGAGCAGGCTTTCACACATGAAAAGTTCAGAGAGCACCTGAGAATGGTAGGAATTTTGAGGGGTTTTTGGGGAGGTTCGAGGGGAAGGAAGGCCGAAAGATTTTAAATTTTTTGTGCTCATATTTGAATGAAACTTGGCCAAAATTTTGAGTAAAATTTTTTGAGAAGATATAAGGGGCTTTTAGCTTGTTTATTGCAGGTATTATCACGATTTTAAGGTCGAAAAATGCCAAAAATTTGATTATTTTTAAAAATTTTTCAGTCCAGCGAAAAAAAATCAAAATTTCGATGATTTTTGGGCCAAAAAATCTCAGCAAGATGCAAGCTAAAAACATCGCATTTTTTGCTTACAAAAGTGTAATCAAACTTTGAACCAAGTTATATCAAAATTTTCATGAACACATGCGTCTTGGCCATCAAAATTTCAAAATTAATTTCGAATCTGATTGTCCCATTTAGGCCGCTATGGAGCACAATATTGATCTTGGAGCAGCCATCAAGTACGAAGCCAACGACACCAAAGATGAGGGGCCGGGCTATGGAGGACCGGATGATGATGATATTGGAGATGGCGCCGAGTACAATGAGATGATCAATTTGGTGGACAAAAAGTCCTCACTCTCGGAAGAGGAACCCTTTAGTTAGAATATTATTACATAGAAAGAAAGAATGATAAATGTTTTTATTCAGCAAAGCAAGTCATGATTTGTGAGGGCGTGGTTGATGTTGTGGATGATCAAAAATTAATTTTTTTTTGATAAATTTGAAGTGTTTGAAAAATGATGACTTCTAATGGAATTAGAATCAAATTGAGAACATAGTAATACAGAAATGTGCTGGCAAAAAAATAATTGTTTTTGGGCTAATTTCCCCTCTCGGGCATCTCGAAGTGCGGGTCCTTGACCGTTGTCCAAATAAATCTTTCTCTTCTGGCCAATCCGATTCCGGCCACGAGAAAAATCTGAAATTGACAAAATATGATGACAAAAGAGGCGAAACTTGGCGTTCTCAATAAAATCCATAATTGCTTACAATAAGGATGACCAGAATGATAATTGTAATCATCATGACTCCGGGTGTGATGAGTAATGTATTTCGACGTTCGATTTCGGCTTCAATATTGTAACTCATAGTTTCGGCTGGGTTGTACCAACTTGGGAGGCAGAATTGAGGGTACCGCCATCTGAAAAATGCAAATAATAGTATCAAAAGACAAAAAAAATCTTTTTGAAAATTTTATTCTTGATTTTTGATGACAAGTGAAATACTCAATGGCCAAATCGATTCTCAAAAAGTTTAGATGGTGGTTTACATGGACAGTCGGGTTATCCAACGGTCACTGTAGACGAGACATCATGAAGAGAGCGGATACAGTCAGAGAAAAAAAAATATTTTTTACTCCGTGATTTTAGGCACATAAATCGCATCCCCCAATACTACCAAAATTTTCTTTATTGGAACCTGTCAAAAAATTTTTTTAGGTTTTCAAATATTACGCTTTTTCAAAAGTGCAGACACATTTTGTCGCGGGCCGCACCGTGCACAAACCTCCGTTTTGCGGGGTGCGTTTTGAACTTTTGCACTGTGCAACCGGATATCGCTGCGACGCAAGCTTTTCTCAACGGAGCCGGCGCGAATTTTTTGAAATTGCACAGTGCAAAATGTTTCGAATCGGATCGTGTCGCGCGGGGAACACGAAACTTGCACTGTGCGGTGCAAAAAAGGCCGGAAAATGTGTCTGCACTTTTGAAAAAGCGTAACATTAGAGTCATCTGCTACTACGGCTTCCAACTTTTCTACAAAAAATCAAAATTTTCCGGACAGAAACGAACAGGTAAAACTCTACTCTGTCTCGCAAAACCCTTTCTCGTCTGGACGGCTCCACTCATTTTGTGACCTCTTAAAAAAAACATTGTTGAATATCTCAGCCGTTGCCTAAAAGCGCGACCTAAACTTTCGGAAGCCGCATCATTTATAGTATGTGGCTAGTTCAGAAAATGCTTCCAAAATTTAAAAAAGAACTCTGAATCCCCCGAAAGACTCCCTGCTTGTGACACAACCCATGTTGATGCCGAAAAACCTCCTTAAAACCGCCCAACTTGCCCTTTCATTCGGAAACAGTAGTGTCCCGGCTGACATGTGCAGTTCGTCTTGGATAAGACTGTGATTGGATCCACCAGGCCAGTTCCCGTATAGTTGACCATCATTTATAAAGATTTATAAATTCCTTTCCAATTCAGAAGCCCAAAACCATATGGGAATAAACAGAGAAATCCCGTTTATGAAATGGGAAAAAACACGGCTCCGTTTATATTTGGGCAACAGCCAGTTTATAAATACAAGGCGAGGAGGAAGATAATTAAATATAAATTACGTACAAAGATGTTGCGAGATAATCGTATTAAATTTTTTGCATTTTTTTTTTTGAAAGGAAAATCCTGTAGGCAAATATAGAACATTATATTATAGTACAGGGTCTTACAAAAAACGTGAAGGAAAGTGGAAGGCTATAACTTCCGGCGGAGGCGGCGCAGAGACTTCGTATTTGAAATATGTATTTTTAAAAGACATAAGTTTTTGTCTACAAAATAAAAAGCTTTTAAAGTGCAGAATGCGGTCGCTACGACTTTCTGAAGTAGAGGCATCTCTACCCCGAACACCAGGTTTTTTTCGGTTGAAAATGATCGAGAAATTTCGGACTTTTTCGGTTTAAAATCACCAGGAAATGTCGGATTTTTTGGGGGGTATGATATGGGTGATGTTGAAAAAGAGGAGGAAAGTGCCAACACTTGCAATTTTTTCGACGTTTTCTTAAAGACTATATCAAGAAACCCCCAAAAAATCTAACATTTCCTGGTGATTTTCAACCGACGAAGTCCGAAATTTCTCGATCATTTTCAACCGAAAAAAACCTGGTTTTCGGGGTAGAGATGCGTCTACTTCAGAAGGTTGTAGCGACCTCAGTTTGCACTTTAAAAGCTTTTTATTTCGTAGACAAAAACTTATGTCTTTTAAAAATACATATTTCAAATACGAAGTCTCTGCGCTGCCTCCGCCGGAAGTTATAGCCTTCCACTTTCCTTCACGTTTTTTGTAAGACCCTGTATGTATACAGAAGTTTCGTGTCGCCTAAAATCATTTTTTTCCTAGCAAAATTCCAGAAGATATGTAATATCTTATAATGGAGATGATTTTTTCGTCTAACCGAGTCTCCTCATTTTATGCACACTCTCGGAGATATTGCGTAATTTCTCATCAAGAAATGAGTGTCAAAAATTAATATTTTCCAAAACATTTGAATCGCAATATTTATGCAATAAAACGCTCCTCCTCGTCGCTCTCGTTATTGGTCAGCCTTCGATAGACGACATTATCCTTCCATATTCGTTGAAGAGACCCAGTTCCCTAAAATTTGAACAAAATATTTGCGAAAAATTTGTATACCTCTTTAGTGCTCAAATAGCAATGCAACATGTCCAATGCACTGTAAACCACCGCTCCAAGCCACCATAAAACCCAGCGGTCTGAGTACATGGTACAACCGGGCAATTCGACTACTATTACAATGACCCCAAGAATCGCTGTGCATGAATCTGAAAAAAAAGTTCAAAAATTTTTAATCGAACTTTTTAATGGTCTTATGTCTCTATAAAGGTTCCAAAAAATCGACTTACCGATGGCCCATCGAACTGTCGCCCCATCAGAATAATCGTTGTGATAGATGACATCCAAACCATGTTTTACAAGATCAGTAAATGAATAGGCGACATAAAACAGCAGGAAAATCGTGTAGAAGTAATCCTGGAAATTTTATTTTTAATTGTAAAATACGTTTTCTGTAGTTCAGCGGGTTTTTTTTTGAGAATTGATCCAAGATTTCATTCAGAGGGCGGGTCAGTATTAGTTCAACAAGAAAAACTTTTTCCGAGCGTAGTTCGCGAGGATTTTGCTGAAACATATTTTCCTCTGGCCGACTCTCCTCGTTTTATGTGTTCTCTCGAAAAGAGATTACATAATACCTTCGGTAAAATTTAAAAAATTTTTTACTAAATGCTTTCAGAGATCGATTTATAGCCTTTTTAAAGCATACGGGAAGAATTTTAGGAACATCAAATTTATTTGAAAAGCCCACACAAGGCCCAACTAAAACAATATAAAATTACCCATCCAGTCCGATCATGTTCGTATCTGACCATCCCGTACGAATACCCCATCCAATTGAAGCTTTTCCATCGACATTCCACCACTCCCAGCACATGTTCGCCAAAAATTAATTTGAAAATTTTGGCAGTAATTGTCAACAAATAGGCCAAAGAGATGAATTTAGCAAGAAAAATGTAGGAATTGTATTTTGAGCGTGTCATTATGGCCAATAAAGATTCATAAAATTAGGAGATAAAGGGGTTTAATTAGAGAAAATCGAAATATGAGGGTAGGAAGTAAGTTTATATAAAGTAAAAGCGAAGGTAGCCCTCTTGATGAATCGCGGTCTTCCGCGAAAAGCCTGTTTCTCGTCGTCTAATTGAACCCTCTCTCTGTTTTCATTCGATCAATAGTGTTTTCACGCGTGAACACCTTTGAGTTTGAAAATAAATAAAAGTAGTGAAGTAAAACATAAATTTTTTGAGAATTGTTATAAAATTTATCTTCGTATGTTAAACAGGTTGCGAAATCAGATACCGTTTGTTCTAATGTTCTTACTGATACATAAATCTATCAAAGGAAAAGTCAAAATCACCAAGTTTGATTAAAAATTCGGATCTGTTGTCTAGTATAATATAATTCATAGAATGAAGCCGTACAAACCTTGTATAAGTAATAAAAAAAACTCAAACCATCTAAAGACACCCAAAACTACTCCACCGCAGCAAGAAATACGATTTTAGCGCATACTGTAGAATCTGCGACATTTTATACGATGAAACCTGTCTACAAACAAAATTTTGTCCAAACGCTTGTCAAAGTTTGGCAGACGGCCGGGTGCTGTTGTGTCGTCAACGGAAGATTGGTCTTCTCAACACTCCGGAATCCATCTCAATTATTTCAAGGTTTCTCTTCGCAGAACACATCGTTTATTTCAATGATGGCACAAAAACGGATGGCCGACTTCTATGATACATTCCGAGACTGTGTCCCGGAGATCAAGCGCATGAAATTGGCGGTGGAGATGCTCAAGCTTTGTGAGGAGGATGTGGAGTTGTTTAAGGAGCTGTGAGTCTTTTACTTTGGATTTTTTTTTGGATTTTAGGTAACAGATAAGGTTAATCAATATTCTAGGCGAGGTTATCGCCGCACTGGGGTCTTTTTTGTTACGTCAGTTAGAAGACGGACTATTCAAACTCATATGTTTATTAAAATACGGTTTTCCTTGATTACGTCAATCTTTGTAATTGATCTTATCCATGGACCAGGCAACGAATTTCTTTCAGACCTTCCCTTTTGCAACAAAGGTTCTTGAAGAGACGGGGCAAAAGGATGAACCCAGTAGTTCTTGCAGCGCTGGTGGCCAATTTTCCGAAAATGGAGCGGTTTTGCAGGTACAAAAGTGGAAACGACCTCATCTACGGTAAGCTGATGTTACTCCTCCATATTTTTTGTATTTTCAGACAAAAAGATCGCTGCTTTTGGGGCCTACAAGATCCTTTCGGTGAGTGCTTGCAATTCGAACAATTCTACCAGCAGTTTGTCCATGAATATGGAAGCTGAGGCGTCTTTCATTAGTCATGTGTAATATAATTTTCTCAGGTGCTCTCCCGCCGAATCCGCATTGCATTGTTTGTGCATTTACGTCTATGTGACATCTTTATGAATGAATATGACCATAAGAGCATCTGCTGTCGAAAGGGCGACACCGTTCTCTTCAACGCCCCGTCTGTCGAGTTTATCCATTTTTATATGCACTTCCCCTTCCAAGCCAAGAATGTACAGTTGAATTGTCAGTGCAAGCCGAGGAATCGGGTCAGTATTCCAAATGAAGCGAGATGTTTGGCAAGTAAGTGAACATTGATAAATTTTATATTGTACTAGACATTTTGAATGACGAAAAACGTGGAGCGATCCCCGCATGTGAACTGTTGAGTCTTTTGGAGAACGTGGAGAGCGTGAAAGCCAGTCCTAAATGCCTCATGCAAGTGCATCGTCGATTGGAATTGAGCAGAATTCGTTTCGTTGATCGTGCTCTAACAGCGTTGAAGTTCGAAGGAGACGTCTTGAAGATTGTGAATAACACAGGGGAAAACTTCAAATTTCATGTTTTGTTACAGTGAGTGATCAAGGATTTACGCCACTATTACTCATTTTTTTATATTACACATGAAATCTTGTCGTTTTTCAGGAATATCAAGCCCAGTGTAGAGCCCAAGACGATAAACTTCAAAGTTGGCTCTAGCAACAGTCGATACCCCACTGGTGGTTTGATAAAACCGTTGAGGTCCCTGTTGAGCCGGCTGCAAGAAGTCAACCTTGTTTATTGTGTAACAGTAAGTCATTTTCTTTTCATTGATTTGGAATTTAGGGCAAAAAAGCCGAATCTGCATTTGTTGCACTGTGCAAAGAAGGCAGGACCCTCGCCAAAACTCTCAGAGTCAACTTCCGACTTCGGTCTGTTCAAAACGGTGATGTGGGCAGGCCCGAGATCAAGGATAAGATCGTCGATGTGATGCGCAAATTCAATTCAAATCTGGCTGCAATCGACCACGAGACCAACTGTGGCTATGGCTTCGACTGGGCCGACGGAAATCTGAGTCTTCATGTGTGCTCTGGCTACAATCCGAGATGCGCTTTGGAAAGGAATGACGGCAAAAGAGATGCTCCCGCGGATCGTGCGCGCATTTACAACATCGTGGCTGAGGACCGCGATGACATGTAGATCTAACTGGTACTAATGAAAGCTTCACATTAATTTATAAAATGTTGACTTCATTTTGTCGAATAAATTAAGTAGAAGGTGTTGAATTTGGACAAGAAACCGAATTTCGACCAAAATGGAACGAATTTGAGCCATTCTGCGCAATTATGTACCTAAAAGTTGTGTTTCGACATTTTATACGCTGAAACGTGTCCGAGAAAAGAAAATTGACATTTCCAAAATGTAGATCGAAAGTCATGTTGTCCCATACATGCATGTAAACGAGGGCTTGGTTTTTCTCTAATAAACCTTCATAGCACTGCTTCGAAAGCCCCCGAGGTTGTTGAATAATTTTTCTCGACAAAATGACCGAAACCCGGATGTCCGAATTCTACGATGTTTTCAAGGACTGTGTTGTGGAGAGCAAACGAATGAAATTTATTGAAGAGTTGGGGGATGTTCGAGATTTCGATATGGACCTGTTCAAGAAGATGTGAGTTTTTGGTTTGAGATTTTGTTCGGATTTTAGGTATGATCGGGTGGATCAATATATTTTGATGAATTTGGAGGGAACACTAGCTGATTTTTGTTGCATAGCCTTGTAAATGAACTCAGCAAAGCTATGCGTTTTGAAATTTTGAAAGCGTTTGCCTGGTTGCATCAATTTTTGTAATCTATATTGTTCATGAGCCATGCAACTGAATTTTTTTTAGGCCGAGGTTTCTTCACCAGAAACTATCAGTTAGACGGAGAGACAAGATGAATTTGGTGGTTCTTGAAGCTTTTATGGATAATTATTCAAGGCTGGAAAGGTTTTCCAGGTACAAACGGTGTTGTGATCTTATCTATGGTGAGTTTGATCGTATTTTTCATTATTTCTTTTTTTTAGATGAGGGGCGCGGGGCGTTTGAAGCGTACAAGATTTTTATGGTAAGTAACAGCTGTTTCAATCTGCTGCTCTGTTATTTTTAGGCATTGTGAGCACTTTTGTCGTCTTTTATTTTCGGCTATGTACAATACAATTTTTTTCAGAGCCTGTCAAGTCGCTTTCGCAATGCTTTGTTGTGTCGCTTGCATGGTTCTGACATCATTATGGAAAACACAACAATTATTTCCTGTTGCAAGAATGTCACGGTCCTCTTCAGCGGCTCCGTTGCCCAATTTCTTGATTTTTATCTACACTTTCCGTTCGAAGTTAAGAATGCCTATTTGAAATGTAATTGCAAGGTGTCGAGACCGGTTCGGATTCCACGTGAGGCAGAATGTTTGTATAGTAAGAAAAAATTCGCAACCATTTAATATTGTACTAGGCGTTTGCATCGACGAGTTCCGTATGCTTGTATCGGCGTGCGAGATTTTGGGTTTTTTGGGAAATGTGGAGACAGTTAGGATCAAATCCCGATGTATCAGGGGCCTCCGTGGCCAAATGGAAGTGGATAAACTGATTTTGACGGACCGGCACGGACCTGCGGTTGCCATGAAAATGGAAGGGGATGTTTTGAAGATTGTGAATAACTGGGATGTCAATTTTCAGGTGATATTGAAGTAAGCTACTGATAATTTATGGCCGTTTACCGATTTTGTTATATTCTCCTTGATTAATTGTTGTTGCTTTTAGAAAAATCAAGATCAAGGGCCAACCCAAGAGGCTTAATATGCGTTTTTCGACTTGTAAAGACCGTTACCTGGCCGCCGGCGTCTGCAAACCATTCAAAAAGGTGTTTAAACAACTGGAAGAAGTGAATCTTGTATACACGGTGACTGTAAGTTCCTTTGGGTTTTATTATTCCTAATTTAGACCAGATTTCCTGAAATTGCCTTCGATGGACTCTTCAGAGAGGCAGAAGAACTTGCCGAAGGCGATCTTCGAGTGAACTTCCGAATACGGCATGTTTACAATATTTTGACCCCTATGAATGGAGTCAGGCATGTGTTCGTTACCGTTGGCCGAATTTTCAAGACCAACTTCATCAGACTCGCCGATAGGGAGGGCTGTGGCTTTGCATTCGACTTTACCGACAGAAACTTGACTATACATTTCTGTTCTGGAGAACTTAATAACTGCGGATTGAGGAGGAATGAAGGAGAATATGACGGAGAACTTGCAGATTCCCAGAACAATCACGACGACTCGTCTTCGGATGGTGACGAAATGTAATTTGGTGTTTATTGAAGAGAATATGAGACTGACAAATGATAATACTTATTCAAAAAGAACTTCACTACTGTTATGTATTGTATGTGTAGATGAAATAATATGTATTTATTCTTGAATAAATTTTGAATGACTTTTAATGGGACGGTCTTATTGTCAGAGAAGAAAAATCCGATAAATTTGTTATTACATTACAGTGCGATTACGATTTATTGAACAACAACAAATAACAATTAGGATAAAAAACAACAACAAAACAATATCAACTTATTTACATAACAAAATAAGCCAAAAAACGAATAAATTTCAACGCCCTCGAGCATAGAGATCATACAGCCAGCTGTGATAGTCCAAGTAGTCGTCATAGGGTTCGGGATCGTAGAAGAGGCCGTAGTAATACTCGGGTGGCGGTGGGTTTACAATTTCAGGGACCTCATCCTTTCTCCCATCTTTTCTCTCCAATTCACATTTGAGACTGTAGCCAGCGCAGACATGAACAACCAGATTTCTCTCGGTCCAATCAAAGGCATGGCCGCAATTATGCCCATCGCCGATTCCGGCCAAGGTTGGGTGGAAAACTCGACCGGCAAAGATGACGTGTTTCTTGGCGATGCCCGGATCAACGGCCTGACCGCTGCGACAAAGGCGGATTCGGAAATTCACTTTGACTCCTCGGACGGCCAGACTCTTGGCCTCTTTGCACAATGCGACCAGGAGGGCTTGGGCTTTGTGGGCCTAAATATTGAACAAAATAAATTTAGACTAACGTACCTTAATGCAAAAGACCAAATCGACCTCCCTAATAGTTTTGAACGCTTTTTTCAACAGCTTTACGTATCCATCGGGCGGATAGAGACTGTTTTTAGTTGTTATATTCAATTCGAGCTTCTTCGGCGAGCCTTTCAACTTGATATTTCTGAAAGGAAGCGTTGACCAAGAACAATATACAAAATAGGACTAAATATGGATAGAAAAAATCCAGCTTACTTCGACAAAAAATCAAAAATTGATCTATCTTCAGTATCATTCTCAAGCTTCAATACATCATCCTCTACCTTCAACACAATCGGATCCCGTTCATCCAAAAGAATGATCTTTTTCGCCTCTAAAGGACAAACAACCCCTTTGAGACATCGGGAACGAGCCGCAACCTTTTCCACATTATTTAAGAAATTAAAGATTCCGCACATTGGGAACACATCAGAGTTTGAGATATCTAAATATCAAGCACAATAATATTATGAATGGGAACTCACCGGATAAACATACGACCTTTTCCGGGATCTCAACCGAGCTCAGACGTACGCATGAGCATTCGATACACGCGTTTTTTATCGGGAAGTTAAAATGGATAAAAAAATCGATGAACTTGAGGAAAGGGCAGCTGAATAAAACTCGGCCTTCCAATGAGATTTTCAGAAAATTAAGGAATCCGGTTTCACAACTATTGAACGCAGCAAGGTTTGACCCTTTCAGACGATTGAACAAACGACTGCGAACGTGACTTGAGAGGACCTAAATTTTAGACATCAATTTTGTTGGTGAAAAACAAGATAAACAGACTTCTAGACTATATTTTGGAGGGTAAACAATAAAAAATCAAGGCCCATTGGAACTAAATAGAACCAACTCACCGACATAATCTTGTACGCGGCGAACGCACCGATAGATTTGCCTAGAATCAATAAAAAATCAATAAAGGGTAAACGCACAAAAGATAAGATCGTTTCCTCGCTGGTATCTCGAGAATCGCTCCATTGTTGGATAATGGCGAACAAAGGCGTCAAGAACCACTGGTTTCATTCTCATCCTTTCCCCAACCCTCATTGACATTTGGTGCTGTAGAAAGATTGACCTGAAATTGTCAATGGATAAAATAATCAATAAAAATTGACGGAATAAAACGAAATTTGTATTTATGGTGCCCTTGGTGCAAGAATTAGGTCATGTTACAGCCAAAAAAATCCAGATCTAGCACCAAATTCGTCAAAAAAAAATTGAATTTTAATTATCAATTGCCTAAAAGAAGAAAACTAGAAAGCAAACAACTTACATCTCCCTTATCACCTCCACATCAGAATTGAGGATGTCCTGCGCCAATTTCATCCGTTTGCCCTCCTTCACGCTGTCTTTGAAAGTGTCATATAGCTCGAGCATCCGTTTTTGAGCCATTGTCTCATGGATAATATCGAAACCTCGATATTGGAACAAAGCTGAAGAAAACCAGATGAGAAATTTTCGGAGGACAACCGAACAGTATTTTGTTTTCGATTTTCGAAGAAAAAATTGGAGAAAAAATCGCATTTTTTTCTCGGTGCATAAAAAACGTCGTTTTTTGTCCATAATCTCGAGGACGTATGAAAACCGTATTTTTAGCCCTTACAAAATTGTTTTTGTTGTTCTGAAAGTTCTTTCACACGTACTCAAGGGTATTTCTGCGGATTTGTAGTATGATTAGTTATCTCAGCGCGGCCTACGTGGTACTTTAAGGGCTTGAAAACTGGTTGGGTTTCACTCAATAATTGATCAAAAGTCGGCGAAAATTTAGGACTTTTTGCCGAATTTCGGTACGAAAGGTTTCATACCAATTTCTACTGTAAAGGATAATGTTTCCACAAAAAATCATTTTTTTCCGCGCGAAACTGGCAAAGTTATGGCCAGAGAGCGTTTTTCTCTCTGACCGCTCCCCACGATTAGCGTACTCTCTCGGCGGCAAAAATTGTTCAATATCTCGGCAGCGCCTGCAAAGCGCGAGCTAAAACTTTCAGGAATTGATAGTTAGTTCATGACCGACGTGTGTGCAAAATTTAAAGAAAATCCGAGCGTCGCACTTGGGGTACTTCCCTTGTTAGCAGAGGCGAAAATTTTGATTTTTTCAAAATTTCCGGTATAAAATTTTTGTGATTATGATAAAATACCGTTTTTTTGATAAAAAAAAATTCAAAGCTTTGGGGATGTTGCCAAAAATATTTTCCGCTGACTGTCTCTCCTCATTCTCCATAGTACCTCGCCTGAGAGAAACAATGAGTAATGTTTTGCAAACACGCCAAAGGCCACACGGTGTTTGGATCTCCCACACTCACTATTGCAAATCTAATTTTCCTGGAAGCAAACACTACATGTACACGAGTAATCATGAGATACTATTTCTGATGGTAAATAAGTTTCTTTTGAAACAAATATAGCTCGTTTTCCATATTTTTGGGTTCAAAAAATGTTCGTCATATGTAATGTTAGGCTTCTCAATCAACTTCCTCATCTAATTTAGACTTGATTCCACCAAAGGTTAAAGCAAAGGCACGACGGAATTCCGCACGTGCCGTTGTGGTATTTGCTCATGCCAAACAAACATTTCTGCACATTTTCAATTAATTTGATCCCTTCACCGCATGGCTGAACTGTTTCTGGGAGAGATCCCAAAACAAGTGTGGAGTTGGACCGTTCTCTGTGGCCATTTTGTGTTCAAATTTGGGGTATTTAAATGTGAGCTGGACTTTGGATACTTCATTTTTGGTAAGAAGATAAGGTAGGATCTTGGGGGTATCTGGTGATCGAAGTCGGAGTTGGACGATTAGGGAAAAGTACGATTGGGGAAACCGAAAAGTTAGTATTTTCACCTCGTACTGCATAGTATCAGATAGTACTATTTAGTGCTAGAGGAAAAGTTAACATGATTTTCGAGACCAGCAACTTCGAAAACCCCTAAATCCAGTATTTTTGGAAAATTTTTAAAAAACTACTATTTAACAGTACTACTAAAGAAAAAAATAACAACCAGAAAAAAATGAACATGATTTTCGAAATCAGCACCCTCGAAAACCCCTAAATCCAGTATTTATGAAAAACATTCAAAAATTACTATTTTACAGTACTACTTAAGGAAAAAAGTAGAGATCAAAAACTGAGTGTCATTTTTGAAATTTTAGCACCCTCGATTATCCTAACTTCGACATTTACATGGAAGAAAAATAATATTTTTCGGTTTCCCCAATCGTCTTTTCTCCAATCGTCCCAGTTCCGATCGAAATGGTTGAAATTCTTAGATTATGGGGTCTTCCTCACGAGCCTGAACATTTTTACGGTAGTTGGGAAGCTGTTGAGCAAATATTCGTATCCGCAATACAAAAAGTGTATCTTCGTTTGTCCTACATTTGTTGATGCTCTCATATATGGTAGATCTAAAGACCTTTTCAAATGCCATTTTTAAATTTTTTTGAGCTTACTGGTACCGTATCTGCTCTCAATGCTCTTTCGTATGACATAGGTTACGTATATATAGGTTCCGTTAAGATACCTGCTCTCAAGTACTTGCCGATCCCTCGTGTTATGAGTATGCTTTTGTACAAGAGTACAACATTTATTATACAATACAACCTGTTTCAAAATGGTAAGAACCACTACAAAACCTGCAATTGCGTTGTCGGAGTTCACTTGACGGACACGAAACATTTACAGATTGAAGGAGGAAGTTTGAAAACATTAATCAAAAAAAAAAAATTTTTCTTATTGCACTTTAATTGCACTTGAAACGCGACATTTCCCAAAATTTTTGGGCGTTTCAAAATGGTATGTAGGAACCTTTGCTATTTTTGCTATAAAACGTGCGAATATGGATCCCATGGTGATTGAAATTATATAAATATGACTGTACTATAAGTGACTTGACTTTATCGAGTTTAAAGTGCCCAGACTTGCAGGAAATTTTCGCGGAAATGCGCATATTAGTCGAGACCAAAATTCCCGATAATTTTAGATTCAGTCAGTTTTGACTGATTTGCAATAAAAAAGTGCGAGAGAAATGCATCCAGGAGTGGCTCCGCTGCTCCAGGCCCAACTTTTTTTTTGGTTTACTTTAACTACCTTACGTTTCGGAACAAGTTATATACAGTAGTGTATGTATAGAGAAAATCAATGATTGCGATTTGCAAATTTTATAGCGGTTACTGTAATTTTGAAATACGTTTATCATCCGTACAAACGATAGAATTGTGCAAATCCAATTTTTGCAGTGCTCCCTCTTTACGAAATCTCTCATTCTTCTATTTTAATATTCGTACAATACAGCCCGCACAATTGTCCAAACGCATTCAATTCTCAGTAAAATTAGCAGCGTAACTCTATCCTTTCTTTTGTATCTCTGTGACCGAACTCAGGATTCGATGTATTGTAGTAATATTATGGTGATCTAATCTGCTGATTTATTGGTGGTCATTGAAGACGTTTAGAGTGGTAAACTTTGTAACTTTGGTGTGTTCTAAATTCTAGAATATACCGGCCTTAAAATCTTAATGGGTTCCATAAAGTATGATCAAAAAAAATCTCGTATTTCTTATGAATTGTCATCTTTATTTGGCCAAGCTGTATCACAATCGGCCTTTTGGTATTTGAGTATTTCAAATTTAAACCAAAAATTCATCTTTAGTCCGAACTTTACTGTCGTCTATCACTTCCTTTCACCAATAACACCCTCTATTTTTCATACCTAAATCTCACGCCTTCTTATTCTCCATTTGAGGAAACTATTCAGGGAACTCAATTTCCTGAACGCCCTCACTCAACATTCTCTTCCAATATATTTCCCTTTTAATATTTGAACCGGTTTCTTGAGAACCCGTGAATTCAATTGTGTAGGCATACTGTCCGCTAAAAGTTAATCATGTTATGGCAGCCGTCAGACTGCGTAAGTGTTGGTTATTTTTTTGAACTTAGTACATACATCAAGAGCTAAAGTTCAAGAAAGTGAACACAAAACAAGTCCCCGACAGACGTGGCTATACGCTGAAACGGGATTTTTTGATTTTTTTCATTGTTTGTAAGCTTCCTTATAAGTTATTGTAATAGTTTTATGTAGACTGAAATTTGTAAAACAACATGTTAGTATACTCATATGCAGTTTCTTCTTTGTGAATTTTTGATCATTTTTAAACTGAGCTCGTTTTTACCAGATACGATGTTCTGCTGAGAAATCGCGCAAACTCATGTACGTACAGTTTTCAAAGGCACACCCATGTTTAAAGTTTCTTTGAGTTGACAAAATTTGGGATTTTTAATCTGTTTTTTGGGGTGTTGGCAATTTTGCTTGAAATGGCAACGTTTACACTTATAATCTTGTTTATATTAGCTTCTGTCCTATGCATACAGCACCTCTGCCCTTCCGTCTATAATACGAATCCATTTTTCTCGAGAATTATTAAGGAACTACATATAATTTTTATTACATTTAACTCTGCACCTCTTGTTCAGAGTTCTGTTATTACGTATAAAACCTGCCTCATGATATAAACTTTTTTCAAAAAGTTTTGTATTATTTCAAAAATTCATTGTTTTTGAAGTAATATTGTCCAAATACAAAACAAACTACACTCTCCAGCGTAGTTTTTTGAACCGTATTTTACGTTTACAATTCCTATTCCTTTTGTTCTTTGCGTGTTGGGAAATGTTCCCGATTAATTTAGCGTCATTCTTTGGAAATATGAAAATTGAATTACTGTCTGAGTAATGGTTCGTTTTCAGTGTCAAAATCGGGGCAGTTGTTGTGGCACATGCCGTATACGGAGAATGAACAGTTCTGGACGGGCATTGCGTACACAATTCCATGTCTTCTGACGATTCCTTTCCATTTTTTGGTGTTATTTGTAAGTTTGTCATCATTTTTGATAACGGGTAAATTCTTGCTAAAAGTGCGGCTGTCAATAAATCAGGCAAGGGCACAATATAGGTCAGTTATTATGGCTATTACAACAATTTTTTCCGCGCAAGATTGGCAATTTTATGGCCGAAAAAGTTGATTCTTTCTCTGACCGCTCTCCACATTGTGCGCACTCTTTCTTCGACAAAGGCCGTTGAATATCTCAGCGGTTTCTACAAAATTTATTTTCTCAAAAGTTGAAATGTGCCTAGCCCCAACATGTGTTCAAACTTTTTCAAAATCTGTGCGTTGCACTTTTTACAACTTTCTCGGAATAATATAGATTTCTGTCCAAAATTAAGGTTTTTTTGAAAAGGTAATTGTGTATTTCAGGCTTTACTCCGGATCCCTCAGTTGCGAAGAAGAGCCGCGCTCAGGATGATGATATCGCTGACAGTTTGTGAACTTCTTCAGACCATTTTTCTAGCGTTTGGAGGAACTTATTTGATTTTGGGAGTGGAAATGAATCCCATTCTCAACTTTGTAAGTCTATATACAACTATCTATTTTACAAACTTGGAAACTTCTGGAGCTTTTTATTAGAGGACCCAATCAAAAAATGAAGCTTTTATCTGGCTGATAGTGAGATTTTTTGGCCTAATGTAAGATTCTTAGCGGTCTAGCTACAGTTTCCGGAACATTACAGTCGATTACAAAGGCTGAAAATTTTTTGTCAGCCTCGATATTTGATGTATTCTAAAAATGGAGCCCTAAATTTAGTATTTTTCAGATTCACAGCATGATCCTCGAAGCCAGTTGGGCAGCGTTGTTAATCATGCATCCACTGTTTGTTCTAGAACGCCTTTGGTTTATCCGAAGCAATATGATCAAGGTGGAGAAGGCTCCGAAATATTTCTTCGATGTAGGTAGAGAAGAACACCTGGACTTTGCGTATTTTACCCTTGCTTTCTCAAAAGTCATCATTTTTCAGCCGGTTCTCGCGGTCTGTTGGGTTGGTGGTATCTTGTATACAGTTGGCTACCAACTCGGCGGCGACCAATTTCATCTGCAGCTGGACGAATGCGGATGGGTTTCGGTGGGAAATGCAGCCAACAGCGTCATAATTCACGTCTTGTACTACTGTAAAATGGCTCAATTGGGGATTGGGGTGGTCGCAACGATCGCCATGTTCGTCTTGATGGTTATTAGAGTAAACAGTGGTTATTATGGTTGATTTTATGATATTTGGAAAGAATAGAGACTAATTTTGATCAGATTTTTTTTATGTTCTTTTTCGTGAACTTATATGCAAGTCTCATTACTAAAAAAATTTTTTTTGTCATACCATATTTTGTGTATACTATATTATATAAATCATAATTTTTTCAGCGCCGTCGAGGGCTTGATCAATCCAAAATCAAGGCCTATGAACTCCGCTATCTTATTCAAAACACGGTTCAATTTGTGATGATCATCTTCAACATGTACGGCTACCATTTTATCCCCGCCAGTGTCCCATATCAAGCGCAGGTGATCAATCTGGAATGGGTGATCATTGTTATTCATCCGGCCTTTATCACTATTTTGGTGAATCGGTAAGTAATGCAAGAAAATGAAAAAATATACACCATTCTTTATGATGAGAATTTATTTCGGACTAAACGTTTCTGCGTAAATTGAAATTTCAATAGAATTTTCCTCTAACTTTATTATTGCTATTCCAGGGAAATTCGAATTTCCATGCACAACATGTTCCATAAGGGCAGTGAGATCTCGAGAACTCCCATCCAACTTACAGCTACTGTAATAGGTTTAAATAAAAGCACCAAAGTCCACACAATTGAGATCAAAAAGTACAGAAAGACTTATTTTTACTAGACTTTGCCTCATCGTCAGTTTTAGACTCTTTTGTTACGCCAGCTAAGTTCTCTCCTTTGCTGAACTTTTGCCTTCAAATGGCCATAAATTAAATTTTTAATATTAAATCTTGTTATTATTGGTCTTTCCGTCTATTTACGGGTCTATTTATATCTATTGTGTTCAAGAAATCGTTATAACTTTTGACAATAAAGAATATTTCTTACATTTATTGTGAAAAAGAGATCAGATATCATGGTTAATATAAGAAATGAAAATAAATGGTAAAATCTTATTCAAAAACAATTGATAATCGTTTACAAGGCTTCACGGTGACAAATTTATCACCGTGAAGCCTTGTTCTTGAATTTAGATCAACATCAACGGATTTCGACACGAAAACAATGAATGCCAAGAGCTTGGCATTGCGATATAGACGGGCCAGCCCGGCCCGTGACGGGCCCGGGTTTACTGCCAAGTACGGAAGCAGGCCCTTTCGGGGTGGGCCCTTTCGGGGTGGGCTTTTCGGGGTCGCCCTTCCGGGGTGAGCCCTTTCGGGGTGGGGCTTTCCGGGGTGGGCCCTTTCGGGGTCAAGGCATATACTGGGGTTTCCGGGTCCCGGAGCATAAATAATTTTATTTTTTTGAAACAACTGATTAATTTTATGACGTAATCTCGTAAAATTTTTGAAAAAAAAGTAGAGATGGTTGAAAAATGTCGATTCTGAGGTGGTTCGGCACACTGAATCCGAAAACGTGCGTGGCAGAAGAGGTAGTTGGAACATCTGGACCGGGGCCAAGGGCACTTCTTCTTCTTCGGAATCCGACCCATATGACTGGAGATAGGCTAAGACATTCGCTGACTCATCTCGCAGTTGGACGTTTTCGGATTCAGTGTGCCGAACCACCTCAGAATCGACATTTTTCAACCATCTATATTTTTTTCAAAAATTTTACAAGATTACGTCATAAAATTAATCAGTAGTTTCAAAAAAATAAAATTATTAATGCTCCGGGACCCGGAAACCCCAGTATATGCCTTGACCCCGAAAGGGCCCACCCCGGAAAGCCCCACCCCGAAAGGGCTCACCCCGGAAGGGCGACCCCGAAAAGCCCACCCCGAAAGGGCCCACCCCGAAAGGGCAGTAACCCGCCAAGTACAATACTGACAAACACGGTTTTAGCCGTTGCTGTTTACACAACGTTTTTTCACGGAATTCTGGTCGCGTCACGCCACGAAAACAAATGTTTGGCGTACTGTTAAATAATGTTTTTTGGCTTCTTCGAGAAATTACAAAAATTGTAATTTAGCCCAGTATTGAACAAAATCTTGACAGAAAAAAGCTATAGACCCTATCAGTGAATTTTTCTTGTTATAGTAGGTCTGGTTTGTCTTTCAAAAACACCATGTTTGATGAGTTTGATAATTAAAATATCTCTAGTTGCGGAATGCCACGGATTTTGTCATTTTGCGAAAAGCCCGGGCAACGATTTCAATCATTATAATAGCAAAAAAACTTTGCATGATAATTGAGAATGATGTTGTAGTGCTGATCGCCCATTTTTGTAGGATTCGTGACTAAACGTCGCCCGCTAGGCGATTGCAAAGTTCGCAATTTTGGGAAGTTTGAAGTCGAATATCTCAAAGACTGAATAACACATACAAACAGAGAGATAACTGTCTACTCTTTCCAATTCACCATTTATCAAGTCGCTCAATTTTGGATGATCGGGTGAAAAGATCGTATCTTTGAGACCACCTTTTTGGAGCGAAGTGTCACAAAAATTCGATCGATAATGGCGCAATTAGAGCTCGACTTCCGCCAGGGGTGGCCACCGGGCCGGGCCGGCCCGGCCCGGCGAAGCCCGGCCCGATCGGGCCTAAACGGGCCGGGCCTGACATATTTTGAAACGGGCCGGGCCGGGCCTGCTTTTTACCGGGCCGGGCCGCGCACGTCAAGAAAAAATAAAAGAAAAACGGGCGCCCAATGAAAAAGCCTAGAATTTTTTTTGGCATTCTGCCCGGTGCAAATCCGTTTTAGTCCAAATGGTTTGCAATATTTAGACATAAAGATTAATAGTAAATTACAAGATATTGATATCAATAGAAAGCTCGAGAGCTGCTTAAGCTAATAGAACCAAAATATACCCGTAATCGTAGTATTTGACAGTTTTCCATGGCGAAGAATACAACGTCTAAATAAAAGTTTGTATCGACGATACCGACTCAGAGAGCACTGGAAGGAGGTATAGGCTCCGCGTCAAAAAAATCCTTAAACTGTTCTTCGAGTATCTACATCGGTCCCGTCCCGCTTGATGGGACAGTTTTTTTGATATTCGGCCTTGAAATTTGCACTATTTTTAGCCTAGCTCGAACCGTGTTCAAAAAATGCGTCACGATGACACCCATTCAGAATGTGTCAGTGGTATAAAAGACAGTTGTATACGACTAGTAGTACTCCCTAGAGCTCCCATAAAAAAAATTAAGTTAAACATTGTTGTTATGTGCAATTTGGATGACAGATTTTATGAATTTTTTTTCGCTGTGAGAACCTTTGCAATGCCCGAAATTTCTTGACGTGCCGCGGGCCTGAGCCATTTTCAGGCCCGGCCCGGTTTTGTCGAAATGCCAAGCGTTTGGCATTCAATGTTTTCGCGCCGGAAAAATTTTTGGATAGGTTTGTATTTTTAGTATATCAAGTTCTACAATAGTTTATTACTTTATAGTACTTTTTTGCATATATGTTATAATATAAGGTCCAAATTAGAACATATAATACATATAGGATAGTTCTTAGCAGATTTTAGCACACTACAGAGGCGGTAAGATCAAAGGAAAATTTCCAGCTCGCGCCCTAACCGGGCTTTTACCGGGCCAGGCCGGGCCGGCAAAATTTTGAACCGGGCCGGGCACGTCAAGAAAAAATAAAAGAAAAACGGGCGCCCAATGAAAAAGCCTAGAATTTTTTTTGGCATTCTGCCCGGTGCAAATCCGTTTTTGTCCAAATGGTTTGCAATATTTTGACATAAAGATTATTAGTAAATCACAAGATATTGATACCAATAGAAAGCTCGAGAGTTGCTTAAGCTAATAGAACCAAAATATACCCATAATCATAGTATTTTGACAGTCTTCCAAGGCGAAGAAAACAACGTCTAAATAAAATTTTGTATCGACGATACCGAGTCAGAGAGAACTGGAAGGGGGTATAGGCTCCACGTCAAAAAAATCCTTAAACTATTCTTCAAGTATCTACATCGGTCTCGTCCCGCTTGATGGGACAGTTTTTTTGATATTCGGCCTTGAAATTTGCACTATTTTTAGCCTAGCTCGAACCGTGTTCAAAAAATGCGTCACGATGACACCCATTCAGAATGTGCCAGTGGTATAAAAAACAGTTGTATACGACTAGTAGTACTCCCTAGAGCTCCCATAAAAAAAATTAGGTTAAACATTGTTGTTATGTGCAATTTGGATGACAGATTTTATGAATTTTTTTTCGCTGTGAGAACCATTGCAATGCCCGCAATTTCTTGACGTGCCGGGCCGGGCCTGGGATTTTGCCGGGCCGGGCCCCGGGCCTGAAATTTGGAAAAACAGGCCCGTTTGCCACCCCTGACTTCCGCTTTTCTAGTTGTTTCTAAACGTTGTGTTTATGTTACATAACCGGATTTTCAAAATTTTCAGCTTATACTATCCATCTTCACCAAGAGATCCTTCAAAAGGAAATTCGAAACTTGGTCGATTCCTCTTTATAAGTAGCTGAGGACAGTCATGGCAAAGCCTGCTGTTGCGAAAGAAAATACGCGAAAGGTAAGACTTTATATTATTCTTGAAGTTTAGGTATTCATACATTCAGATTTTTGGTTGAATGGAAGGCTAGTGGCACATAAATTGGTTTTAAAGGTGCTTTTGGTAATGAGTAAATAGCTTTATAAATTGTTGTGCTAAATTTTGAGATTTTGTATGTCATACTTGCAACCTAAAACGGGTCGTTGAGGCATTCGTGACACCAATTTTTTGATTTATGTACCTTCCCCTTCTAAAAATCAGATAAAGCACCACATTTTTTGAGTGTTTCATTTTATTCAATGTCTTCTCAACAGCTGAAGGTCCTTATTGTGTTGGCCAGGTCTTCTTTTTTTTTTCTTTGATATAAAAACCCGCCATTTTATATCGTCCTTCGCAAAGAAACTGATTCAAAATAAAATTTTCAGACTCCAATGAAAACAGATGATGTCAAAACAACCTGGGATTATTTGAAGACAATCCTGCAGAAAATTGCTCACAATGACACAGCGGACCTCTCGTTTGATCTGATTTACACAAATGTTGCGTCAATGGTGGAAAATAATGCCGGCAACGTGGTTTACAATGGAAGTGCGGATGTTTTGAAGGAACTGTTGGGAGAAGTAAGCAATTTATGACATTTTTGTATTGGATTTAGGTAATATTTGGGAGAAAACCATTGATTTATCCGAATTTTGTCAAGGATAATATAAAAGTTCTTCAATTTTCTTTTTCATTGTGGAAACTGCTAAAAGCATTATTTGTAGATGCGCCAGTCGGTTGAAGCAACTCTTGAAGATCCCAATTTCATCGAGCAGCTCAAGCGGACATACCAAGATTTTCGGAAAACCGCCGGAATTATGAAGGATGTTCTGATGTATTTGAACCGCGGTTTTATCCAAAAGAATAGGTTACCCAATATTTCTGACATGGCTATGAACCTTTACCGCCAAGAAATTATTGACCATCCGGCTGTGAAAGCAAAAATTGACGTAAGTTTTCTATTTTTGATGCAGTATTATATTACTTTAGGCAATTCTTCGGAATGGTCTCAATAATTCTCTCGCAAATGATGACCGACAAGCCTACAAGGATACCGTAGACATGTTGTCGGGTCTCGGTATCGACGGCAAGAGGTATAAAGAAGAGTTGGAGCGGAAAATCGTCGATGACTTGACTTTAATTTATCAGCGAAAGGCTTTAGAGCTGCTGGATTTGGGATCAACTTTGGAGTATGTGAAAAGGGCTAGAGAATACATTGGCAGGGAGACTCAGATAGTTCAAGAGGGTTATGAGAAAGGAACGGCCGAGAAAATTATTCAGGTAAGATGGGCTATATTGTAGTAGGCAATTTCGGAAAGTGGACGAAGTTTTTTTACGCAGTAAGTGTTTTCAGAAGCTTTTTTCAAAGTGTTTGACTTCGCTAATACCCGGTTTCTGAATCATGTCATCTAGGAGACATTTTATACGATGAAATGTTTCTTTCGTATAAAATGTCTCCCATGTATGAATTTTATCGATTTTGCCGAAGCAGTACCTCAAAACAAAAGAAAGTGTTGTCTCTGATAATTTTTGCTTCGGTAAGTTTTACTTTTTAGTCCTTGAAATACGAGCTAATCAGCAAACAGAAGGAGATGATCCTCAAAATCCACAATGGAATGGAAAATATGTTGGTAAATGTGAAGATTGATGATCTCCGTGAAGTGTATGAACTATTCAGCAAAGTAGATGATGGTGTGGACGCTTTGGCCGCAGAATGTTCAAGATATTTGAGGATTCGAGGGGAGGATCTCTTCCAGCAATTCAGTGGAATTGGAGGACCGGAATATTTAGAAGTATGTGGATTTTGGTCTTTCGGGAGCTCAAAGAAACTAAAGGCAATTTTGAGAATGCTTAAGATACGTCCAGTCTGCAAAAAAAATATTTTTTATTAAATTTTTGGCTATGCAGTGGCGGACCTGATCCAGTGGCAAAAAACGTACCATTTTGCTTCCGGGAAGTATCAAAAATGTGGCCAAATGCCTCCCTTTGCGACTAAAAAACTCTGTTTTGAAGGGCCCTCACAAAATCATAGTTTTTTTCACTTAAAGAGGAAGGTATTTTGCTACATTTTTGATACTTACCAGGTATAAAATGGTACTTTTTTTCCACTGTATCAGGTCCGCCACTGTTACGATAAGTTTTGAATTCTTTTGAATTTATAAAAAAAAGGTCTTAATTTATGTAAACATCAAAGAAATTGCTTTTAAAAGTACCCTGTTTTCAGGAAATCATCCAGCTCAAAGAAGTTTTCGACCGTTTTCTCAGCGAATCCTTTGACAACAGTGACACTCTCAGGACCCAAATTCAAGCTGATTTCGATTACTTCCTCACACTTGAACAGAACATCTCCCAGGCGAATGACGACAACGCCGTTCTCCATAACAATGAACCTGATTATGGCGAGGAAAGTGACGCCTGAACTCAATTTTTGAGCTTTACATATATATAACATATAGTGTAAGGTTATTTCTTTAATTTATACTTACTGAGTAAACCAATACGGGTTATAAATAGTTTGAATTGGCGGATCGAACACTCTGGTGTCCCGATTGAACACCTATTGGAATATTGGCGTTTCTTTTGCGGTTTTAAAATACGTGTTTTTTCGATATTTTATACATTTTTTTGTTATTCCCACAACCTCCAAAGCAGCACGGTTTACATTTAATTCACACAAAAACTTCCAAAAAACGAAAGAAACGTAAATTCCAACGAAAAACAAGGGAAAAAAGGATGACACACAAGAAAAGAAACTTTCAAAAACAATATTTTATTTCGAAATGAAACACGGGTAGGAAAATATGAAAACTTTCGGGGAGAAATTTAATAAGATTAAGGATTGAGGGCAATGCGAAAAATTCCGAGTTTTGGATATTACACTTGAGGCTGAAATACGAAATGAAATTTGAATGAAACAACTGCTCAAAACTGGCGGAATTGTGGTCACAGCGCAGATTTAGACTTCATAATTGATTAAAAAGTGGCCCGTTTACGAGAAAACGTTAGTTTAGACACATAATTTATCGACCGGTCGACTCGGTATTACAAATCTACAGAAGCCCGGGTTAGGCATAATACAAGTTTACGCGACGTAGTGGTACACGCGGTGGTCGTTTTGGTCGCGTTTTAGGTACTCGCGTTCGATCAGACTCTCGATTCGCTTCTTGATTACACTTGGGTCGGGCATGAAGCGGATCTTCAGCTGATTCGTTACCTGAAAATTTAAATTTACTACCCGCAGCGACTGCTATTTGATTTTCACAGCTAATCAGCTCTATTTAGACCAAAAACGTCACAAATTTTTTTCCAAAATTTATATTACACTAGGCAAAATTTGATGGGAAATCTCAATTTTCGACGTTCTATTTGGCTATATACCCCCTTAAATTGACTTCTAAGCCCAAATTGCTATTTGATTTTCACTGGCAATCGACTATCTATTCCAAAAACCCCACAAGATTCTTCCAAAATTTATATTACACTAGGCAAAATTTTTTTGAAAAATCTCAATTTCAGATTTCTATTTGGCCATATACCCCTTTAAATTGATTTCTAAGCTCAAATTTGTTAAAAAAAAACTAACCTCGGTGATGAGATCATTGTGTAGCGACTTCTTTCTGGCCTTCATAATCCTCACAATGGCCGCTTCAATCTCATGTTTCCTGTCATCATTGACCTTTTCCCTGGTCTCTTTTCTTTCGGGTTCCGTCTCTCCTCGCCCCGACACCATCTGAATTTTGATTCTAGTCAGCTTGGAAGTGAATCCATCGTTCACAACGAACTCATCCTCATCCGCCAGCTCCTTTCCGTTTCCTTTGGTCCGACTCAAGATCCGCTGACTCACTTTTCCCATGGCCAAGGACATCAAAGCCCGCTTAAAGTCCTTGTCTGCAATTTTCGTGGCTTCCCTCAGGTCTTTGAGGGTGTATTTGGGGCGTTCGTTGAACTTCATCAGGATCACCATGTGGTGGGTGTAGCACTGCAGAATTTTGTGTTCTTCCCGGCGGGCGACGGCGTTTGAGGGGCCGGCTTCCTGAAGAAAATCAAAATTTAAATTATTCCAATTGTTCCAAACGTCTCCCATCCCCCATTTCACTGTCCAATCACCCTAAAAATTCCCCTCAACTCACCGAACTATCCATGTTTTGAGCTCCATAAAAGATGGCTTTCACATCCGCAGATCCCAACGCCGGGTTCAACGCGATTCTTCGTCCATTATGTTTGGATACATAGAATGCCGAGAAGGCGTCGAACGCTTGCTTGGCACTAAGTGGTAATTCACACGGCTCCGACTGATTCGTTGGCCAATAAACCTTCGTGAGGACGTTCACCGACAAATCAATGTGACTTTGGTCAGTTTCTGGGTTCGCGTTCAAATGGGCGTGGTATTCGTCGGTGATGGTTTCTGAGAGGGCCATGTCCTTGAACATTCCTTCCAGTTTCGACGTGAATTGGCATCCACATTCGGTCTGAAAATAAAAATTATGTTTTCCGTCGTAAAATGACTATTATTTTGCGTAAGAATTCTCTCAAATTCCGAAATTTTCTATGAAAACCTTTTCTATTTTTTTTATTTTTAAGATCGCATCATAAACTACCAATATTAATAACGAAAGTCCAAAAAAATATATCGTATTTTAGGGAAATTTTCTCAGAAATCAAAAATCTTCTCGTCTAACATATTCAATACTATACTATCATTTTATCTGACTTTAGAATGCAAAAAACACAAAAAAAAATCCCAAAAATTATATAACTTTATATTCCACAATTCTACATTCCCAATTTTTCCTCTCCAAACCCCCAAACTTTCACTATCTTACACCATCCAACCTCTACTTACCCTTAGCTTGGCGATCATGCTCTTTTCCGAGTCATCACTGACACTTTTTCCGAACAACAATCTCCTGCATAGGTGTTGTTTATAGTAACGTTCAAAGACATCTTTCTCCTGCAGGAACTTGAAGAGGATCATAGACTTGTCCAGTACTTGCTCAGCATCGTTTTCATTGACACTTCTTAGACCCTTCTTCAGCTTATCATCAATATAAAGGGACAAATATTCGGGCGATTTCTGGGACAAATTGAAGAAGTAGACAAAGTCCGACTGCATTTTTTGCTTGATAACCGTATCGTTGCAAAAGGATTCGCTGAGGAATCGGTCAAACAAGTCTTTAAGGTCGATCATTTGCTAAAATGATCCGATTATCTCCAAAATCCAGTTCAATACGAGCAAATTTTATCTTCTCCTACCTGGATGAACTGGACTCCATTTGTATTCTCATTTTCTTGGACCAGCGATTGCCCTCGAGATCTGAGATAACTGGACATGAACTCGGTCATCACTGCGACTCCTTCTGGCACTTTTCGGAACAATTCGTACATGGAGCGGAGCTCTGAGATCTTCTCATTGGTCAGCATGAACACCATGCCGGAGTTGGTCATTCCGATGACCGCGCGCATGTGGGCTTCGATCAATTCGGATTTTAGGACCTGAAATTATCTTATTCAGTATTTTCAGTTACCAAAATTTTCAAAATCCCACAAGAACTCACCTTAATAATCTTGGCTTCGGTTCGTTTGTCCAAATATTTTTCCGCTCTCTGGGCCTCGTCTTCCAGACACTCATTGACCCTCTTGATATAAGCCGAAGCTGAGTTCTGTTCCAGGAATTTCTGAGCTGCATTTTTGTAGAACTCAGCCGACTCATGGAGGAAGAGATTCTCGAATTGTTCTTCATAGTAACTCCTGTCGTCCAGGCCAAGAGCGGCAAGCATTTGGATGGCATTCTTCAAGCTGAGCCACTCAATGGCTTCTTTTTGGCGTTCTGAGGCAATCATGGACAACAACGTAGCCTAAAACAATATGATAAGTAAAAATTTTTTATATTACACTTGACATCAAGTGCAATATTGGAAAAAAATAAAGTTCAAATCCTTCTCATCCCCATAAAACCCCTCCCAAAATACCATCAACTGCCTTACCTTTAAATGCGAATTGATAGAGGCATGATCAATGACTTCATTTCGGAACAATCTCAATCCCAAGTTATAAACCTTTTCCACTTTCGCTTGTTCCACGTACACTCTGTCCATGTACATTAAAATATCTCTGATCATAGTCATAGCCGTTTCATGGTCTTGCCAGACCCTATTTAGTGTGTCTAAGAAGCGATTCCCTCCAATTGATTCTTCCACTTGTCGACAGACCTAAAATCAGGTCCAAAATTGTTCAAATCCTTCAAATTCGTACCTAAAACACAACAAAAAAAAGAGCAAAAAACTTACATCAAAGGCTAAATGTTGTGTTAGGACCTCGATGAGGCCATTATACAGGATTTCTCCCCGTTTATTGAGCACCATATTATATGAATTTCTGTAGAGTTCTTCAAATGATAAACCAGAATGTTTCTTCTGGAGGATTTCGTTGAGAGCATTCTTGAGCATGTCCCAAATAGTTTGGACCACATCGTCGTCAATGGTCCTCTGAAATCAACGAGTTTATGATAATTTTCGAGGCTGTTTTACTTTTTCGAAAATTTTATCCAAATTTTTATCATCAAGGCTCGACTTTCGGGTGCCGGCCGATTCGGAAAGCCGCCGACAACATTTGCTCGCGAATCCCAAAATCTTCCGGCAACTTTTTCTTCCCATTCCAAAGCTACGAAATTCGCCGGTTCGCCGACACCTTTTTTTGCATTTCCCCGCCCCTTTTTCCACAGCAAGTCATAGGAAAAGATGCCAAAGGCACCAAAAAATTGAGTGGAATCAGAAACGAGAAGTTTGTTGTCAGATCCATGGCAAAAAAATTGTCCTACGAAATCCAAATTCTGCCTGCACCTAAAATTTGCTTGTCTGCAGGCGAATTTCGATCGTTTTGAAAAAATTTCGACGCGGAACACCAGCCTTATATTATCAATATCGGGGCTGATGTTACAATTGGCCAGAATGTCGTTTATTACTACTACTTAAGCAAGATTGGACCAAAAATAGCCGCATAGTGCCGCGAACCAGCTTTGCGACATCTTGCACCAAAAAGATATCGCAAAAACTTTCGATTTTACCCACTTTTGAATATTACACTACCTAAATTCCGAAAAATTCAAATCCAAAATAACTTACTGGGAATTGTCTAATCTTCGGTTTACTGGCTACATGTCGATTCGGTTGTCTACTCATTTCGGTACCACCGCTTTTTGTCTCTGTCAAAGCGAAAAATGATCGTGTCTTTCAATTCGGATGGTACTTTCCAAGTTTGAGGGTTGAAAAGACTAAAAAAAGAGGTTCAATCTATAAAAACCAAGTTGTATTCGGCAAGATAGGGTGGTGGAATCACAAAACACGAAAATTAATCGATAATTTTTTCGGGAAAAAATAGGATTTTTTTGACAAAAATGGGGGTAAAATAAGGTCAAAAAGTGCCGAAAGTAAAGATAAATTTAAAATACGTTTATGGTTTCGTCAGTTACCTCTTGAAATAAAGCCAAAATAACCTCAAACATTCAAATTGCATAATAAATCGGAAAAATTGGTCTAGAGCAACATAAAACTTCAAAAAATTTACTCGAACAAAATAAAAATATAAAAATATACCTAAAATCTCTTGAAAGTATATTCCCTGGAGTATTCCCATCATTTTTGATTACATTCCCCGAAAATCGCTTACTCTTTTTCGATCTTTTTTCCTATCCCCCACCTGTTCGAAAGCTTACCCCCGACGACTGTCTTCTTATCCGATTTTCTCATTGCTTTTATTATTCTAACACGTGATCAACAAGGGTAACCAAAAGGCATCAAAATTATTTTTCGAATATCGATCAATCCATCTTGTTAGTAGCTTCTTTTCATAAAAAATTAATATCAAAATTGATGTAATCTTACGTCTCACCCCACGAAACATCTTATCCTAGCTACTGAACGTACTAAATAATATTTATTATCGCATCTTCCCCACAAATTTCAAAAATTCCCAAATCTTCTCATGGATAATATAAAAAATCATCACAAATCGTCCAAGCACATCTTAACCGTATAAAAAATTGTTGTCAGTTGGGCAGAAAAACAATTTGAGCCCAGCTACTGGCGGAAAACATAAGAAAAACACAAAGGGAACCTTCAAAATGGGAAATAAGTGATGGTTTGGAGCTTCAAAAACAAGGGAGATCTTTGTCTATCGATAAGAAAAATGATTTAGAATGCGCTAAAACATCTTATTCGCTCGTTATCTACTCGTCCTAACCGGAAGAAAGCACTGAAATCGATTAACAGTACACTCGGCTCCTAGTGTAATATAAATTTTATGGCAAAATGTAAAAATGTTGCTAAAAATAGTAGAAAAAGTTCCATTTCTATGGAGAGACAAAATTTCCAGGCAAAATAAGTCGCTCTCGACCAAAATTACGCTATAAAACCGCCCGGATCGAGCAGATTTAGCCACAACGACCTTCGAAATTAACTCTCCCGTCCTTCGAAGAGCGGTTTAACACTACTAATAACAAATTTCAACTTTTTTCCATCGCAAGTGACCCCCAATTCTCTCTCGGCCTTCATGAAAAAAGACGAGTCGAGAGAGAAAAGCGACTGTCTTCATAAAGCTTTTTCTCTGCCCGTCTCTTCCTTCCGCGCACTCTCTCGCTTTTATTAGTCGGAATTCGGGAAAAGCGACGGGAATGGGGGAAATTGGGATAAATTTGATATCTGCGGACGGGAATAATGCTCTTACAATCGGAAGTCTTGACTTTAGCGATCAAAGTTCAGTAATTATTGTTCAATTTTTCATGTACAATATAAATTTTTGATCAAACCATATAAAAAAAGGCAAATTAAACATAAAATAGCGCATAAAAGGCTCGAATTCGAAGAAATAAATATAAATTGACTGCCAAATACAGCTACTTTATACCAATATGTCATCCATCAGGAAATCCTCGAGAAAATCTATCTTTATTCCACTTCCATTTTGTATACAAAAAGTGAGTTTACACCTAAATTTTAAAGTTCCTGGAAGCCATTCTTATGTCTGTACCCCAACTTCCGAGCCACTCCTTCGTAGACTGGGGATGGTGCAACATGGGCGACCAAACGGTGTCCTCCTTTGCCTGTGGGAGCAGCAACTTTCTCCTGAAAAATGATGGTGAAATACGTCTCTCAAAATTATGGCAAAATACGATCAGTGTTCCTTCTTCTTCGTACGTAACTAAAATTCAAAACAAAAAATTAGAAGAGCTTACCACCGGATCAAAGAAATGGGAGAAAGCTTCTCGGAGCTCGGAAGGAGCAGAGTCTGGGATCTTTCTGGAGGTTGGCTTACCATGAGCAAGTCGGGTTGAGAGTTGTTCGACCGACTTGGCCGCTCTCAGCGTGTTTTTCAACATCTGAAACGGAAATTATATTGAACTAGGTTAGAAATTGAAGAACTGATAATTTCTCGCGGTCTCAAAGACTCAAAATAAATCAGAATTGCCGGATCCTCCAACAAATGGCCGGAAATCAATCAAACGAATAAAAGTACCTTACAATTAACAAAAAAATGATCAATATTCACCGTCAGGTCAACGGAAAGAAAAACTTATCAAAAGACACCGTAAAAATTTGTTTTTATTCACAATTTTCTCAATAAATAGATTCTCCTAGATGGTCTTGTGGGTTCCGTCACACAAAGGCGGTGTTTTCGTGTGCTTACAACCGCACAAAAAGGCAAAACCCGTCTGATTGGGGACAAATCTCAATGGCCGAAGAGTTGTGCAGCCTGGCTCCTTGTGCGTTCCGTCACAAAAAGGCTAAAACGCAAAGAAATAATTATAATACACAATAAGAGCGTTTCGGTAATAAACAAAAAGCAAAACGCACTTGTTTCTTCGAGTGACCACATGTGCAATATGCATATGTTCGATTCTCTTCTAATTCCACTCGAAACGGCTTCTTCTGGCAACAAATACCATGTTCAGAGACGGAGACAACTTCCGGATTCAATAATTTGAGGTTACTCAGGTCAAGTTTGGTCGAAAGTTGACGAAACGACTGAAAACTAAAAAATAGATTTTAGACATCAAAATATAGTCACAGAAATTTGAAGCCTCGCAGAACTGAACTACCATATCTCTCTAAATATCGAAGAACAAAAAACTGTCAAATAGCTTACATTAAACGCTTTTAATTTGGCTCGGAGCATCATGGAAATAATTCTTGAGTTGTTGGCGGAAGCAAAGAATGGACCAGCTAAAAAGCTGTTAAAAACGCAGAATGAAGAGCCAAAAAATCCACCGGAAGTTTGCAAATTTGCTCTCGAATTGCTGAATTTTCATTTTTTCGCAAACTTGTGCCTGTTGCAGAATGCCAAAGAATTGTTTGGCATTAGTTGTTTGCGTGATGGATCATCGAAGAAAGAGCTGCATTGTGATTTTTGTAGGAATCAGATATCCCTGTGTAATGAAAACTCAAAAAAAGCAAAAGTTTGTCCTGTATTATTAATAGTTGTCGCCTTGACCGTCAGTTATGATCATTGATATATTATCCATGACACTAATGTTAAAAAATTTCATTTTTTTTGATCGCACTACGACTCCATTACGATTTTTGTAGTCAACATTATCAAAGATCGGCTCCAAATCCTCTTCCAAACCCACACATTGTTTGTCCGCCACCGATATCAACACTACAAAATGTGCAAGAAGACAGATTGCCGACCAAGTTGCGTTGCCTTCTCTCCGTTAGACTACTTTAAATCGAGGCTTCTTCCAACCCCGCAGAGGACTCCAAAATACAGCAAATCACAGTTCCCGAAGCCTCCAGGAAGAGTGCTTTGAGTTCTTTTTCGTTGATCTTCCACATGGGAAAGGAATGGACTTTGGGCGGTGTTCTTTGAACTGATAGCCGCCGTTTGTTTCTTTTCCCAGGTGGAGAACGGAACGAAGAGCGACGAGCACTCGACGCTCCTCAGCGACGGGCTTATATCAAAAAACGGGGGGCTTTTTCGGTTTAATCAATCGATTGACGCTTAAAAAGTAATTTCCGTGTAATTAACCCATTTTAAGGGCAAATCTGGTGCGATTTTTGAACGCCAAATGCTGGCAAGTACAAGTCAAGGTAAGATGTTTTGATTCTCGACACGTTTGGAGTATTATCTTCACTTTGTAAGGGCTTTTTACAAAAGTTTTGCCCTTTTTTCGATCGATTTTATCTGTTTTGTAAACAACCAACGTGACTTGTTTAACCCCCTCTTTTCTAGCGTATGTTCCGTTGTCCGCGAAGATCGATCGTTGCGCGGTTTGTGAGGATGCGGCGACAGGAGTTCATTACAATGTCATGTCATGTTTTGGGCAAGTGACTATGTAGTTGAAAATCACAGAAATGTCACGTGAAATTCTTATCTTATCTTTTGTCAATCTAATCCAAGTCTTATTAGTTCATTTTTGTTCCGGATTTTTAAAGATTTTTTTCAAAAATTCCGCCAAGAAAGATTCAAATTAGAGTGAAAAAAAAATTTTTCATAAATTTCATCCTTGTAATTTCAGTTGTAAAACCTTTTTCCGTCGGGCAATTGTGAATTCCCGTCGATATTACTGTGAGAAAGAGAATACCTGCGATGTGACCCAGCGAAGTGGCCGACAGGGCTGTAAATCCTGCCGATTACAAAAGTGTTTCGATGTGGGGATGAATTTGAAATGTAAGGAAGACTGTAATCATCATCATTGATGACCTTTTTTAATTAAAAATTTTATTGATTTTTTAAAAATTTCCAGGTTTAAAGCCGCGTCGAGACCGAAATTACTCCAATTCGAATGGGTCGGTAATCAAAGTCATCAAAGTTTCGAATTCGGCGACAGTCAAAAGCCGGCGACAAAGTGATAACCCGAATACCACGACATCGGCGGGTAATGAGCATTATTCCCAAAAACTTTTAAAATTAATCAACGACTTGACGAGGACGGATCAAACGTTGCGGAGGAAGAAAATAGGATGGCTGGCCGCGTTGGAGGAGGGGAAGAAATTAAACAAGGAGATCTCACAGGTATGTGGATGATAAGTCTGTGAAGTTTACATATAGATTGCGATTTAGACTTTACATAAAAGGTTTGTAAAATACGTGCTCTGTAACTTGCGCCGAATTTTTATTTCCTCCAGAAGAAGGAGCAAAAAATTGGTGCTCAAACATACTTTAGTATACATTGGTATAGTATATCAAACATGCTATTATATATCTTGGTATAGTATATCAAACGTCCTATAGCACATACTATACATGGTATACTGTAGCATATCTTGGAATTCAAAAACTTTTTTAAAGAGTTAAGAATTTCAACCAAAAATCTTGGCCTTTAACAATTCACTTCTAATATTATATTTTTCGTTTCCAGTACCCCTATCCAGTCACTCCACCCACGGACATTCGGATTGTCGAGAAAGCAGACATGGCAACCGTAACATCCTCTGAACTTTACTGTCTCCTCGAATGGGCCAAGAGTCTTCCATTCTTCTGCAAATTGCAAGCTCACATCCAGGCAGCCGTTCTCCGGAGATTCGCGGTTTACCAGGTCATAATCGAGCAAGGGGAGGTGACCGCAAAGAGTGGTTACAATGACTTGTGGGTTCTGCCGAATGGAACGGTCCTGCCGAAGGATGTGAACAACCTTCCACTGAGTAGTAAAGTAAGCATCTTTTTGATCAAAAAGCTGCTAAATATTTGAGTTTTTTGAAAACTTTAGGCATATGTTTCCAGGCACAAATCTCAGAAGGACGGGCATGGCGTCAGGATAAACTGTACCGCCAGATGACCGAGATCTGCCTGGATGAAGTTGCCATGCCCATGCGTCGGCTGTCGTTGATCCCAGAAGAGCTGGTCACTTTGAAGATCATCATGTTCTGTCAATGCGGACTTAGGGTGCCTCGTAAGTAAAGTTTTTGCTATGGAAATAAATGGGCATTGTTTTCCGGCTTGTCTCGGCAAACTGAGTATATTAACGTAAGGGCACGTAAGACGGCAAACTATTGATTTCTGCAAATTTCTAACAAGGGAAGTCGTTCAGATCGCAAATGAACTATGACATGAGACCTGTGTGGTTTTATAGTCACATACTCTACTATATCGAATATAAAGGCATTTTTGCGTCTGGGCCCCCGCGGCCGAGAAAATCGACTATGAAGTTTCGCAAGAAGAGAGCGCCGAAAAAGTCCTCTCTCCGAAAGCAAACCCAAACAGCTGCCCAGTTGGCCGAGTGGAAAGAGCGCTCGTCTAACGAATCTTCTTTTGGGTCGGGGGGCTGGGTTCGATTCCTTTCACCTGCAATGTAAAGGGTAAGACTACTGTGTACACTACAGTATGCGTAAAAAAATTTTTTTTGTGTTTTTCCAATTTTATGTAGATTTGTGCCTTTTCTTGAGACAAAAACAAACAAATTTAGTCGACTTTTCTCCAGACTGTTAAAAATGGCATGACTTGGAATGGTAATCGGAGAGCTTCCTGCGGCTACGCCGCAAGGCTATCGGAAAGTTGTCGAAAGGAAGTAAAGTGATTTTTTATCACTCTTTGATTTTGTTTGGACATGGGATTGGCGCCTAAAAATGTTGTGGCTCTCCTCTTGGCCGAGTTCGGAACCGGGAACTCCGAAGACGCGACTTACGAGGAGACTCGGATGGCAACCCGACTGAAGATTCTGCTGTCTCAAGCGGCGGAAGACGCGAATATTGAGGTTCAAACGGACGATGAGATTATGGACAACAATAGCAGTGGGGACGAGAATGACGATGACAGCGACTTCGAATTGGACGTTGAAGGCCATCAAGAACGTGATGAAAGAGGAACTGGAGAGATATGGATGGGACGAAAATTCGTGTCGCTAGATCAAATACGAGCAGTCAAACGATATTGGCTATCGTCGAATCGATCGGTTGGCGCTGTCAGGAAACGGTGCAGGTTCATTCGAAGCGACTACTACTGGAGAAAGATGACGGACCTGTGGAAGAAAGGTAAGGCTACAGTTTGTTGATGATTTTTTTTGTAGATGAAGTTGTCGCAGGTCGGCGTGTTCGCAGTTCCGAACTCGGCCAAGAGGAGAGCCACAACATTTTTAGGCGCCAATCCCATGTCCAAACAAAATCAAAGAGTGATAAAGAATCACTTTACTTCCTTTCGACAACTTTCCGATAGCCTTGCGGCGTAGCCGCAGGAAGCTCTCCGATTACCATTCCAAGTCATGCCATTTTTAACAGTCTGGAGAAAAGTCGACTAAATTTGTTTGTTTTTGTCTCAAGAAAAGGCACAAATCTACATAAAATTGGAAAAACACAAAAAAAAATTTTTTTACGCATACTGTAGTGTACACAGTAGTTTTACCCTTTACATTGCAGGTGAAAGGAATCGAACCCAGCCCCCCGACCCAAAAGAAGATTCGTTAGACGAGCGCTCTTTCCACTCGGCCAACTGGGCAGCTGTTTGGGTTTGCTTTCGGAGAGAGGACTTTTTCGGCGCTCTCTTCTTGCGAAACTTCATAGTCGATTTTCTCGGCCGCGGGGGCCCAGACGCAAAAATGCCTTTATATTCGATATAGTAGAGTATGTGACTATAAAACCACACAGGTCTCATGTCATAGTTCATTTGCGATCTGAACGACTTCCCTTGTAAGACCCGAACGGACAATAAATTTCTACTTTTTAGCGCTATAACTATGCTGAAATCTTAAATTTTTCATTCTTCATTTTCAGAGAAAACCCCCGATGACGTCACTATATTCAGAAGTTCAATTGACGAAATCATCAAAGCATTGTTTGAATTTTACAAGCAAAGCAATTTGGAGATGTACGAAGGTCAGTAAGAGAAGTCCTAACTACACAAACACTCTCATTGCCCGTATTTTACAATTACTACAATTTCAGAGCGTTTCGGAAACATTTTGCTGCTGATCTCCGGGATCGTCGCCGCCGCCACACCTACTCTGGAGAGCTTTCGAATTCAGAGTTTGTTCGACTTTGTCTCCTTCGATAACATTGCCAATTTGTTGTTGTTTCAGAAAACTGAAGATCGGGGATGAGTAAAGTTCGTTAATTCAGTTAGAAGAGCTTTCTTCATTTTTTATCACGAAACACACCGTTTAAATATTCGAGAAATGAGATGTTATACAGCCGAGATTTTTCGGAAGTTGGTGTCGCTGCCATTGTAGTAGATGGAATGTCGGCCGGCGCTGAAAAAGACGACATACGTACAATACTTTTAAGTTTGCCGGAATGATGTTCAAAGGTTTCTAGGACATTTGGCAACATTTGGATTAAAAAAATGGGATTTTTGACGCCGTGACAACTTGGGTCGCCAATGTAAAAGGCTATAACTGCTATATACTTCATTTTTACCGGCTTCTTAAGTTTTCCAAGTACAAGATTTTTAGGCCGAAGACTGGCAAAAACTGATAGTTATCTGTGATTTTCACGCTTGAAGAGTATGCATCCCTCTGTGGGGTACAGTATTTCATCAAAAACAAATTTTTTCTCTGAGCTAAATCCGCCAAGTTACGGTTGAAAAAAAGTTTTTGATCTTGCCGACTCCCCTCATTTTGCGTACAGAGGATTGTGAACAGAATATATCAAATTATGAAAAAAATCAAAGCAGGTTTTCTTGGATATTCACTCAAAGTAATCAATTTACTTACGTTGAAAGCCTCCTGTTGTTGAGCCTCTCCATTTCGTTCTGTTGCATTCTCTTGTTCCTCCGTTGAATATAACACAACAGCGAAATAAACATCAATGGAGCTAGAAAGACGAAGATCACAAAAGGAATGTACAAATAAAGGCTGTTGATTGGCCGTGCAATCGGCTCTTCGATCGCCGAAGAAGTCGTTATATTAGAGAAAGAAGTGTCCATATGGGCAGCGGCAACAGCCGGAATGTTTGGCCACATTATAAGTCATGCCTCAAGGGTGATGCACGTATTATGCCTTGGTAAAAATTGGGCGAATTAGCCTTGTTAAACAAGAGTTCTTTTTGGGATTTTCTCGAAATTTATTGCATTTACCGGAAGTTCTAATTGGTTCTTAGAAGAAAAGATGTATTTTTTTGGCCTTCCAATAACATATAAGCAAAGTGTTGAAAATATCAATATTCAAATTTTTTCCGAAAATTTACTTTATTTACGAAAAAATTACAGTAAAATATAAATAGAATGATAAAATAACTGTTGACTACGGCGTTAAAGACTGTCCAGTTTCTTTAACAAGTTACAATTACAATTTTTCCAAGTCATTTCGATTAATTATTGTGCAGAAACAAAAAAGATCATGTGAGTGTGAAAGTGAATAAAACAGTTTGCTTTACAAGAGTGCACCGTGCTATAAGTGTAAGTGGCGGAGCTTGTGGGTGTTGTGAGAGAACTTGCGATAAAATACGGCTACATACGGGTGAATGTGTGAGTGATATGTGAGAGACATTGCAGTAGTGCAAAAGTGAACAAAAAATGGAAAAAAGTGATTTGTGAAAAAATAAATAAACTTAAGTTAAGGAGAGTACGTGTAAGTGAACGTGCTAGGCCTACACTATCTAAAAACTCTAATTTAGGGTAAACTAAAATCTAAAAGTGGCTAAAAATAAAGTTCTAAAAAATCGTGACTAAAAGTGCCTGGTATAATATAATTGTGCATGGCGCAAAAATCGATCCACTTAAGACAACAACAACAACACTATTGCGTAATCTATACTATAGTCTATGTTAGAGTTCTATTTGTTAGTATTATAATTACTACTTAACTACTGCTAAAAATCCAAAGTTAAATTTTGTTGTCTAAAATAATACCCAAGCTAAAAAATTGCGTATTTTTGGAAAAAACATGGGTCGCTGCTAGTTACTATACAATCTAGGGGTTGCTAAGGGCCTAAAATAAGTCTTACTACTGCTAGAAAATTGTTAGACTACTTGTTACCGATAATTTTACTAAATTCTACTACTAATGCTTGGAATAACTTGGTTAGTCAAATAAATGAATCGATGAGTTACGAGGTGTGCTGCAAAAGTAAAGGCTACTACGATACTAGATTATTGCTAAAAATCTAAATTCTACTGCGTGATAATCTATGGCTATGACTAGATCTCTAGGAAACTAAAAAAAGAGAATATTGCTGTAGTTGAAAGAACTGTGCGGAAAGGTTTTGATACGCCAAAGTAAAGAAATAAGTGCTAAGACTACAGTCAAAGGTCTACTGCTTATTTAGGACAAGTAATCTTGACGCCAGCTCCCTTCAAACAGTCGCAAGACGACTTGAATCGCTGCTCGGATGACAAATGAAGTTCCTTTTCGCATTGCTCGAAGGCGGATTGGATCTTCTGGTCTGGTGGGGCAAGAGCGCAACTGAAATTCGATTGAGAGATTGGACAATATGTTGGCGGTCTTACCGAAGTTTGACAGCACAGTTGGCTGAGTTTCTACGTCCACGATGACCGCCCTCCAAGGCCTTCATGGCACAGCTGTCAACGCACCACAAATATTGACCCATCTCGGCAGGGGCTTGGCCTGGTTGCTGTAAGTGGAATAGTGATTATTCGGGGTGTCCGTTGAGGATTAGATTTGAATTTAAAACTATTAAAACCCTTAAAGCTTAGTTCAAAAAATATACGATCAAATTAAGATTATTGTAGATTTGGCATCAAGAAGAATCGCCGCGATAAAAGCTGTTAGTATTTTCAAAAAGAACAGTCTTTTCTTGCAACTGTGACCAAAAAATGATTCGTGAACTCCACCTATAAGCCTCCAAAACTTACATCCGGAAGTTTAGAAACTTCCGCCTTCACTTCAGCCTCGGTCATCTCCTTCATGACCGGGATGGTCAAGTTCTTGGGATGAGCATCGTTCGTGCATCCGACCGGGCCGGCCTTTCTTTCCACACATTTCTCCAGCTTTTCCATATCCCTCTGCTCTTTGTCCAGACATTGTCGGATCTTCGCTGCGTTTCCAATCTTCTTGATGTAAGGCTCGCATTCATTACTACAAAAAATTTTCGCTATCATGTTTTTATAGAGCCAGAAAAGTCTTGGAGAATTTCTCACCTCGTTTTACACTTTGCCGTCTTCTCCATCAGCACTTTGGAGCATTCGTCAATGTCTTTGCACTTACATTGTGGTGCTGTGGTGAACTGCTCTTTCGCGGCGTACTGAAAATTTATTGTTAGAGATGTATTTGCCTCCTATAGGGCTTTTACAATGCAAAACCCCAATTTTAATTTCTGCACAGTGCAAATCAACAAGCAATCAGCTTTTGAAAACTATGCCAAGAGAAAGAGTAAAAAACTCGGTTTTTTTGCTAACCCTTACCGTGATCGAGGCGTAGCCTAGAGTGAGAAGAACGGCAAAGGTGTACTGATTCATACCCTGAAGCAAAAATAATGCAGAAATATACACAATAATAGAAAATCTTGCAAAACTCGGGCAAAAACATCGCAAATCAGTAAAATACTGTAGAAAATCATAAAAATGATGACGCTACAGAAAGAAAATCACTTTTAAAGATCGGAAAATCGACTCTACAGCCCAGTAAAGAAGCCACGAATGACCGAAACAAAGCAAAATCGCTCTAATAACTACAACTTTTTCATTGTCTTTTGTTATTGTTTGGCTGCGTGAAGAGGTGCGTGGATTCAGCCTTATATACGAACACACAAAACATTTGGCCGACTGACCGCTCTCTCCCTCCCTCTCTGCACTCTCTCCTGTCGCCGCCAATCTCTCGGTTGTATTGGCTACTTTTTGGGTCGAATTTATTTGTTTAGACAGTCCGCAAATCAGTGACGTCTCTGGAGGCGTTAAGCCCCACAAACTTTGTTTGTTCTAGGTGCTGTTGACGTTGTGTGGAGGGGGTGTTTCTCGGGTTTCGGAACTTCCTCTCAACGTCTGTTTGATGCGCGAAGAACAATGATTATTAAAGATAGCATGAGTCAGAGACAAGAGGAAGAAGAGGCCTATTGTAGGGTGTTGGGGAAAAAGTATTCCAGAGGCGATTGCGAAAAGGACCGGAAGGTCAGACCGGTTGTTTTCGTAAGAGATGGGACAAAAGACTTCTTGTGAATAAGCAATTTTTGGATAAGTCCTTTAGAAAAGTGCTAATACATTACTAAAATTGGGAATGCTTCTTTGCAGCAAACAGAAAATCAACAGAAAAACTTTGTTCTAAAAAATAAGCGTTGCAGGGCTTGATTTTCTGTTGCAGCGAATGTAAGACATATAGCAAAAAGTTTCGAAGTGCGGGAAGGATCGAATACTGTCTGGATAAAGAGCAGAGAAATATGGAAAATTTGGAGAAATGTGTGGAAGAGTGCGACCAGTCGAGTGTATGAACGAGGCTCATTCTAAGATCTTCACCACACATGTTATAAGATGACTTTTCAAGGTCAGTACGGAGAGCTCTATAAACATCTGGATGTATACAGTATCCGGCATTACATTTACGTTTGCTTCATGATGACTAAAAAATGAAAAATATCAAAGTACCTCTGGCTTTACATCAAAACGTATTAAAAAGTTTGTGTGACTTTTTGCACGCTTCACAGTGTCATTTTACCGATATTAAAAGGTCAATGAAAAGGCTGACTTGTATTTCAAGAAGCGCAATTATTATCATCTAACCAACTTTTAATAAAAAAAAACGGTGACAATTTTCTGCCATTTCTTAAACTATCATGCTTTTCACAGATCCTCGAATAGCCCGATGTTTCAATGCATTTTGCTTTTTTAAGCTTTTTTGACCTGACATGCGATCTCCTTTCTTGTCTTCCTCCACACTCCAGCTCAAACTTTGATTCAAAGTTTCATTAACCTCCCCAAAGCCCCCAAATCCAATCACCCAGAGCCACTTCTTCTTCTTGTACTTGTTGTTATTCATTCACTCGGAATCCTGTCCATCTTTCTCTCTTTCAAACAAAAACAACACCGAAGATACTGGAAATACAATGTGCCGCCGGAGGGAAAACCGAATATTTTCCTTTTTTTCGTTTTTCGCTCGGCACACGCAAGTCGCTTTTTTGTGGCCAGAGGAGGAGGAGGAGGAAAGCTCGACATTTCAACGTACTTTTCTGGAGTGAATGTGGATTTTCCCGACCGTGAGAAATTACTTTTCCTCGCCTGTAAGCGGCCCGGTCTCTGTGGGGCCGGGTTAATGGGATTTTACATAATTACGGGTTCGGCTTACTTAGGTAGTGGTTTTAACTTCAAAAAAATGAATGATAAAGGAGTTATTTCATTGGTGGGGTGTTTACTTTTGATGGCGCATCAGAGAAAAAGCCGGGGAAGCCGTTGAAACTTAGTTTTGTCGGGTAGAACAAAGGATTAGATCGTATTTTAGAGATGGTATCAGAATTTTATATGGGACTGGACCATAGTAAGTGCACAGTGACATAGTCAAAAGCGGGTTCTTTGTTTGAGAGCCTTTTGTAATTCCCTGTGACTTCGCTGCAGCGAATATCAGCAAATGTTGATGATTAAACTGCACTCAAAAGTCAAAGTGTAAGGAAATACATATATCTACATATATATCCTTCATAAAAGACACACATAGACTCTGAAAAATCCTTGACCATTTTTCGCTTACTGGCGGTACAGATTGTAAAATTTTGTTGTAGCGGTACCCTAATTGTTTTGAAATTCATTTTATTTTGCATTTTGATGTCTAATCGACGTTTCATAACGTGATTTATACTAATCTTGTCTGTGTGTGATTACAAAGCACACACATGATTGTTTTGTAAATAATATCTTCTGTATATTGTCAAGGCAACGGGTGGAATACAATTAAATTTCGGTCGTGCCGACGTTCTTTTGCGTGCCCCGAGGGCGTTACTCTTTTCTTACCTTTGTCAAATTATGCTTGTCATGTGGGTGGAATGACTAGTTGAATTGTAATATTTTTATTGGGAACGATGTTAAGCGTCTCGTATTTTACAATGAATTCACTTTTTTCGCAAGTTTTGCTATCTTTTTCTCTATAAAAAATCTTGTTTTCAGGCTGAAAATAAGCCAGATCAAAGGTGATGTCGAAGATAACCTCATATCTGGTGGCTCCTCCGAATAAGAGTGCTAATCATAAGTATCAAACAAGAGCCAATGTGGAACGAATTACTGGCGTTGCAAGGAAGAATATAACGAATAAAAATAGCGATTATCTGGTAGGCTATTTTACGATTCTTTGAGTTATAAGTTTAGGTGAGATTACTGGTCTTTTCTTCGTGTTTTCTTTGTCTTTCTTTGTGATATTTCTTTTGGTATATGTCTTGTTAAATTGCTATTGAAAAACCCGGTAGATCCTGTAAAAAATTAAGGAAAAATCTTGGATATTTCATACAATTTTACGGTCTCAATGTGAGCCAAGTTTCGTCAGAATCCAAGCCATATTTATATCATTTCATATCAATTTCCCCATAAACTTTAGTCTTTCCTCTTGTCTAGCCTAATATCCAAATATCATCCCTTTCCGTGGCAACCCTCTCCTCCTTTCTCCCCTTATCTTTCCGGAAATCCGTAAATCCTCTTTCCAAAAAATTCTCCCAAAATTTCATCGCCTGACCCCGAAACAATCGACAAAATTCAATACAGGCGCTGCGTAACACTCATTAATCACCGCACCGAATCTCCTTTTTCCGCACTTTTGTCGACGTTTCCGAGTTTTTTTGGCGCAGAGACGACGCCAATTCGGGAGGGGTGAGACTGTGAAAGGCTTGTCGATAAAATCCTCATGTACTCTGCGGAGATTTGCGAAATTCGAAAAAGGGGCTGTCGACGGGACAATTTGACATTTGAGGTGGAGGCAATTGGATGTTGAGGTATCTAGCAATACAAATCAAAGGTAAAGTTTGAGAAGAGTAGCCCTGGAGAGGCCTGGAGAAGTGATCCAGGCGCGACGTTGAAGCTTGCCAGAAATCAAGATTAACATTTTCAAAGACCGATTTTTAACTCGCGCTTTGCAAAAGTGATCGAATTGTGGAGTGGAAGTCTCTTCCTATGTATGAAGAATAATATGATAGGATAAGCATCTACAGTTTTAAAAAAAAGCAGGCTTTAGAAGCTACAAGTTGCTTATTTTTAGCCTCATGTCAGCATTTCTGCAATTCAAATAAACGCCAGTCTTTGGACAAAAAAAGTAATTATGAGTTTGTAATTTGGTATCAAAAAATGTCACAGATGCGCATAACGAGCGTTTATTTTGCATCACTTAAAAAGTGATCATTTGCAGCTCCAAAAAGGCCTCAAAAAGTATCCTGGAACACTTCTTTCTTTTCAGAAACTCTAAGTTTTTTCTGTACGCCATTACTTTTCAGATCTACATGTATGTCTTTTGCCACCTTTCAACCTTCCAAAAAGTGTACATAAATCTAACTGTTGCGTATGCTATGTAGCACCTAAGCCCTACAAAGCCCGTCTCCAGACGCCTCCAACTCCCCTACAAATCTCATTAGCGGATTCTGTGCGCGCTGTACTCCGTGAGGGGCGCCGTTGACGCTGGCGCAGCAAGCCGGGCGACGAGTTATCTATCCCCTTCCCAAATTTGAGACAATATATCCAGTGTTTCCGCACCGAAATCGCCGCCGATAATCAATTTTATCGTTTCGGTGCGTTGACGAATCTCGCAATTCGTTTTTTTGGGCGCGTCGCTGGCGGAGATAATACGGTACGACAACACACACACAGCCAGCGGCAAAAGGGCACGGCAGAAGCCGTTTTTCTCGGGCGGGGAAACGAGGTTAGTCGTTTCAAATTTAGCCCTGATACCCCTAATTTCTTTCGCGCGCCGCACTCTTCCCTACAAGAGTGCACCGAATGTTTTTCCGTCGACGGAAAAGGGGTTTTGTAAGCGGAAAGTTCGACGACGGAATGCAACGGGAATGGGGATGTTGGGGTCTTGAATTTGAATTTCTTTATCGGGGGAAAGCCAACGTTGCAAGGCTCAAATTTTGATGAAACTTGGGGCAAATAAAGGCTATTATTTCTTTGAAATTTTTGAATTTTTGTTGCTTGCGCGTTGCAGTATATCACCCAAAAGTTTGGCTCCTAATGCGGTCTAGTATTCGATTTTTTGGCTTAAAATTTACCTGGAAAGTGAGGAGAGTCGATCAGAAACAAACTTTTTGGCTATTAGGGTGTCCCATAAGTCTTGTGTATTTTCGGGTTTGAGAATTAAAGTCTCGTTTCGCAGGTCTAAATGAATGAATCCCTTAATGTTTGGTACTGTTGAGACCGCCATCTTTTACAATTATAAGCATCAGGTGGATTTTTTTGCAGCCTTGCTATGCATCGTTTAAAAGCGCAATTTCTGAGCTTCAAAACCGTATGTCCAACATATCTCGTAATGTGTCTCAGAGCTCACAAAAATTCCCACAAATCGACGACCCATGAATACACAAGACTTATGGGACACCCTAATATATTTCTTTGGATTTATGAGCAGAAAAAAATAAATTTCCGAGGAAAGTATCCACTATTTCCTTGTCATTTTGGTATGTCATCATTGAGAAACCTAGAGAAACTAAGAAAATAAATACTTGATTTGTGACCTATATTTGATCGCGCTTGAAAAGTTCGAAGAAGATGTAGCGTTCTTTGTCATTCTGCAGCAATTTCTGTTCACACTAATACTTTACTTTTATTTTTGTATCATATTGACCATGATGATGTTTGAAATATTTTTCTTACTTGCCTGTCCCTCTATGACCGTTCTCGCGACTTCCCCTGCATTCTGTTGTATTGTAATCCCATCTACAATACCACAACCACTCGCCCCACCACATCTCCCAATGATAACCCACCGAAAATGCTTGGAAAGTAATTGTCAGACAGGAAGAATGATACGACAAAGTAATGAATTGTTTCGTAGATAACCAGTTTTCGGAGCCGGGGGGAGAAACTGTTTGAAACGTTGTCGATATTTGAGAACTTTCTTTTTTTTTTGGGTTTTGGGGTGACCATGTTAGGAATCGCAGATATACTTTTTAGTTGGATACACTTTTCGCCCGCCGATATTTCCTGAAATTGTTCGGTGATGGTCAAAGTGCGCGACCATCCCCTGATTCACCGCGAAAGTCTGGAGGAATGGGGAGGGATTTAGGTTACTGTAATTGGGGCTGCGAGTTTCTGTGGGGAATTTTGGGGAATTTTGAGGAAAAAAGTTTTTTTTCGATTTTACGGATTTTGTTGGGCGAAAATGTAATTTTTTAGGCTTCCATACCGTATAAGAATCTGTGTTTTAATCTTTATAATGCTTTATTGTTGCACTGTCACCATAAAATTTATGATCTCTCACTTCAAAGTCATCATTTTTTAATCTTCGTTTTTAGGCTTTTTCTTTTTCAAAAATTGTAAATTTTTTTATTTTGATGTGATGATCAAACATCATTTTATGTTTTTTACAACCTTTACTACTTTGTCTACCCATATTTGATGCAAAATTTATAATTTTCGCCTTTTACCCATCAAAATCATCATTTCCAAATTTTCGTATTTTAGAGTTATCTGTTCTTCTAAAGTCATCATTCTGTTTGCATAAGACTTCCTCTCAAAATGCTCTACGGTATTCAAAAACACTTCATACTCTATCTACCCATATTTGATATCAAATTTCCATTTTATTCAAATCTCCCTTCACAAACTTTTTTATTTTTTTTCAAATGTGAATTTTTGCAAAATCCAAAGTAAATTAGACGCCTTTAGACAGTAAATAAGAGAGTTTACAGTCCTTCCTGGGAGTGGTCACTCCCTTTTACCATCTCCTTTCGATCTATACAATGAAACAAGGATCCTGTTTCCCCTCCAATCGCTCGGCGACAATGGAGTTTTGTTCATCGAGTAGGCGTCAAAGGTCCTGCAGATTGTCATCATATGACCTGTGGTTCCGTCTGATTCTATTTTGGTCACATTTTAACTTGTAATTTGTTGTATTTTCGAGATTTTTTGTCTTTTTCATGGATAACATGACTAAAAATTTTGATTTCTTAAAATAAGGTTATTTCGATGTCTAACATAAGATTATTTTGCATTTTCTGGTGTCGTAAGAAATGATGTTCAACTGCTAATATCATTAAATTTCCCTATCAAACAAAAAAATCGCAAAAAGATCTGGAATTTTGTCAATAACCCCCGTTTTTAATGGGCTTATATCTTGCGAACCATTAATGGGCACACGATATAGGTTATATGGACTGAGAGCTTATTGTGTGTGCTTTACGACGAGCTAAACGTTTTTGAAAATATTGAAAAAGTAGGGGTAAAAATTGAAAACTAAAAAAAATTAATTTTGGCCTGATTGTTTCAAAATTGTCCATAAAAAGTTGTTAAATAGTACTGTAAAAATTATTTTTCTGTCAGTTAAACCCTCATAAGGTACTGATCAACTAGTAATTTTTTACGTATTTTAAAAATCGCTTCCATTTCCTCCAAAATCCGATGATTAATCACCACCTTTCTTCACAAAAATAAAAGTCCTGTCGCACTGTTGTATAATATCACCCTGTTTCTTCCCGCCGCTACATTTTACGGCGCCGCGCGGATTTTTTTTGTCATTTCAAAAAAATTTTTTTGGGGATAAGGCGCGCAAAGTGGGGAGATACGAAGAAGGAGAGGGGAGATAAAGAACAAATGTTGTTTCGTAAAGGGGAACTATCCGTTTTTCTGTAAGTTTGGCATGAAAATAGCGATTTTTTTTTTGTGGGAAATCGGTGTCTAATTTTGAGATTTTTTGGATTTTTGATGACTTTTTTTGTTGATTTTCTTGGCGAAAAAAGCCGGAGTAATATTTAACCATATATAAAATTTTGTTTTAAATCGTATTTTAGGCCGGTTAAAGAAGTTTTGTCTCATTTTTGGGCAATTTTGTAATTGCCCAAAAAATTGTCTCAATCTTCCTCTAAATTGTTTTCATTCTGTAGGTTATTAGTTTTCTAATAAATACATGCTATTGAAGGCCGTATTTTACCTCTTCTCCATCTTAAATCTCTCATCTTTTGTCTCCACTAGCCCCTCTAGGATAAGATAAAAACCCAAATTTTTGGACTAATTTCCCCCTCAGGTCCCTCGATATGTCGTGAGGACATCGCTCAACGCCTCCACATCCCCGTTGAAGCCGCGGCCCATCAAATTCTTGAGGCCAATACGGCCAATTCTTGGCCGGAACTCGAATGGAAAACTTGAGACAGATCTGTAAGTTTTATCGCAATTTTTTAGCGATTTTTCGGCGTATTTTATATAAAAATTCTTTCAGCGACAAGCCCTCAACTTCATCGCCTGCGGTCGCGAATTTCGGAAATGAGAAATTGAAGCAAAAAATCACCGAAAATCCCATAAATTACCGCAAAAATCGACCGGTTCCGTCGACCACCAGCGTCCCGCAACTCAACCTGATCCAAAAACAATTCGATTTGATCATCAACAATGCCGACTTCCGGCCCCGCGGCGACTGCACAGTGCGCCGCGTGAAAAATGATGATCGCACCGTGCAGGTGCCCGCGAAACGGCTTCGCACAGTGCACAGAAAAGAGCAAAATGGGAAATGCACAGTGCAAAACGAAACAAGAAATGCGAATTGCACTGTGCGGAAATTTGAGAAAAAAGGATTGCGCACAGTGCACAACGATGAACAGAGAATGGATTTCACAGTGCAACAAGAACAGACAAACACTGACTGCACTGTGCGAAAGGACTCTTTCAAAACTGACTGCATTGTGCAGCCAAAAATCAGAAATGGCCGCTGCACAGTGCGAGAGCGCAGCAACAATTGCGACACATCGCCCAAGCCCTCGACATCAATTCCAACTTGCACGGTGCAACCAACATCCTCTCCAAACATCCGCACTGTGCAACCATCAATTTCCTCAACCTCGCGCACCGTGCTCGTCGCACCGGATGGAAAACGCACAGTGCAACGCGTCTCGTCGCGTGACACAAACACGTCACTGACCGCTGATGGAATCGCGTAAGGAATTCGGTGTCGTCGGTTGTTTCATTTTCCGCCCGCACTCTTTTCTCTCTCTCTTCTTGTCTTGATTTCCTTCTTCGTCGCGCTCCGAGTTCAGTGGGTGCGACAGGTTTCCGAGAAAGTGCACTGTTTTTTTGTTCATTTCGCGACAACTGTGTCGTCGGCGGACTTCCGCGTTTTTGCACTGTGCGCTGTCGAATGAGAAGATTGATGGGAGTTTGCACTGTGCGAAGGGGTGGATGCACTGTGCAACTTGGGGATCCCTCTTCCGCTCAGTGCAGCGACAAACGCTTGCTTTGTCGCCTTGGTGATTCAGGGGATCGCTTTTTTGACCTTGCGATGCAAATTTCTCATCGCCAAAATGATTTGGCTTGCACTGTGCAAAAATTTCTTCCATTCGCGACATTCCGAATGTTCAATTTTCCGCACAGTGCATTCAAAATCTCCCCCCGTCTCGATTGCACTGTGCACTGAAAACAAACAAAACCTCGGGCGGCGATTGGCTGTCGCAGCGACAGAAATCACTTCCTGAAAACATTTCTGTCACTTCCAGAAGCGCGACAAGCCCTCCCTTTTGTCGCGCACTGTGCTTTTGATGGGTCCTTCGGATCGTTTGCCGCCAATTGGATTTTTGTCGCGAACAAAGAAAAAAGGGAAGCGCGACAATGAACACAGTGCAATCAATCCACACGCACCATTTTTCAAACCCAAATTTCGGTCCAAATTCGGGGGGAAGCGACAAAATTCGGGGAAGGAAGCGACAAAAATCCCATTTTTTGTTTTTGAGGCCGAAAAACAAATCAAGTGCGATTTCATGGGATGTCGCGGGACTGCACCCTCCTTTCCTTCCGCTGAAATGCAATTTCACGCACCGTGCATTTTGTCGCATTTTGTTTTTGGGACTCGAAGGGGAGAAGAGATTTGGCCGCACCGTGCGGGGGAAGTTTGATTGCACTGTGCGGGAAAATGTTGATGAAAAGAAGGAATGCACAGTGCGTTTTGAAGTTTTTTTGCGCTTTTTGTTTTTGCACAGTGCAATCCTTATTTTTCTTCCATTTCCGACTGCACAGTGCAAAATAAAACCTCCGAAACGCCTCCAAATCCATTGTTTTTGATCCAAATTTAATTCACAACCATCTGTACCGATATTCTCGTTCCTCCAAATGTCATTTTATGTCATCGGACCATCCAATCCAACACGGAAATCGCCCAATTCCAATGCATATGGGCTCTAGGTCGTTTGGGAAATTGATTCCGTCCAAAAAAGTTTTACCGTCGCACCGAAATCCCTCTCCCTCCAAAAGCGAAAAAAAACAATTTCTCCTGTGACGGATCAAAGGCATTTTGGAGGATATATGGGGGAGAAGAGGGGGACATCTGGCCGAAATGGGCTCCGCTCTCCTGACAAAACTTTCGGATCGCCTGGGATTTACATTGCGGAAGGTGAGTGGGCCAAAAGTCGGAGGAGTGGACCGCGTTTTTACTCGGTCATATCAATTTCGAATTCTTTTGAGGGAAATTCCGGGGTTTTTGAAGTTTTTACCCTTAGGGCATAAGGTTAAAATTCCGTTTTTTGTAGATAAAGTCTTACCAGTTTGTATACAGTTGTCTACCACGTTTTTGAAATTCTTCACACCTTTTGAAAAATCAATTTTGGGTATTGCCACGAAAACTTGAATTTCTTGGCATTGCTTTTTTTGCTCTCTAACAATTTTACCGCAATTTTTAAACCATTTCCTTGCATTTCCTATACAGTAACCTCCAAAATCAGCAAAAAAAGTTGAGAAAATACTGTAAAAATTCCCTACCGTCTAAAAACCCCTATTACTCTCCTGTACCAAAAATAACTTTTGATTACCTGGTCTTTTGACATTCCCTGACGTCTACAGGATTACCTTTATTTCCTCTATTCGCCCGATTTCACAACATCTTCCCTCTGCCCAAACATTGGCCCTTTTGTGGGCACGATTACGATTACCACTTTTACATTAGGGCCTTTGCTTCGACCGTCTTGAAAGGATTAGTTACCTAAGGGTCTAATCACAAGACTTACTGTCCTCATTTATTTCTAATTCCATTACTTTTTCGGCGGTTAATTACTCGTTTTTGTGGGGCCGAAGAATGGCCTAAGGGCATACATGGTATTTGGAGTTTTACAGGTATTTCTAGTATACGTCAGGCGGCGTGGTAATCAGCAAAGTACTTGGTAATGCAGTTACTGTAAAAAGTTTGGGGGGATTCTGTTTTTGAAGGTGTTTTCGGGGGAAAAAATTTCAAATTTCGAAAATGTTCCAAGAGCTTTTGCTTTTCTTTCAGTTTCTAAATCACGCCCGAACTTTGAAAACCAAAGAACAGTAACAACTGTGACACAGCACCTAAGGCACTATTTTTTCGACAAAGTGCGGCTTGTTTTTTCCGGTTCATAACTTCGGTTCTAGACGTTTTCTGTTATTTTCGGTAAAAAGGGATAAAAACGGGCTCAAAAATGATGATTTTAAGGATAAATCTAGACTGAAATTCCCTTAGGCAATCATATTTTTGAAGATAAAGGCAGTTTAAATTTTAAAAAATTAGGTTACAACCCGTTTGTTGGCGCTTTTAAACAGTTTATCAGTATGTTATCAATGCTATATGCCGGCCGTTTGTTTGCTTCCTGAACCAACTTTTCCAGACTATGAAAAAGCTATGATTTCCAGCTGAAACTCTGCTGTTTGACCCCGTCCATTATCACACAGTTTGTCATAATTTGTAGGCAATTTAGGAACTGTAGGGAGCAGGTGTTAATTTTGCTGTTGAATTTGGTACGGACCTTGGAAAAACTGCTGGTTTATATGTAAAGCTATACAATTTATGCCTTATCAAGCTTTGTCATCCAATTTTATTTGTATAGTTTTATTTTCTACTACATTTCAGGCTTTTTACTTTCAGAAATTTTGAGGTTTTTATATTACCTTAGAGATTACCCCAAATTTTTAAAATTTTGCCATAATTATTCAAAATTCTCGTTTATTAAGATACCTTGTTTCTCATTTCTTTCCGACCTGTTTGTGAGTGTAATAACAATTGCCGCGATATTAGAAAGCCAAAAAGACGGATCGTATTAACCGGTAAAGAGAGTAATATCGAGAGAATTAGAGACCGAATTAATCTTTCTTTCACTGTCCAAAATGGCTGATTGATGGGATTAGGAAGAAAAGAAAAGCATAGTACAGTTTTAAAGTCACTTTTCACAATGCATTGGATCATAAAATAGGGTGTTAAAAGTATAAATATGATGACATTTTCCATTTTTTTGCACATATTTAGGCTTGAAGTTATATAAATTGCAAAAAAAAAAGATTTTTCTCCACTCAAAAAGTCAAAAACTCGCTTTTTAATACAGTAATCTGAAACAAAACTACAAAAGAGTAGCGTATTAAGAGAGGGGAGATTTGAAGAGCCAAACAAAATGGAGAGAAAGGCGAACGAAAGCCAATGGGAATTTTTATAGCGGTCTCTCTTGTATGCACAAATGTCTGGCGAATTGCACAATTTATTGTAACCCTTTTACGGCCATCACTGCGCAATCCTCAGCATACGGCAATCTTGGACTGCAGGAGAAATTAAAGGCAACGTATTTTACGTCTTTCTTATAAACTTTCGAGGTGATTTTGGGGTTATTGATTCTTATAGTGATAGACGCATAACATTTCTAGCAATAAAGCAACTAGAAACCTTGTATATATACAAAATAAATCGCAGAAAATCGAATATTTTCGATTGAAAAATCTTGACGATTTCTTGAAAGCCTAAGCCAAGGTTTCTGGATGTGTTTTAAAGTCTGAATCTTAATTGTTACTAAGCTTGATCAGATCAAAATCCAATGCATTTTTGTTCACTTCCTAGGTATTCTTGATACAGTAAACCCCGTCAAATGAAAATAGTGCCTAGAGATGATCCTACGAAAGTCTAGCCAATCCAAGCGGCACTTACTGCGGCTTTTCCTCACTCCGACAATCCTCATGTTCTACGTGAGCTCACGTCTGATCCTTCGCTTCTAAATCAAATAATAAACAAGTAATAATGACAATCATCTCACTTTTCTTTTTTTCCTCCTCTTTTCCTCAATCATTTGTTTCTAGAGATCGACAATTGGTCTCTCGGAGTGTTTCGTATTCTGCTGAAGAACTGTTTCATCACATTACTCATCATATTGCAAGAAAGATGCACCTGTACTCGAAAAGAGGCGAAAATTTCACGTATTGTTAATTCCGGAGATTAAAGAGCTCTGCTGAATCGGAGCGCTCAAATTTTTACTATAAATTTGGCCACAAACTTGGAGCTATGGCCATTTTTTAAATGTGTTCATTGAACCAATATTGTATTAAAAAAAAGTTCGGGTTTTATTCGAAATCTTCGACCTCTGTTACAGTAATTAATCCTGCCCATTCATTGCCGCCACTACATTCAAAATTGTCTCCTCCCAATCCCGTCTCCTCACAGTCCCCATCCAAACCAACTTTTTTTCGAATCGGGCCTGTACATCGCTCCAAAATGCCATCAATTTATTTGATTTTTACTGTCCCAACTCTCCTCGGCCTGGACCTTTTCCCCTCGCCCGTTTTATGGCCATTCTACTGTAACACATGTCTTCTTTCGTGGCCGACAAAACTCGGGAAGCCATTAAATGCAAACAGACCGGCAGACTGTTCGCAAAGCGGAAAGGAGGGGATAGAAATGCCGGAGGGCAATGCCCGGCTTCGAACGGGAGATCTGTCCGGAAGAGGAAAGAAAGACTGTGGCCCGAGACCGGAGAGGGTTTCGGTTTCGTTCTGGGAACTATTCGAGGTTGGACCTGGGAGAGAGGGATACGAAGTGGATGAGTTATATGTACGTATAGGTTATGGTTACAGTGAAATCTTTGAGATCTCAGAAGTAATCGTATTTTAAAAGCAATCTCTATTTTTCACCCTCCTTTTATCCAACCTATTCCATCCATCTGCACTCCATTTTTTTTTACATTTTTACAGCCTCGTCGTGTATTAAGCCGCCTTTCCTACGGCCTTTCCGTTCGTCGTGGCACAGGGTAATCCAGAGCTGAAAAACAATGGAAAACAGGCGGTTTTGTGCACTTTTGTTCGGGCAATCCGACAGATAAAACCGAGACGAAATCGTGGGGATAAGAGGGCCGAAGGATGGAGCGGAAATTTGCGGTCAGATATATTAGAATGGGGAAAAACTTTGGCATTTTTAACGTAGTCTCTTGCTTTTGACATCACACAAAAACATTTTTAGGCTTTCCATTACTTCTATGATAAATTTAGTACAATTCCTGTCTACTACAGTGTTATAAAGTAGTCGAATTTCTTACTGTATTAACTACAAACTTCGACCAATAAGGGCTTTCGAAATTCTCCCAGTAGTCTCAAATTGTCATTAAACAGTCGAGCCATGTACACACTTAAACGTTTCTATACAAGAAAAATGAGGCTGTAATTACATCCGTCTTTTCGGCCGTGTTCGGCCGTCATTCTGTTGTAGAAGCATTTGGAAGGGAGCAACGGTAAAATTTTGTTTTCAAAAATTGCTAGTTCTATTTTTGACGATATAAATGACAACTTCTGCGAAAAAAGCGACTTTTGCTTCCTTGGCATAGCAATTACGACACATTTTTTGTTTGTTTCACCCTTATTTTCCAATGTTTGGCCTCCGCAAAGATCGGTCAATATCTTGGCTGTAATTGCAAAGAGACAGCTAAGATTTACAGTAGTCTTATAATGGTCTACAAGCCGCATACACACCAAATTGAAAGCAAATCTCTTTATCGCTGTTTGAGAAATACCTTGTAAGATTTGAATGGCATTAAATTTTAGAAATGCTCAGATTACACAATCATTATTTATAAATCTTTGCTTTATCATATTACACAATAACCGAATACATATTTCACCATGCTTTGTCGCCCTTACGACCGCATAAACTGTTTGTTTACATTCCGTACTCAACATATTCTAACCATTCCGTTTCAGGCCCCATGATGAAACTTTCCCTTTCTGCGGCTGTGAACGAAATATCTTGCCCTTAATATGGTCACACAGTCGGGGACGATTTGAATAAAGTCGTTAGGGGCTTTCAGAAAAATATCCTCAGGGGACCGGCGACACAAAAGTTGTTTTATGCGATGATATCCATAAAGTTATTTGAGATGGGGACAAGAAACGTACATGATACTTGCGAGGAGTATTATCATACTTTTCGTTATTTGTTGTGTCGGAAATTGAGGAGATCTTAAGTCTATGAAGGTAGGGTAAGGGTAGATTTGTCTTGTTTTTAAGATACCATTAAGAAAACCCCTAAAAAATCTAGCAACCATTGAGATATGAGATTTTAAAGATACTCTTATTGCTTGTAGAAACGTGCCTTCTTTAATATACAACAAGCGTCATTCTTTCCCCCACACTTTTCCGTTTCTATCCCTACATTCCCGGCATTATCCGCTCTAACCCAATTTAACAGTACGCCGATCCCTTCTCGTCGGCGGGCCTTCCGTTCTATAATTCCATAAAATTTTTAGTACAGAACCGCCCGAGGCGGTGTTGTGTCACAAAAATTTTTATGAAAACCCCCGCTCGCTCCGGAAAACCGAAGCCGACCGTCGCAGTCTTCAGGAGGAGCGGGAAAGCGGGGAGGAAGGGCGGTGAAACGCGCGAGAGGCAAGAGGGAAGTGTCTCGGCCGCCGTTTTCGTGCCGGTTTTTACAGGACCGGCGCCGGCCCGAAACACAAAAAAGGAGCGCAGAACCGAGAGTGCTGTAAGAGGAGGGCCAGCGGCCGAAGCGCATGGTCCGGAGAGTGTTTGAAAAGGACAGGAAAGTGCCACAAACGTTCATGGGGTACTCGGCACGGGATCTTGTGATTCCGAATGTGAGGTGTGGGATGATTTATGGAGGGTACTGTAGAAATAAATTTGGAAAGTCTAATCGTCTGAAATTTCCCAAGGTTAGTTATGCGACTGTTTTAGACATCATAGGCAAAAGATTTCAATTTTTTCGCTACAAAATATCATTGAAAAACATGGGATTGCTTGCTTGAGATCATGCTCAAGTTTTTTTAAAGTTTTTTTAAAAATTTTGTTCTCCACTGTAAAATCTCGACGGTTTCAGCAACGCGTGAGCTAAAAATCCATTGTTCACATTACAAAGTTGCAAGCTTTATTAATGCCAAATGTTATCGAAATCGAAAAGTCATATGGTGGGAATTTTTGGGTTCATCAAGTCTCCCTATTCTCTCACAATTTCAAAATTTCTACTGCCCTCCTTTTGTCATCATCTTCCTTTTTGCACTGTACGTCTTCCCACATGACCTTGGTCATGATAACCTCTGCCTCCCTGGCCTCATCCTGTCCTCATGCAAGCAGCGTTAATCAAAATTCCATCCGACACTTAGGGTGTTGCAAGCAGACAAAAATTTTAATTAAACGAACCGAGTCCATTCCCTACCGAAACAAGCCCTGTCTTCCTGTATGACAAGCGCTTCCTCGGCCGAGCGGCCGCAGAGTGCCCTTTGTAACACAAGACACGAACCCTCCATTTTCTGTGCAAATGCTGCTGCCCTCCGGCACCGAAATTGCTTTCCCGCGAGTGTTTCGGGAAGTGGAGGGGCGCTGTATGGAATGTTTTGTGTGTCCCACCAAAATTTCTCGCGCACAAACATTTTGTGCCATATTTCATTTCGGCCGCCGCGCTCGATCGTAAGGGTCAACTGGGTCCGGGAGCGGAGCGGAAGGGTTCAATTCCCCGCCTACTGTAATACTTGCCTACTTTTGTCCGCACTTTAAATGACCTATTTGAGGGCCAAAGAACGGAGTAAAATGCGTTCTTTGATGAGAGCGGACTTTTTACAGAATTAGAAAATTATAGTGTTACTAAGAATGACAAAAGTCTTTTTGAGACGGCCTTTGAATTTTGGACCATTTTATAGCGATTGTAATGGATTTTAGTCATTTTTGTAATCATTTTTACAAACTTTCATCAATTTTTAAGAAAATGTAAAAATTATTTTTTTTTTTGTTTTTAAGGTAGTAATTCTGCACTGTTTTCAATTTTGCAGTAACAAGAAAACTGTTTGTTTTATTTTTCGTCTAGTAAGCCCTGTTGCTTCGTGATGTTTATCTCATGTTTGATGTTTTAAAAATCTGGCCTTTCGATGTCAAGAATAATATAAATCTCTCCTTGGAACTTGGAATTCAAACTATTTTATGTCCGAGAGTAAACATCAAGCCCTCAACCGTAGCTCACATGCCCTTTCCCATTACAATACTTTGCTTGTGTACGTTGCCGGAGGGCATTCTTGTTCTTTCGGCCGAAAAGTTTCTTTTGTGCGAAGAGAAAATCTCTCGCGGCCCAACTTTCCCACCCAAAATTTCGGTCGGAACTTGGTGAATGCGCCCCACTTGCAAAGTCAGGGTTTCAGTAATGAGGGGCCGGTCCGCGCAACACGCCTGTTTCTGGCCCTCAGGCCCCGAATTGGCGCCGAAATGGCACTGTCCAAAATCATTCGACCGAAATCTTCGCCGCCGAATTTCGAAGTCTGTGCCGGCCGATGGGAAGAGGAGGGGGGACGGCGCGCGCGTTGTAAGAAGGCAGCTGTCAATTTGGCCTGAGGCCGCTTACAGCGAGTGGCTGTAAGTGCGGTTAGCTCCAAGGGTCTTGGTAGCGGCGGGAAGGGGCCGAAATTTAAATAAGAAAGAAGGTTCGGTCGGCCGGCCAAAATCTCGTTTAATTTCCGATTTTGCCCTCAAGGCATATGAGTGGAGAACACAGGGTATGAACTAATGGAGATTCGGTAATATGGATTTTAAAGTTTTGAAGATTTTTTATATATTTTAGTTTTCTAAGGTCCTCAAAATTACTTTGCTATCTACCATGCGCTTCCTACGTTTGACCATTGCCCTGCCATGCCTTTAAAAATCTCAAACGCTCTTAATAGGGATTTCCGGAAAGAAAGTGCATTTTTTACGCCCTCAAGAAAGTATTGCTAATAAAAAGTCGCTGCAGAAAATTACCCAAAGTGTTGTAGCGTGCAAATGAAAATTTATTTTTAATATTTCGCGGATTAAATGGTGATATTTGGGAAAAGAAACGTTGAAATTACATCCTTTTCTCCCGCTGGTTTTTGGCCCTGTCATTGGCCCCCAGCGAACGCCACGCAAGGTCCCTTTTAATGAGCGCTGTAAGGAGTGTAATGGTACGCAATTTCTGCTTACATCATTTTAAAAATCCCGGCCATCGCTAATTTAAAGTTAATTTTTTTTATAATTTGTTTCCTCCGAAGAGTGTAGATTTTACTTTCAATAACTGTACTGTTTATAGTGTTTTTATTATTTTTCTATTGCGTAATTCTCTTCCTAACATTGTGAAACTTCTTGCGGGATGGCTTAGATGACGGACACGGCCATCTTATGTTTTTCTAGGACGTTTTCTTCGTCGTACCATGCAAAGGAAGAAAAATGAGAAGTTTTTTTTCGAACAGTGCAAATTTTTGTACAAATCGGTCACGGAATAAAAGCGACGTTTGCGGCTAATTTCATTGCCCGTCTATGTTAAAAGTGACAAGAATAATTTACCTTTTAAATCGACCAAAAATAAATTTCAGTGCAGAATTGAACTTTGTGACAACTGTTTGCAACCGAATTTAAGTCAGCAAAATAGTTTTTATACAAAAAAGTTTACCTAAAAACAAGTTTCAAAAGTGAAAAAAATATTCTTTGACGGGATAATTACTTGATTTATGATATCTTCCCCTTAGGCCATCAACATTTCGCTTTCCCGAGAAAGACGGAGCGCTACTGTAGTACTGCTAATCTGTTCTTCTTCTTCTCGCCCCATCCCCTCAGGGCGTCGACGGCGAAGTTTATTCGGATGGTGGTGCTGACCGAAGAGCACAAGAGTAAGAATGGGATTTGTAAGTGCTCGAAGCAAGAAGGGGGAAGGAAACAAGAAAGAAGGGCGGCCCCTCACAGAAGCGGCGTAAGAAAATACATTTCGGGAGGGGACCGGAAAGTCCTGTCCGTGCCGGGATTGTGGGTCCCTTCCACAGGCCGACAACTGTTCGCTATTTTGAGAGGGAGGCGAGGAATTCGAGAAGGGAGGAAATTTTTTCTTTTTTCTTTCCTTTCTTCGGTCCGAATGCTTTTGTGGATTAGAATATCTCAGGCCAGCTGAGGATGGGGTACAGTCACGAGAGCCGTATTTTCGAGTTTTTCTGAGCTCCTCAAGTCAGGAATTGCCTTGTTTTCGACGAAAGAAGCGAAAGACTTATGAAAATTCTTTGTAATTTTAGTTTGGACCTTGTGATCAATCCTTAATCATTATTCTTAATATTTTTGAGCTTTGATTTGTCTATCGTTTACAAGATCTCTTTGTTTATACTATCCGAGTTCTTGTGAGCCTATTTTTACCCTTGCCATTAGTTAAAGCTCACTGTGGTGAGCACTTTTTACAAAACCACACTTTTGAAACCTCTCCTCAAATTCACTTATCCGACCGTACTTTCGCCGCGAGCACTATCTCGACCAGTGAATAGGCGTCAGGCCTCCAACTAATTGCTTTCTGCTCCGTACAAAACCCATAAAGGCGCCCGAGGCGTTTTCCGGATACCGGCCCAATTTATTGCCCAATTAAGGGCAGCCCAAACAGTGTCATAAGGTACGGGGCGGCGGATGAATTGGGTGGTAATGGCCAATGTAAAAATATGCACTCTCGGTCGCCCTCCTGGGAATTTACCCACCATTATGTTGTGGATCCACGGGGGCCTAGTGGGTGATGGTATTCACCAACATACATTCGAAACTATTTCTGAGCGAATGTAATTCTCTGGTGCGGTTGGGGAGTTTTAGTTAGGAGTGGAGGCTAGGATATGAGCAGAAAAAGGATATCTTACAGTACAAGCGGCAAGACTGTAAGAGCTTTATGTTGAGAGACATAAGGATATTGCTTTATTCCTCTGCCAATCAAACCATCTTCTGATCCCCGTATTTTCTTCCATCTCAAATTCTTCGCTGTTTTATCGTATAAAAACCAATGACTGTAGGTAACTTAACAGCCCCTAAGCTACATAACAGCCCACATAATGCTTAAGTACTGCCATTTTTGTACTCTAAATAACATGAAAATTACATTATCAACCGTGGCGTGACTAGTTACTGTTTGATTTTTGCCCCATGGCACTCACTACACATTCTGTACCTTATATTTTCAACCCTTATTGCTCGCAACTTTCTAGACCACAAATTTACAATCGCTTCATACCGGCCTATTCCACCACTTCCTGTCCTTATTACTTTTTATTAAATTTGGATGCCGCGCTCTAAAATTCTACGTCATTTTCCTTCCCTAATGCTCACCCTCTCTTGTAAACTTATTCTGATCTTTTGTTTGGGCTACAGTACCCTTTCTGCCACCGCAGCACGGTATTGTCATGCACGGTGCGCTCCGGAAAAATGTTTTGTGGGCCGCCTGAAGAATTTTCGGTTTTTTTGGCCTGAGGGCGCGCCGCTTTTCCCGAGGCCATATAAAAGCGGTGCATTTCGGTAATTGCGCCTGACGGTCGCGTATAAAATGTATTCCGAAGAGGAGGAAAGAAGGGGAGCGAAAGGAATACGGCCACAAACATTCCGAACATGTTAAAGGCCCCAATATTTGGCCTCCGGCATTTTTGTGCTCTTTGAGCTGGACCGTCTGTTTCCGGCTCCTGCGGATTTACTGTAATTGGCCGTGTTTCAGAGTAAAAAAGATGGTTTCTGTTGCAAAGAAAATCTCGGTTATTCCTTCAGGCTTTCTGAACTTAGCTATGACAATATTTTTTGAGCAAAATTCAAATCAACTCCGTCATTACGACGGGTTTATTCAAAGGCGCTCGAAATTGTAAGTTGATATTTTTAGTCAAACTAAAAGAGCATATTCCATGACCTTTCAAGGACAAAAATTTGTGCAAGCCCTCCCTCTGCTCTCATTTTGCTCGATATTACATGTCGACGCTGTCAAAGCATCTTACCATAATCACAATAAGCATCATATTATCAAACCCGAATCATGCCATTTCAGTACATTTACATTTATTACACCGGAAGCCTACGCGGATGTCCATTTTGCATGTTCATTTGGGATAATGGCATTGTACGCACGACTGTTTTTACAATAGTTTCGTTATACATATTTGGTTCTTTCATCCAAAAAAAGCCCAAGTTTTGCTCGAAACCCGGTCGATTAGCGAGATCGCTGCATAAATTTACAAAGTACATACAAGCAAGGTTTCACCTGTTCCAAATAGAGTCTTTGAATATCTTGCGGAATTTTCAATTTGATGACAAGTATTTTCGAATATGTATTTCCTGGTACTGTATGGCACTGTGGCCCATTAATTACGGGCTTTAATTGGCATTTTCTTTTTTTTTGTAATTGTGTATTTGTATCGGGTTTTATTGGAAATTTTATGGGTTAGAGGGTAAACAGTCGGCGACATTTTATACGCTCAAATATGCCCTTTTCCCTGGAGAATGGTGTAGGGCAAAAAAAACGAGGTCAAATATTGAGAAAAAGAAAAATTCAAATTTTCTAAAAGCCGGACATCAAATTGGGACGGTAGTTTCCACTTATTCAATCAGCGAATGCCATCATTTCCGTGCATCTTTGATGCGAAAAACCATAGCTATCCTGGTAACCCTAACTAACGTTTCGACACAATCCTTACCCATGGATTAATATAACCCGAGTAAATCTTGTAGTATTACTCTAAGAAACCCACCCACCGAAGTCCGCTCTCGCCCCTCTCATATTGTACATGGCACCCTAATTCGGGCAGCTGATGAACAGTCGAGGGGCGAGATTAGGAGTCGATTGTGGGCAGGATTAGGACCGTTTTCACTTCTGTTTTTCTACATTATTATGGTGTCAAGTATGCACGGTGCGCTAACGAGATTTCAGACATTTCGCGAATGACTTTTGATTATCTACTCTGGTTTTATATAACATACCATAAGGTTAAATATCTGATAGATGGGGAACAAAGACCATACCCCGAGTTCCGTGTAAGAAGGAAACTGTTTTGTCACAGTACGTAACCATTTACTAAGCCCCCATTCAAAGGGTTTTCATATTTCCCACGTTTTCCGTTCAAAGAAATTCAGAAGATGATAACTGAAATACAATGTTTTTAACAGTTTTTAAGGAGATTAATAAACCTGGAAATCTCCGAAGATAATCAAAAATAAAATATCCTCTAAATTTCATAGGACGTCAACAAAGCTTACCAATTCACTAAAGCCACTACAATATTTCAGTCTTTTTTACTGAAATACATTGTAAGGATTACTTCGATCTGTGTAGCAAAATTTTTACGCATTTCCGGATTGCTACAGTAAGCTACAACCAAGCTTTTTTGCCCTAAGGTATAATACGTATAAAATTCTTTATGGCACAAATATGAACATATACATTGCAGTCTTAAGCCTTTCTCTGCAATTTCCGACATTTTATCCGGCTTAGCGCTCCGCAAAAAGAGCAGTATAATTTTAGTGTTCAAAAATCTTCAGCCTTTCCCCCAACTTGCAATTTTTCAAAAGCCCTTCTTGTAACTACGTAATCGCCTGTCAACCCTGAAATCCCTTATTTGTAACAAACCAAATCTCTTGCCTAAACTTGACTACATTTTTTATGTCACAAATGTCCCAGATTTGCACTCTAAAAATCCGTCCTTTACTTCATGGACACTTTTAAACTCTCAGATTTCGTAAATGATCTCTAGTTGGACCTTATTAAGAACTGTTTGAGACAGTTAATGCCGTAGGCAATCATGCTCAGCTTATCTTATAGTAGGCGCCGAGCAGGATGAAGATTACGAAATCCCTTCGATTTTCCTGGCTATTTTTGTAAATTTGACGTTATCGTGTTGTCGACTATCCTTTACGGTACACCTTAATCCCTTCAGTTTTTACAATGTCAAAATTTTCAGTTCCAAAACGGCGGCCTTTTCGTTAGCACACTTGCCGGCGGCGCTGCTGGAAAGTTTCTCGGCGCTCGCCGACGGAGAATCGTCTTCGGCCGCCGATCCAACACAGTCCACCTCGGCCAGTTCGCCGCTGAAACGGCCGGCGAGTGAATCGCCGGAGCCCGACGCCGAGGCCAAACGAAAGGCCAGCGAACAAGCGGTTCGATTGTTCGCGGATTTGAAGGCGGTTTTGGATCATTCCCAACCCAATCAAGAGGGTTTACAATACCCCTGCGGACAGTGCGAGAGAACCTTTTCGAACGACAAGATGCTACAACAACACCAACAAAGCTTCCATGCAGAAAAGAATTTTGTCTGCGAGATTTGCAATAAAGCCTTCAGATTCAGATCAAATTTGGCGGAACATCGGAGTGTTCATACCGCTGTAAAGCCATTTGTCTGTCGATTTTGTGGTAAATCGAGTAGGCTGAAGGGTAAGTTACCATTTCAACTACTGAAATCAGCCCAAAAACAAGAAGACCTAGCCAGTATTGTTTCAAAACAATTCAAACTAGAATTTTAACGCTTATACGTCCGAACACCGTGTGAAATTCGAATTCTCGCGGTTTCTGATATGCCATTACACCTTAAGCCGATTAAGAAACAATTTCCCTGTCTTTAACAGACTCGTGAACAGTTTGTTTATAGTAAGGCATTTCTAATTGGCCCATTTTGAATGTTTACAGCAGTTGTAATCTAGGCCAAAGTAAGTCCCTCTCCATGAATATTACAGAACTTTCGTGTTGAAATAATGTTCATTGTTACTTTTTTTCTGGATGTCCCCATTGTCCTAAGATTTTGCATGGCTTTTTTTGTAAATTCCCTTATGGAGAGACAAATAACTCCCAATTAAACGTGGATTTCTGAACATTTTCGGTAATTAGATGACAGTATGCGATATTTTCCCAATTAACAAGGCATTAGAAATATACAAATAGGCCATGTGCGCCATGAAACCACGAGCGATTAACTTTAATCCTCGAACTTTAGATTTCGTCCCGTCAAGCGTGTTTACGGATAAACTGCGTCGGATTCCGAACCCTGAACAAAAAGTTCGGGATTGTCGCAACTCAAATCCTTTACTCGGTGCACTGTTAGCCAATTAGCGAGCGAAATTAGGCCTTCGATTAAACCCCCGCTCAATTCATCCAATAAAAACTTTGGGACTAATCCAGCGAGAATCAAAGCTCAGAGGAACCCAAAACGCCTTTTTAGCGAGCTAAGAGAGGTGTAGATAACCGGTGAAAATTAAAGCGCGCTGTTTTCGTGGATAATTTTCTGGAGATCCTAATCCCTTCCGCTTACATCCCAGATTACACTCTTAAAAATAACCCTTCTCGTAGGCCAATGCGGTTGTGGAAAAACTGGAAAATTGAGCAGATGGGATTAGGGAGCGGCCGAAAAAAGTGTCACTAATTCCATAATCGCTTGATCTTAGCCCCCACAACTATAGAGTCCGCATTTCAGGAAATCTCACCAAGCACATTCTGAAGCACCATCGTTCCGAACAAATCGAGCACATCGGCACGGACGATATTATCATCAAAAAAGGGAAGAAATCGGTGAAAGATCCTGCGGCGATTGATTTCTTGGAAAAATCGATGATTGTGCTCAACCCTGATGGCACTCCAGTCAATGGGAATGGTGTGCCAAGTCGGCCAGAGTATGCGGCACAGCCACTTTCGAGAAATTCGACTAGCAACTTGAGTGCGTCCGACGGATCGGTAAGGACAATATAATTTTGTTTCTATTTATATCTTTGATCTCCTTGCAAGCTCAAAAAGTTCATAATTGAGTAGAAAATGGTTTGACAGCTTGAAAAAGCCATAAATTATTTCAAAATCCTTCATTTCAGGCCACCCCCATGGAGAACAAACTTGACACGCCATTAAATGGGTTTTTACTGTCCTTCGGCCTGGATGCCGGTTCGTTGGACTTAAAGGGTGACTCATCTGACGACAGAGAGAGTGACTCATCTGGACTTGGTAAGAAATTTTGTTATCGTTCAAGGGTTTCAAAGTTTCGACAAAAATTTTGGAACCCAAGTTCAATATAACTGTCAAATTGAAAACAAAAAAGGAAGACTAAAGCAAATTTGCCTTCAGGTAATAGCACAAATGACCAGCTTCTCGAGAAATGCAATCAGTTCATGAATATGAGTGCCAATGATCAGCCTGAGATCGAAAACGAGGAGAAACACGACGACTCAACAGATGACGGATCGGTCTGCCATTCGTCCGGATCAAATGTTCAGAATCTGAACGCCTTATTCTACTCGGCTGCCAACGCTCTAAACAATACAAACAACACACATTCTCTGGCGGAATTTAACAAAGCAGTGAAAGCGGACGAGGAAAACAAAAACGGAGGAGCACCAAAGCCGACGCAATGTCCAGAATGCGGGAAACACGTCAGAAAACGTAAGATCTACGAAAATTACCCAGCTAGAGGACGAGTATACCTAAAACAACAAGAAAAAATTTAAATTACCTATCTACTTCAATCCAGTACTTTGTTTTTTCAGCCAAAGACCTGATCACCCATCTCGCAACCATTCACAACATTTCCCCAGCGAATCCAGATGAGAAAACTGACCGAGAGGCGCCGAATGAGTCCATCAAGTCGGATGTTAGGCAACTCCTTCAAATTGTTGGAGAACTCAAGGCAACTTCAAGTGATTGCCACAAAATGGAACAGGTGGGTAATGTAACATAATATTATAAAAAATTTTAAAAAAACTACTAAACTAGTAACAGTAAACATGTAAAAATAAATTTTGTTTCTTCGAAAATTCTTCCTACATCTTGTTGCAAAATGCCAAAAACTTTTTACAATTCGGCATTGAAGGTTTTCGTTGTGAGACGCAGATGTGAAAACCAGTTTTCAAAAGAAATGTTATGAAGCTGATTTTGTTCTTTTCAGACAGTTAACTTAATCGATGGTCGTGTCGGTAGGCTGGAAAAACAGTTGGAAATGGCCCTGAACAGCATCTACACCTTGGTCCAGCTGCAGACCGGCGTCAATAATCAAGTAACTCGATTCCGCGACGACGCCTCCGAGCAACTGAACCGCGTGATTGAACTGCTCGAGGGCAAAACGACGAAATAGTGCATTCTCCCCCAAATTTAACTGCAATTTCTCTCCGAACCTCTTGCCAGTTGAACTCTGGACAGGGTACTGTAATTTCTTTGGTTGTACAGTCAATTCTTGCTTCTACAGTGCTCCACGTGCTATATTCTTTCCAGAAAACCCCAAAAGCAATCATGACACACCCGTCTTTTTCCCGTTTCGAATCTCTCTCTAACAAGGATGGTGCAATTTTTAATCAAACGATTCTTTCAGTTGTTGGTAGTGTAATTATTTAGTCAGTGCGTCAAGAAAACATACTCCTGTCTAATATTCGTCAAGAAAACATTGTAATACGGCATGTGGCGGGGATGTGTGGGCAGGTTTTTATGATAAGCATCAACAATTGCCTTAAATATGGTTATTTTTGCCTAAAGTAAGGTCATTTTTTTGATTGCAACCAAAAAATCAAACATTTTTCGATGACTAAAGACCTCATAATCTTGCGCAATTAATCTTAACAGTCTTCCCACACATCAGCCTACATTTTTCAAGAGATTATGATATATTTTTTGTGGCAATCTGTACATGATGGACTTTATTTTATGGAAAACCTCATTAAACAAGTTTTTATGAAAGGGACTATGATATTTACCATTTCTTTGTAACGCCAATGTAACGTAATTGCCTCTATAGGGAATAAAGTGGCTCATTAGGAAGACGTTAATGTACTATTTACAATGATGTTTCAGTAATTTTCGGATTACTGCTTACTCTCTTATTGTAGTTTAAAAGTAATGAAGCCATCGAAAATAGTGTTTATTCTACTTTTATGTAATAAAAGACAGATATTTGGTATGGTAAAGCCATTTTTTGAACGAAAAAATTAGATAGATCAAGAATTACGAAATTTAATGTACAGGATTAGAGTAAAACAATGTCTAGCGTACAGTAACCTTTATGAAGATTACTGTGTAATCTAAGGGGTGAACGCGCCTTTGGCTGAGTTACATTGGACAACCGATTTTTCGTGAGTAAATGCGTCGAATCCGTATTTTCCTTGGGTTCTCCCGATTCCACTGTTCCCAACTCCGCCAAATGGAATATCGTTGTCTGAAAAGCGTATTTTAGAAATGAAAAGTTACCAGAAATTTTCCTCAAGCTTTCTTGAAGACCTTACAATCAATAAAAAAATACATAAAACCAAACTTACTGAAATATTGCGACATTACGTCATTCACAACAGTGGCTCCGCTGTAAATCTCCCGACAGAATTTCTCCACAAATTCCTTGTCCTTGCTGAACAAATAGCTGGCCAACGGCTTCTCTCTGGACTCTCTGACGAATCTGAACGCCTCCTCTTTGCTTTTTACAGTGATAATTGGGATAATGGGAGCGAAAAGCTCTTCTTCCAACAAAGCGTCATCCGCCTCGACCTCCACAATATAAGGGGCGATAAACTTGTCGTCATGATCATCATCATCGTCAGATTTGTAGATTACTTTTCCTTTGGAGGCTGTGATTAATCGGTGAACACGACTGAAAACGGAGCTTTTATATATGACGAGAGATTTGACCTTATCTTAGAGATCAACAAGTCATCAAACATAACAAATAAAGTCTTTGCTTACTTCCAATGCTTTTTGCTGATCATCCTGGCATACAAAGGATGTTGTTTTGGGTGCTTTCCAAAGAGCCCAGTAACAGCAGCAACCAATTTTGTGACAAATTCTTCCTTTACTTTCTCATGAATGATGACATGATTGGGGCAGATGCAGACCTGCCCATTGTTCAAATATCTGCCCATTATGAATTTGCTGATCACTTCGTCAATGTCCGCAGTCTCATCGATAACACATGGACTGAAAAATTTATTATTACGCCGAGTATTCACCCACCATTTTCCTCCCATTTCCAGCGTTACGGTGGCCAAATGTTGGGCAGCAGCAGCCATGACAATCTTTCCAATTTGAGTGCCGCCGGTAAAGAAGATATGATCAAAGTGTTGTTCGAGGAGACTGGCAGTGTCCGAGCCATCTCCTTGAACCACAGCGACATATTCCGGATCAAAAGTGGAAGTCAGGAGGTCTTCAATGACTTGAGCCGAATTCTCCGCAACTTCTGAAGGCTTCACAACCGCCGTGCAGCCGGCACCAATGGCAGCGATAAGTGGTCGAATCGTTAGTTGAATTGGGAAGTTGAATGGACCAATAATCAAAGCGACGCCTCGAGGCTGTTTGTAGACAAAAGCCTTGCCGAACGGAGTTTCTTGACGCTCTTCCGTCGCGGCCCATTTCTCAATGTTCTCAACGAAATAATCCAAATCGCCGAGGATTAGATCAAACTCGGTAGCCTTGGCAATACTTTTCGCCCTTTTGAGGTCATCATGAATGGCGTCAACGATTCTGTCAGCAAATTTAACGATGGATTCTCTAAGCTTCAAAAGTTGTTGCTTCCGGAATTCAACGGGCAAGGTTGCATCGGAATAGAAAAAGTCGCGTTGGCGTTCGACAATCTGAAAAATGAAGTTGTACTTCATTCAGGGAGTGCTCAAGGAAGCCAAAAGTTGAAGTTAATGATAATATCCAAAAGAGTAACGTAATTACTTTCCCCTACTTACCGCATTGAAATGGTTGGCTCTACTGTTGACTGGCTTCTTTGGTGCCGGAGATAGTGCCGGGGCCAAGTATTCGGGAGCTTTGGTAACGTTGGTTGGAGCCATCGAAATTGGAGGTGTCTACAAAAAAAATTACAGTTAATTAATCTGCGGAAAAATAGCCACTGAGACACGCTAAATGCTTGATAAAACTGTCATCCAAACATCTCTTCTTTATATACTGGTCAAGACTACAGTTTTTTAATCGTTAACCAAAGACGTCTTTCTAACCCAGTTTTCCCCTCCCAAAACTTTTTACCCCCATTTCATAGACAGTCGGCAACAAGGGGTTACAAATCAAAGGAATAACAGGAAAGGATCATATTTTTTTTTTCCTTGTCGCTAATCAGTCTGGTCGTTTCCAGACAGATGCAGTTATTACGAGCAGTGGAAGTGCTCCAAGTGCAACGCATAAAAGAGTTTCATTTAGCAAAGTTTAATTAAAAATGAAAATGTCAGGGGTCAGTAAGGAAACCCCCGTGAACGTAGTCCTGTCATAACCAGTGAGCAAACTATGGGGTGTCTCAGCTTGATATAAATTCTGTAGAAATTGGTGCATTATTGGCGGAGAAATACAGTGGGGGGCCTGATCCAGTGGCAAAAAACGTACCTTTTTGCATCCGGGAAGTATCAAAAATGTGGCAAAATGCTTCCCTCTCCAAGTGAAAAAAACTCCATTTCAAAAGCGCGCCCGCACGTCAAGAAAAAATAAAAGAAAAACGGGCGCCCAATGAAAAAGCCTAGAATTTTTTTTGGCATTCTGCCCTGTGCAAATCCGTTTTTGTCCAAATGGTTTGCAATATTTTGACATAAAGATTAATAGTAAATCACAAGATATTGATACCAATAGAAAGCTCGAGAGCTGCTTAAGCTAATAGAACCAAAATATACCCATAATCGTAGTATTTTGACAGTTTTCCATGGCGAAGAATGCAACGTCTAAATAAAAGTTTGTATCGACGATACCGACTCAGAGAGCACTGGAAGGAGGTATAGGCTCCACGTCAAAAAAATCCTTAAACTGTTCTTCGAGTATCTACACCGGTCCCGTCCCGCTTGATGGGACAGTTTTTTTGATAGTTGGCCTTGAAATTTGCACTATTTTTAGCCTAGCTCGAACCATGTTCAGAAAATGCGTCACGATGACACCCATTTAGAATGTACCAGCGGTATAAAAAACAGTTGTATACGACTAGTAGTACTCCCTAGAGTTCCCATTAAAAAAATTAGGTTAAAAATTGTTGTTATGTGCAATTTGGATGACAGGTTTTATGAATTTTTTTTCGCTGTGAGAACCTTTGCAAGGCCCGCAATTTCTTGACGTGGCCCGCTCCTTTTGTGAGGGAAAGGGTGGGCTCTTCAAAACGAAGTTTTTTCATCTGGAGAGGGAAGCATTTTGCCACATTTTCGATGCTTCCCGGATGCAAAATGGTACGTTTTTTGCCACTGGATCCTTCACTGTGCAAGAAACAAGGTTGGAAGTTTCGCGTGGCTCAAGTCGAAAACTATTTCTTAAGTATTTTACTCTGTGCCATGGAAACAAATGATTTCTGACAAAAGATTGACACGGCCGAAATTTCGGTTGCGGCTCTTATAGCTAGGGTTCGGAACATTCGGGTATATTCACCGCGCGGGTATATACCCGAAATTTCGGGTATTTATAAAATTTGCAAATATACATAGTACCAATATGAAGTCGTTTGCAACTTATTCATTAACTTATTCATGTTTAGGGTGATATTCTTTTACCCTTTCATCTTGCGACTCCGGTAACTGGCTGACTAGTTTTCGACCTCAAAACCAAGTTTTCAACGAAAACAAACAACAAATTATGACAAAATGTCAACACTCATTGATTTTTTATGACCAAATTCCACTTTTTTTTGCATTTTTAAACGTTAAAAATTCCCATAAATAGCCGAAAACACCCGGCTTCACGGCTTTTGGGTATATACCCCGTCCGAACCTTCTCTTAGCTCCTAGAGACGGAACCGAGGTCAAATTTGCAGCTCCGGCTCCCGTAAATTTAACTGTTTCTTTTGACTATATAAAACTGTTGACAAAGGTTGTCACGCTTTTCCATTAAACCTTGAAACAGATAAAAATACCTATAAATTTAACTAACTAAACACGCCCAACGTTCCTGAGATTGAAAAAAAAACTTTTTACAAAAATAAAATTTATTAGTGTCAGAGATGACACATCCAAGGTTTTTGAGCCAAGTCGTACGCAACACATCATTCCCAGTATTTTTCGAGCATCGGTTTAACAAGATCATGAAATTTTTACTTTTTTGGACGCTGAGAAGCCTGGCTCCGACTTTGGGTCGGGAGCCGGAGCCAAAGCCGGCTCCGGAGCCGTGGCAATCTCTGTTTTTGATTGCGGTGAAAATTGGTTAGTGGGGATGGGGTTGTTTGCAAAACACAGTAAGAAAAACAAACATCAGAAAAGGGACTGATCTCAAAAACAAAAAAAGAATACCGCAGGAGAGGTTGGAAATATTTATAATATTGACGATGATATTTATAGTCGTATTTCTTATCAGGGAAATAGAGTGTAAACTTGAAGGGAAACACAAACCATTAGACCATAAGACAGATAGATTTGAAGGGTGCACTTCTTTTTTCGGCGATGGTTTTTAATATTTTTCATAGATTTGGAACTAACTTCTGAAAGATTGGGTGTTCATTTCTCGATGACAACGTGTTCTGCAATGATGAACGAACATTGGGATTCTATAGATTGAAAGCACAATGTGGGTTACGGTCATTACAAAAGAGGGCGGTAATTGGAAAGGGCAAGTAATGAAAGCTGAAGGCGTTTGCAAAGGTGGAGAGATAGATATGTTTTTACAGAGATTTTATTCGAAAAACAGGGGCAATTAATTTTTTAAATTTTTGGGAAACATCCGGAATTAATCACTAAAATTTCACGATGATTGTCGTCTTTGATAATTCTGGAAACCGTCGGTAGACTGCTTTTTTACTAATTTTATTATGACATTGTGCGGTATAAATTATTACACATATATTGAGTCACCGATGAGATAATGGAAATATGCGCAGTTAGCCATGCGGGGCCAGGATGAGAGAAGAAAAAAACGTTTGTTACAGTGGGTACCCCGCAATCAACTTTTATAAACTAGTAATAGTCAGGGATTGCCACGGCTCCGGAGCCGGCTCTTGGCTCCGGCTCTGAGCGGCTCTGAGCGGCTCCGAGCCGGGAGCCAGAGCCGGAGCCGGAAATTTTGGGGTCGGCTCCGGCTCCCGAGCCCAAAGTCTGAGCCAGGCTTCCCAGCGGTCAGAAAAGTAAAAATTTCGTGATCTTGTTAAACCAAATTGCCTGAAAAAACACTGCGGAGGATGTCACTTGATTGCAAAAACGTTGACTGCGTGATCTCTGGCACTAATAACTTTTATTTTTGGAAAAATATTTTTCAAAAAAAACATTTTGCATAGGAGCCGGGATTCGGAGCCGGAGGCCTTTATAAATTTTGCACGGAGCCAAGAGCCGGAGCCGGAGCTGTAAATTTGGCCTCGGCTCCGGCTCTGGGAGCTAAGAGCCGGAGCCGAAATTTTGACCGTGGCAATCTCTGGTAATAGTACATATGAGCTAAATAAAAGATTGATTGATGGATAAACTATGAAGTGCAAACTTTCGATTTTCCTTTAGCACTCTTTCAACTTGTTTACCAAATCAAGCGGCATCAAAGTGCGCCGGTCCTTATCAATACAGCCTAATCTTAAGCTCCCTTGTCTAACTATGGCTTTTCTCGTCTGATCGCCTTAAAGCATTTTCGCGTTAGCGCAAAAAATTGCGACGAGAGTTCAAGCCGTTTAAAATATGTACTTTGCACAAAGCGAAAAATTTTTTTGAGACGGAGAAGCCAATTTAAAAATAAATAAATTGCTTCTCATTTTTAGTCTGACCAAACTGTAAAAAATACGTTTTCTATCATATTTGTCATCAAAGGAAGAAGGAAAACAGTCGGTTACAATTTACAGTAAATACAGAGCATATACGGGCACAATCTAGCCGTTTTTTTTGAATGGTGGAGAATTGAATGGTCTCCGAAAATGGTGATAAATCAAGTCCTGAAGTTGTTCGAAAAAGATTTTGATTACTGGAACATTGGTGTAAGAAAAACATAAAATTAACAAAGACTTGCCCAACCTAAACCTTGAGCCCAAAACGGCACTGAACTGGCCTACTTGGAGAATTTTTAATGAAATACGCCTTGTTCTTTGTTTTTATGAACAGTAAATGAGAGAATCCGGAAGTTCCCTGGGTCCGATTTGATGATAAATAAATAAAGCCGACTTTAAAAAAATAGGCAACAAAAATGATTGAGTATTTCTCTACCCACCACCCCAAGGGCCAAAAGAATCGAAAATCATAAATTGCAAGGGTCAAAGTTTTAAAGCCAAAAACCGTGATGCAACGTAACTCAGGATAACCCGTTTCAAAGAATTTAATAAATCAAACCTATGGTATGTCTTACACAGTAATAAAACAAACTGATTGTGTTTCGAATCTCGGTGAGAAAAGAAACCATCAGAAAACGCGGACCACACCGACAGTTAAATGATAACTTCAACTAGTGTTACACTTGTTGGTAGAAAAGCGAGAATTAATAGCCAAAAATAAGGCTTTGCATCTTGATCTCTGCGCCTCGTCAATCGAGCGTATTTGGAGCTATCTCCTGACCAAGATTCAGTCGAAAGTTATGGATTACACGAATTCAGAAGAAACAAAGTCAAGGATACTTTGGGTCGCCTCGATTCGTCGTTGGGGGAGTCTAGGAGAAGGCTTAGTCAATAGAACCATTATGGGGCACCCTAATAATAAGATTGATCAGTTCCTAGGACAGTTTTTCTTTTTAATGTCCAGCTCAGGAAAAAAACTCAGGATCTTGGTTTTTTGGAGCAAGTTTTGGTCTTTTCTATGTGATGTATACAACGGCCCATGGTCAAGAAAACCAAAGTTAGAAAGAACTAACATTAGGAGAAACGATCACGTTATATATCATAAGGCTTGGCGAAGTCACCGCCGAGCGTCTGCAGAGCGAGCAGCTTCGCCACACCTCGTCGGCGTCCTACGCCTCGTATCGATTGTGTGTCGAACCGAACGACCCGAACAATCGAGACGCGATCAGAAACTGATGCTTTCGATTTTTGATGATTTTTTGAGACCAATTTCGTCTATCAAAAAAATCTTCCGAAAAAATTTTGATAGCGAAAATTGTCTATACCTGCAAAGTTTTTTTTCTTTGTTATAAGAACTTACTTTCCTCAAGGCTATGCCTACTCCGAGGCTGCCAAAAACGACACCAAACGCTTTTCGAAGGAGAGTGATAAATCCTTGTACGATCAGCTCCAGCATTCTCCAACCCTTTTGCCCTGTGAATCTCAACGTTTACTTAAATAAGTAGTTTACGTTTGATTGGCTTACAATATCGAAATTGGGCAAATTTAATGAAGTTAACAGTAGTCTGGAGTTGTTTTTTACCGCCTTCATTTTACAATAATCCCGGTACAGTGGACCTCGGATAGCCTTCCCAGAGCTAATTTTAGGACGTAGAACGAAAGCCCTTTCTCAAAAATAAAGTTTTTGCCTTGTGGTTTGTTGAACGGAGTTTTGATCGTATATTCGTAAATATTTAGTGAGGTAATGAGTTTTGCATCATATTGAATTTTTTATCTCCCTAATTTTAATATTTCTTTGCATAATTTTCCACAACATTCAACCAGCAGTCTTTAATTGAAAACAAAAAATTAAGCCAAATGCTAAATCATGATATCTGTCAAACTTTGCAATCAACCTTCCAGTAAGAGTAATTCACAGATAAAGTCAACACTAAGCTTTTTAGCCTTTAAAAATTGAACTGAACTTTTTTTCACCAAGTTCGCGGTTTCATGACCTCAGACTTTACTGCGATTCGAAAACAACTGTTGAGATGTTTATCGCTCTTCCCAGTTCTTTGTAAAGTTTCAACTCTTCCGTAATCGTTAACTGTTTTGGTCTGCGTCGGACAAACAACAAAAAGAACTGTTTCATGGAATGTAGCAGTAGTATGTATGTAACAAAGAGAAGGGAGTCTCGAGGAATCGACACAATTGTGCACAACCGAAACACTGCGGTAAAAATTGGGGTAAAAGTGAAGATATATTAATCGGCAAGCCTAAAAATTAGTTTCTGAAAGTATCGGCTTGCGCCTTACAGGAAAAAGAAGTATGTCTTCAACAACTGTGAAGGAGACCGACTGTGTTGAAATGAGGAGAATTGGTGAACGAACGCCTTTATGAAACGTTCTTTCAAAAACTCCTTGTGAAAATTGAATGGGAAAACGGATCTAGAAACGGTGTAGGGCGCAGTAGCCCTCATCAAGTGGGGCGGCAGAACACGACAAGAACATGCCGAGTATCCCAAACAAGTGTCGGCAGTTTGAACTTTTGTTTTGAACGCCACTTGTTCCAAGCCGCAAATTATGCCGTTCGCATTCATCCTAGAAAAAATGAGACTTTTTTGTATCAAATTCTACTGTACAACGATTTTTTGATGTCATTTCGATTAGTATATGTTTATTTAATTTTTCTACAATAAAGCATGCACAAGATTGTACGTCATATCTTTGCTCAGCGACCTTGAATATCAATTTTTTACTGGCTGAAAATGCCCTTAGGCGACTTCGAGACGCACACTGGCTTTTCGTGGGTGAAAGCGTCGAAGCCGTACTTTCCTTGGGTTCTTCCCATTCCACTGTTCCCAACTCCGCCAAATGGAAGATCATTGTCTGAAAAAATTACGGTAATTTTTTCAAGATTTTTTGATTTTCACTTCCAAAATTCCTTACTGAAATATTGAACGAGCACATCGTTAATCACAGTGCCTCCAGCAATAATTTCGTTAACAAATTTGTCGGTCAAAGCTTTGTCATTCGAGAAAATGTAACTGGCCAATGGCCTTTCTCCGCTGTCTTTGATCAACTGAATCGCCTCTTGGCCATTTTTGACGGTCAAAATTGGCAAAACAGGGGCAAACAGCTCTTCTTCCAACAGCGAATCCTCTGGCTCAATTTCAACAATATAAGGGGACAGGAATTTGTCGTCATGATCATCTTCATCGTCTCCTTTGTAAAGAATTTTGCCTTTTGTGGCCTTAACGAGTCGATGAACTCGGCTGAAAATCAAGTTAAATTAAGTATAAGACAGTTACAGTATACTTTTATTTTAAAGGTAAAACAGATACTTACTTCCAATGTTTTTTAGTGACAATACGAGCATAGAGTGGGTTGGACTTTGGATTTCTGGTGAAAGTCGCCTCAACTGCAGCAATCAGCTTCTTGGTAAACTCATCCTTGATTTTCTCGTGCAAAATCAAATGATTGACAGTGATACATGTCTGACCATTGTTGATGAACTTGGGCATGACGATCTTCCCAACCGCCTCATCAATGTCCACTCCTTCATCAATATAACAGGGACTGAAAAAAGAATATTCGTAATGATGTTGCTCAAATTCCAAGAGCGGTATTTCCGTTATAATCCAAGTTCTCTCACCTCTGACCTCCCAACTCCAATGTAACGGGAGTCAAATGCTGAGCCGCAGCGGCCATAATGATCTTTCCGATTTGAGTCCCCCCGGTGTAGAAGATGTGATCAAATCTTTGTTCCAGCAAAGCAGTACAAGTAGCGCCATCTCCAAGGACCACAGTCGCAAACTCTGGAGGAAACACTGAGCTCACGATCTCCTCAATGACCTGAGCGCTGTTCTCGGTAGCTTCCGAAGGCTTGATAATCGTTGTGCAACCAGCTCCAATGGCCGCTATGAGTGGACGAATAGCAAGTTGAACGGGATAATTGAAGGGAGCGATGATGAGGACCACTCCTTTAGGTTGCTTGTGGAGGTAGGCCTCGCTGATGGCGTTGCCTTTGCGCTGAAAGAATTTATTGGAAAATTATGTTATAACAGTCACTGAACAGGTTAGCTTAAATAAAAATGTGTTTGACAATCAATATTTATTGAAGTATTTTTCTCACCTTCTCTGGAGCTGTCCAACTATCCAAATTCTCCAAGAAATACGCGATATCATTGTACAACAGATCAGTCTCAGTACCCTTGGAAAGAGACTTCTCTCGATGAAGATCCGCCCAAAGGGCATCAGCAATTTTATCGGCGAACTTATCGATGGCTTCACGGAGTTTAATCAGCTGTTGCTTCCTCCATTCGACACTCAAAGTGGTCCCGGTATTGAAGAAGTCGCGTTGCTTTTGGACAAGCTGAAAAATCAAAGATAAACTAAGAATAGAAGTTATCAGGTGAAGATTGAAGGCATTTTTGCGGTATTGTCTAGTGCTATACCTTGTCAAAATGATGTGGCATGGCTGAAGATTTCGGGTGGTGTAAGTAGTCGTCTAGAAAATCAGAAGGATAGTAAGCAGCTCTGAATCCGGCTACACGATCAAAAAGAAATATTTGCAAAATATGAATAATTTTCAAGCTGAGTCACCCCGGATTCAAAAAAAAATTTTTTGAATGTTTGAAGCCAGCGATTTTTCCGATCTATCGCTATCGAAACAATGGCGGCAGCTACAGGAGTTTTCACGTAACTGAGGCCTCATAGAAGCTTCATTTTCAACCAGCTGATTACAACAAAGTTTAGATCAGCAAAACAAGAAACAAAGTGACTTGCACTTTCAGCAAGTGGAAGGAGGAGCCAAAGTGAACAAAGTTTCCATTACTGGCAAGCTAAATAATGACAATAGTCTACTCCGGGATGGATAAAACCAAAAAACCTTTGCTAGAATTTTCCGAAATTGCCCATTGAAAAGGTTTGCCTGTTCCCTTTTATACGATTTCCGACAAGTGTTATCCCACAGTAGACCAACGCTGAATCCCGTAATTCATGACAAACGTGACCCCTTCTTCCGCAAAATCAAATAAATCTCCTCGATTCTCAGTTGCGTCACCTCTCAAAAGGAGGCCAAATATTGTTTATAAGGCGGTCCTCTCTTTATTTTGCCCTTATCAACCCTTTAAAACATACAAAAACACTCGGCCCTCCCTCTGTTTGCGTCTCTCAGCCTTTGCTTTTTGCTAATCACACCGTTTTTATCTGATAGTGAGTTTGGGGAAATGCAGCATTATAAGAGGGCATAAACAAGTTGTAAGATCTTTCCCTTCATGATAAGACGGCATAAACAAATTGTAAGATATTTGTTGGAATCGATGCTTCGGAAAAGCGATTGAGAAAAAAGCGAAAGTCGTTTATCAATGGTGTTATTAATTCGGTAATCCTAAACTTTGAAAAATTAAGCTTGAGGAAGACCCAATCTTCTTTTGATTATTATCTACACCTAAATAGATCGCTGGAGACCGAGACTAGAGGACTTCGCTCAGCAAAAATCTTGATTACTAAATTTTAGTCTCAAATATTTGAACAAGAATGATCTAAAGACTGGCCGCTTCCCATTTGTCATCAATACCTAAGGCTTTATTTTATGGATACGCTGATTTTTTTTAGCTAGATCAAAGTTGAAAAAGCACACAACAATCTGATAAAAGAATAATTGGATTTTCAATTCGGCCAGGTTCTGGCCGACAAATGGCTTTAGAGAGGAGATTATCAAAAGTCAAAATCTATTATCAAAATGTTTCGGTGAGAACAGAGCAAATGTTTTTGTTAAATAAAGAAAATCATTGGGAAAAATTTATCTGTTCAAGTTTTAATTTTACCGAGAGAGCCATTGCAAGTCCCGTTACAGAGACTTGAAGAAATAATGCTTTGGACAAGTAGCAATATTAAAAATGCCCTTCTAATGTTTTATCTTCAAATTAAAAGCTTTATAATGCTCAGCTAAAATGGCCACATGCTAGAATCCTCTAATAAACCATAGGTCAAAATAACCAACTACAAAAAATCTGATTTTCTAAAGATTCGGGCTGCAAATTTTTTCCAGCTCAATGCAAACAAAATATTTGCAACCTCTGTTATCATACTGATAAATGAGTGCTTGTTGAACAGGATCTTTATTAAGAAAACATTGCCGTTACCTTTGAAATCTTCGCCGACTGCGATTGAAACACACAGTGACCGTTTGTCATCTTCCGCAGAGACGTTCTTCTTCGAGTCAAAACAAGTGAAATTTCTCTGATCGCGCATTTTTATACTCATAATACTTCCAGACATTCATATCAGATTTGAACTTATGTTTTCGAAAAATCGGTTTGAAATTGTGTCTCGGCCATTTAGCAATGTAAAAAATAGCCTTCTAATGCTCTACCTTCAAGGTTGATAAAAATCTTATGTATATATAATGCCCAGAAAAATGGCTACATGTTGGAATACGCCTTATAAACTAGTATATCAGTATATCAAGAGAACCAAATACAAAAAATTTTTGATTTTTCTGAAGATTCGGACTGCACAATTTTTTCAGTTCAATGCAAACAAACTAATTTGCAATCTCTGTTATCATACTGATAAATGAATGCTTTTTGAACAAGAAAACATCGCTATTACCTTTTCAGCTTTCACCGACAGTGATTGAAACACATGGTGGTCGTTCGTCATCTTCCACAGAGTCTTACAGAGCCGTCCTTCTTTGAGTCAACACAAGCGAAACTTTCCGATCGCGCTTTTTTATACTCATAACACCTCAAGATATTCGTATCAGCTTTGAATTTATGTCTTCGAAAAATCGGTTTTCTAAGACAAAGCACAAACATTGCAGTCGCAAAGATTATGGTGATGGTTCTGCAAAGATGATGGTAATCAGAGCTTTCGCCATTGTATACGACATCTGATTACGAACCAATAATATGAGGTTTCCCAAAAACCACGTGGATTATTTTTCGTTGATGATTATTTTTTGATTACTAAATTAATTTTTATCGCATTTCAACATAGTCTACGATCGCTCTGAATGCTCAATGGCCCTTATCTTCCCTCATTATCTGTTGTCGTAAATAAGTTCTTGTGTCAAAAAGAATTGAAATTGTTTTCATAGTTTCTTCAAGCTCAAAGCAGAACGAATTCAATTTTATGGGTCTCGTGGAGACTGCCCTTGGCTGCATACTTTTTCAAAGGTGCAGTGTGCTCTTCGGGTCAAAGCTAAGATCGTTCTGTGCTTTTCAAAATCGCATGCCAATTTGATCGATGAATAATACTTTGGCGTAATGAAAATCAATGTTTCAAACTTTGTGTGTTCAAAAGAAAATGCGTCATCAAGAAAAATGGGCATGAAAATTGCAGCAGTTTTCTACTGTATCTAGAAACTTCGGCTAAAAATTTTCATCGAGTTTCTCCAAAGTAAATTTGAGATTTTATTATACTCCGCGTACAATGCTTTGACCCCCTCCTAACTCGGTCCAAAGTGTACTAATTCGGACCAAGTTTGGAATGTAGTATACTCACGTGTCAAATCGAAACAAGTTTACATTACTGAGAGTAAATAGGAGTCTCAGGATTACATTGAGGACCTAACGAACACATCTCGACCTTGAGTCAAAGAGCAAATGGCTCACCAAGGCTGGGCATGACAAGAGGGTATCTGCCGAATTTACACCACCAGGCCTCCATACACTTTTATCGAAAGGAGAAGGTAAATACAGATCTAGATGACATAATAAAAACCCAATTTAGAGCTCTAGGAAAGCGCTAGGGCAAGATCTTTACCATTTTGGGCAGCTCTACATCAAAAACGGTTTAACGCGTTGAATCCTTAAATGCAACGTAGCATTCAACGGAAAACCATTTATTAACCTGTATTCAGGTATGGGACGTCAATTACAATAGGTTTGCGTGGCATCCGCTGGCGATATCTAACTTTTTTTAAGTAGGGTCAAAACTTTTTCCTCGATTTTTTAAGGTGATTCTTGAAAATTGCCCCTAGATTTTGAACTTCAACTATAAGGTATATCCTGTTATGTTATTTTTTGTTACTAGCCTGTGAGTATACCACATACCAAATTTGGTCCGAATTAGTACACTTTGGACCGAGTTAGGAGGGGGTCAAAACATTGTACGCGGAGTATAGTTATAGTCTGACGAAACGAGTATAAAACAACTAGTAGGGTCGTCAGGCCACGCCATCTTGTTGGACCTGTTTTTTTGTAGGATGAGACCTATTTACATTTGGCTTTGTGTGATTAATAGCCGTTGATACAGACTTTTATAACAACTGTTTATTTTGTCTAATCATTGAACATTTGCCAAAATTTCAATTCAAGATTACAAGTAGACAAACAAAATGTGAACCGAATGGTCGACTTGAAATGATGATGATAAAAACTTATCATCAAATGCCCAGTCACTCTGATTCTTTTTCATCCTCTTGAGCACCCTTGGAATGCTGCTTAATGTTTCGATATTTGGCTGAAAATGACAGCAAACACAGGATAAAAAAGACATCAAGAATAATTACTATACTTAGCAATTGAACTAAAATCCTGTAAGTTTGGGATACATTATGAAATGAGTCATTGCAATTCACATTTTCCTCAAATATCGCAGGTCCGGAATGTTCGTTTACAAAAGCATATCGATTCTTTTTACCCTAATATTTGGTGGTATGCCAGCTTTTTTAAAATTTCCAAATTACGCTTATTTGAAACTCAGCGATGTTCCCTCACAACCAAAAGCAAATATCCGAGAGATCGCATCAAATTGAGAGACACTCTGCCCCTCTACCTCCAGTCTCTTTTCAATGCGTTGGCTGCGATGGAAGAAAAGCGCAGCTCTTTTCTCTACTATTTTATCTTCAAATTTGTAAATTAATTGGTTTTTATTGATTTCCCCTAAATTTGGTTGAGCTCTTCCCAAAATTCCGTCGTCTGCTATAAAATACGGGCGGCTGAGCCCGAATGGATCCACTTATCCGCCCACTTGGTGGCCATTGAATGCTCAAAATGCTGTGGTGAAGTTGGTTTACCGAGGAATTTTAATTTTTACGGGATGTTTTACGTTTTGGCTCTTGATGGATTTGTGGAGCAGAAGGCATGGGGAGAATGAGGGAAACTATGACGGGTTTGCCGGTGAGTTCAAGTAAAGTAAATTCGTTAAAAAATAACTTCATTGCCAGTTTTTTGATCCATTTTTATTTACTCTTACATATTGGAACTCTCTGATGATCTCCGATGCAACTGAAAAAATGAATAGTTTTCGCTTTTCACGTCTTTTTATGATAACTGCTTTCCGCTTCTTTATGTAACATCCTACCGTCTTTTGAGCAAAAAATTAGCCGAATCGAGCTTCTTTGTTGCCAAGCGTCCGGCGATTATGAATTCCCGGATGGAACGGAAAACTTTGAATACAAAAAGAACACTTATTGTCAACGGGAAAGTTGGACAACTTGACGGTGCCAATTTATATTTCTTTCTTATGATTCTTGCTTGGCTTGATATAACTTTTCAATTATTAAATTATAAAGGCAAGAATCTTGCATAAGAACTGAGATTAGGTTGGCAAGGAAAGCGCAAGAAATGTCATCGTCCGTTTTTAGGTGTAATCGGGAACTACGACCCTACCAGTTGGCCCGGCTTATGTCGGAATGGTCGATCACAATCTCCGATTGACTTGGCGTCAGAATCAACAACCTATCGATGGATTGAGCCCCTGCAATTTGTAAATTTTGATGCCGACGGGCCATTGACTTTGGTAAATACGGGTTGGTCAAGTAAGTTACTCTTTGTGTGACCCTTGAGATATGGTGTTCATTTCAGTTGAACTTCAAGGCTTCCTAAGCTGGACAAACCGTCCAATAATCTACGGAGGCAACCTGAATACCGCATATAACTTGGTTAATATTCATTTTCATTGGGGACAAAATACATCGCATGGGAGCGAGCATAGTGTGAATGGGCTGAATTATGCGGCGGAGGTAAGGAAGAGTTGTTTTGCAATGATAAATTTTAAGAAAAATGCATTTTTTTTGCCAAATCAATGTCTGTGAACTTCTCTTTAAAGTTGTTAGCTTCAAATTATAGCGTTTCCTTCTTTCAGATGCACTTTGTTTTCTCCAAAACCGGCAAAACTCCCGAGCGTAATGATACTCGACGAACCACCACAGATCTTCATGTTCTCTCGATTCTTCTCAAAGTAAACACCAAGCGTGGGGTTTTGTCATCACTAGAGGGTTCACTTGCAGAAATCGTTGAGAACGGTAATTAATGATCATTCAAAAAAATTGACGATTTTTCAGGTAGATCTAACGCCATTTCAAACATAACTCCATATCACTTTTTGCCAAATAACCTCGATCATTTCTACCGATATACGGGATCGCTAACTACTCCACCTTGCACTGAAGGTGTGGTTTGGACCGTGATGGCAACGCCGGTTGATATATCGGTTCGTCAAGTAAGTTTTTGCGGCTTATCCGAATCCGAACTGTTGTAGCTTTAACTAATTTTCTTTTTTTTTGGTTGAGTCTCTGAAAAATTGACAAAAGATTTTGTAGCCAGATCTATGAACTCTCTGGCACTAAAATGTGATATTTTTAGAATGCTCAAGGCTGGGATTAAATTCATCCGAAATTGCGATACGCCTTTTTGCATTAATCCCAACTTACCGTTCAATTTTCAGTTAAATCTCCTCCGTCAGATCCACAGTACCGACGAGACCCCCTTCATCCCTGGGAATTTCCGAAACACACAGAAACTCAATAGTCGAGAAGTCTTGTTCAAGATATAAAGACTTCAAGAACATCTCTGCAACATATCAGACGCCGATTTAACATTCCAGTTTAGCCATTTTTAATCGCAAATATGGGTGTTTCAAATAAATCTTGACCTCGATTTTCAACAGTTTTTGATCAATGTCAACACTAGATGGGTCAAGAAGTCTTGACTAATAAAATGGACAGACGGATGCTCATTACTTTTCCGACAGACTGGCACAGGCTCCTCAATGAGTGTCAAATTACGCCAAAAATGTAGACTTGGTATTTAGAGAAGCTTCGATGCAAACACCCTCCTTCTAATCCACATCACAGATCGCACATTCTGTTGCCTCTGGAAGCTTCTAAATCCCATACAAACAAACTGCAAATGATTGCTCTAGATAGACCAATACATACACCACCAGTAAGGCACATGCTCAACACATCAGACTGCACGTGGCCTCATTCAAAATTCTGATTCCGCAGTTTCTCCTGGTATCGGTATTCCAACAATGTTTTTTACTCTGGTTCTCGTTTTTTGCGTGAGGATTAAGGCTGACGTAACACGTTCAGGAATCGACTATCCACTCTATCAAGCAAAGAACATATCACAATGTTCTCTTTTCATTGTGAAATTAAATATTCGAAAATTGACCGAGATCTCGGACACGTCAAGAAAAAGGTGTTTCCCCTCAGTAAATTAAAATTTACAAGCCGCCATAGGAATTATCGACCGATCTTTTCTTTTTCCCCACAAAGTGGGAGTAATTCCGATAATTCCTATGGCGCTTTGTCAAGTTGAGATTTGTTGATAGGAGCCATTTTAATCCAACCTTTGACGTGTCAGGGGTTGGGTTTTGTTCGGTGCGTCGTGAGTTCATTCTCATCGATTCCATGCCGGTATTCGCGTGGTTGATTTTCGCTACCGTTACCTTGAGCTATGGTAAGTCAGTGCAAGCCTGGCCATACCGATACGAAAGGGACTACGTACATAAGTCACAGAGTTAGCACTTTTTCATTTGCTCGGTGACAACTGTTTGTCCAACAATTCTAATTCTGATTTCATTTCAGGTAGTCCTTTCGAGGAGGACTTGTGTTATCGTGGTTCCAGTCAATCCCCGATCGACATTACAACGGACCATGTAACCTACACAACCCATGACCCTTTGAATTTGGTAAATTTCAACAGTACGGGCCCCGTGATGCTGGAAAACCAAGGCCACACACGTAATTTTAATCCCAACAAATGATGTTCTGTTTTCAGTTGCAATTACTGGGTTCCCCAAGTGGAAGAGCCAGCCGTACATCTTTGATGGACTTGAAAATTCAACATCGCCGAGATATTACTTGGACAATATTCATTTACATTGGAGTGACAGATCGTGGACGGGGAGCGAACATCGGATTAACGGAGTGCATTTTGCTGCCGAGGTAAGGGTAATGCGCATATTATAACATGAATTTGAGGTTCATTACGTGTTTGTCGGTGAGCCTAATGTACAAGGATCCAAACCAAAGCATGTTATGGCCGTTTTGCTACGGGAATCGTCTACTAGTGGGGTGTTATGGGACTTGGAAAGACATTATCAGCATGTCATGAATAAAGGTGGGTGGTTAAAAAATCTTGCATTTTGAGAAGGATTTACGTCGTTAGATCTTGGAAAAAACAGGAAAAAACCAGAAAGCATTACCTTTATTTAAGCGAGTCTAATCTTAAAAGTTTCCTCACTTTTTAGATGAAGAACTCCTCATACACAACGGCACAACGGCAATGACCTTTTTGCCGCACAAACTCGACCATTTCTACCGCTACGTGGGATCGCTGACTACTGCTCCTTGCACCGAAGGCATTATTTGGACTGTGTTGGCAACGCCGGCCAAGATTCTTATTCATCAGGTAAGGCGATTATATACGATAAAGCTGTTTTATTTTAGCTGAATGGCCTTCGAAAGATTCAAATCGAAAACCAACTTGGTGATAACGTTGGGAATTCTCGAGGGACGGTAGCGTTGAATGGCCGGCCGATCTATTTTAGGATTTGAATATGCATTGTACATAACTTGCTATAGGTCTTTCCTTCTGATCCCAATAAATTCTCAATTTGGTGAATGAAGAATCTTTATAAATTTTTGTTTTTCTTCGAAGCTGAAATGCGATTGAATGCAAATGAAATAATGCCGAGAGCCATGCTGAGTCATTCTGTGGAACATCTTTGAAAAATGAGTTCTGATGACGGATTTATGACAAGTCCATTGTCTTGATTAAAACAGGTTTCAACTTTAATACCTTTGAAGTTTAAGGTACCGTAACGTTCTATAAAAGTGTTTTGGATCATGCTGATGATTTTCAGTATTTTTCAGTTGTTTTTTAAAAATATTTGTTTTATTTTTTTAAAAGAATTTTCTGTTATTATATTTCAAAATCAAACTTAACGCTTGCGCAATTATCCTAAAAATTTCTGCTAGTGCCAAAATATGTGTGGAGAAAAGTTTCTGTGAAAAATAAGCATGGTAGTTTGAGGCCATATTGCATTATTTATGATGGGTGCAGTGGTCGGAAGTGTTGAATTTTTAGCTTGGATTCTTCGCCTCGAAGTAAATTTTTTATTTGACTGAACTGTGAAGGTTGATGACTTGCCTTCCCCGGCTTTTCTTTATATCGTGATTACTATTATTCGAAATAATTTAACTGTTTTGAATTTTTTAAGTTGTATTTTTTAGCAAGCTTTCTTTCAAAATGTATGCCGCATGTGTTGTTGCCCCTAAGGGAACAAAGAGAAAGGCCGAGGAAGCCCTCTTGGACGGCAGTAAAAGGAGAAGATTCGAGGTCGAGATTGAAGAGAAGAAGAAGCTCGATCAACTGGCCATGATCAAGGAAGACGATGAAGAGGAAAAATTGGAGATCTCCGATTTTGGAAGATCATTCTGTGGATCTGTTTATGACCACAGATATGAGGATCAAGAAGCTGAAGAGTTCAAAATACAGGTAATTAATCTTGAGTTTATTTTGAGGGATTCTGTGATACGTTTGGATACTTTTTAGTGATTTTTTTTTGATATTATAATTTTGGATTCTTGCGCTCTTTGAGAGCTGTTATAAATGGCATAGTGTTTTTTGTTCTCTGAATAATTTACTTGAAATTGAAATTTTGTGTTTACTTTGTAATTGAACAGTTTATAAACCTTTTTTTATTTATTGATGATTCTTACAATATTTTCAGGAACTTCTACAAGAAATGGCTGAAAGAAGAATCGAGGAAGAGGATTACTATAGTAGTCTATATGACGAACTTTTTGGGGACGATGAGGAGGACGATGGACAATTAGAGATGGAAAAGGAAGGATGTGATGAAGAAGAGCTCCGGGAATAAGAATGCCGGTTTATTTTAAAGTGTTATATTTATATCATTAATATTATATTTACATATTTGCGATACTGTTTATTTCTTGCTTATAAATATTAATCAAAAATTTTATTGGATTTTCCTTTGATAACGTCTTTTGATCACAGTTTGACATCAGAGTTTTCTCTTAATTTTCGAAGGTTTATCTCGCGCTTTCCAATCGCAGTCGAGAGTTATGAATTCACGTTGAGCTGTCGGACAGTATATGTATGTACATCTATGAAAATATTGCGATATTTTCTGTGAAAAATCCGGCAGAAAAATCTCACCAGCATTCTATTATTTTGCACCATGTGTGCCATTTTTATCAAATTCACCATACCTTGGACAATTCCTTGTGATCTTCTTACACTTTGGTTTATATATACTTCCTCTCTTGCAAGGCAAAATATCACTTCTTGACCTCAAGTCCTTTTCCTTCCGCTTGCAAAATTTTTAGCACTTCCATTTTTGTTATTAGTATGCTCATGACTTTGTAACCATTGTCTAGTCAGGAGTCGGGCCGACCTTTGAGGCCATGAATGGGAGGGATGATTCAAAAGGTCGAGGTGTTCTATCACCAAAAGTGCAGAGTGTCAAGAACGTTGGACTTTCAATTAGGGGGACCTTTTGTGACCTCAGGGGTATAAAAGCCGGAGCTTTTTTTGAAGCTAACGACCTATGTAGATGAAATAATATTGGTGGGCTGTCAAGAAAAATGGTCTTCAGTTTTACAAAAGGGCTTCTTTTGTGTGAATAAAGTCGATTCTCTGCTTTTTTTGAGAGTATCAAATTCTAGATTCGTATTTCCTAAAGCAACATCCCGACAACTTTTTATTTTAATTCTGATGACTAAACGGTATTGTAAAAATAGAAGACAGTTTTACGACTCGCGTATGTTGCTCTTTCGGAACTAATTTTTTGCAGAATCAGTTTACAAAAAAGATTCTGATCGGGCTGATATTCTATTATATTTTTAGCCCTTTCAAAGTCAAATGAGCCGTATTCTTATAGATTTTATTGAAACGTAGGAAAAAACGTTTAGGATAGAGAGAAGAGATATGATTTGGACTTTAACAGGCCTAATATTTAGTTCAAAGTATGAGAAGGGGTGATATTTTTTGTTATGACGCCAGGCATTGGAAGTAGATAGTTTACAAAAAATTGTGTTGCGAAGCGTTATGTCATCCTATCTTTTCTGGACCACTTCCAATAGCAACAAGCCGAAATATAGATAAAAACTCAATATCGCTTTGCACTTTTATCACAATTTTTTCAATGCACAATCGTCCTGTAAAATGCCTCACTGTCGCCGCCAAAAAGAGATACGGCCTTTTAAACTGTAGCTCCTAGACTTTTTTTGATATCAACATGTATTCCCAATCAGACTTTCTTGCCTTCTTTGCTGACAAAAAACTTCCGGGAACTTTAAAAAAGCACGCCGTCCTTGGGATGCACTATTTGCGGATTCATATTTGTTTGTTTTTGTATTGAATAATGCGACCACCCAAGCTTAATTCTATTTATTTTGATTATAAAAACTGATTATTATTCGTAAATTTGATTCTCATAGGCTTTAAATAGGAAAAAGTGATTCAGAAATTATATCCGTTAAATTCCAGGGGAAACTGAATATTTTCTTGGAAAGCCTGTTTAGATGACCTACAGTCCTATTTTATTTGACGGAAATTTAATGATTTTTCGAACTTTTTTATGTCATCGTTTTTGTAACCATTGCTTATAGCGGCCTTAGTTTTATAGATAAACCATGCCGAGCTTTTTCCAAACTTATGGCGGTGCCTTATACCGGATGTATTGCCAGTTGGAAGAGAGATCAATCGCCCCGGAAAGTACCGATCCTCTGACAAGATTATCCGCCAAAGAAGCAGCCAAGAAAATTAGAGAGGGAAAACTCTCGTCTTACGAGTTGGTAAAGGCGTATCTTGATCGAATTAGATTTGTCAACACTTATGTCAATGCCGTTACCGAGAGCTTTGATGTGGAAGCTTTAGAAGAGGCCAAGAAAGTCGACGAGTACATCAAAAGTTTGGACAAAGGCTCTGAGGAGTATAAAAATGTAAGCAAATTTGCAGTCTATCCTATAGTTAGAGAGCCTGATGTGTTCCAATTTATGAACTAAACTTCTATAAATAATATTTTTTTTCACTTTCAGCTTGCACATACCAAGCCTCTTCTTGGAGTCCCGGTCTCAATAAAACATTCATTTGATGTCAAAGGCTACCGAAATATTGCTGGTCTAGCTCATCGACGAGACATTCCCATAGCCACCGAAGATGCCGACGCCGTCAAATTGTAAGCAACCCATGTTTCTATATCCTCCAATCTTTCCAGAATCCGTGCAGCTGGCGGAATCCCTCATTGTTACAGTAACGTCCCACCCGGCTGTATGTGGGTGGAGACGAATAATAAAGTCCATGGCACAACCTCCTCTCCGTATGATACCAGAACAACCTGTGGCGGCTCTTCTGGCGGCGAGGGATCGGTTATATCGGCCGAGGGATCGGTTGTTGGGCTTGGCTCGGACTTAGGAGGATCGGTGAGAATCCCCGCGATCCTGAATGGAGTTTTCGGATTGAAATCGGTCGATGAAATTCCATTGAAAGGGCATTATCCAACGCAAGGATGCGAGGATGAGGGGTTTAGACAACTGGCACAGGCCGGACCTCTTGTTAGATACGCTGAGGACATGGCGGCTATGTTTAGTGTAAGTTGATGTGATATCAAAGTCCTACCAAATTTATCGTCAAATTTCAGGTCCTCTCTTCTTATCCAATTCCATCGAACTTTGTCGATTTAAGGCCAACCAAGGTCCTTCAAACTATGCCAACTTCTTCTATTACAACTCCAAGAGTTCCAGTTGTACAAGAAGCTGTTCCCAAAGTGGCAAAAGCGATCTCCAGTCAATTCGGCGTTCCGTTGGAAGAGTTTGATCTCCCACCACTAAAACAAATCATGAGCTGGTACTTCAATGAGATCGCGAAGCCGGATATGGCATCGCCAGGAGAATGCTTGTTGCCGGTGAGTCCACTATCTATGACATATACATAATATTAGTTAGACGTATAATTTTCAATATTCTTCTTGAGATTTCATCTATGAGTCTTGCTTTTGAAAACGGTTTTTATACTACCATGAAGCCTTTTTCAGCATGCCAACCAATCCAACCTTGTCATCGAGAAGATCAAGGCATTCATTGGCGTCTCTAAGATCACCCCCGGCCCCACTTCCATTATTGATCCCTTCGGCACTCCTCTCCCCAAAGAGCAAGCCCTCAAACTTCGCCAAGAGCTCCACGAATACAGAGCAAAACTCCATGAGATTCTCAAGGATGACGTTGTAATGGTGGCACCAACTCTTGCTCGCAATTACTACTTCCATCACGAGCTAGTAATCGCTCAAGTTGATTGGTTCCAAACAGCCATTTTTAATGTTTTGGCCGTCCCAGTGGCCACGGTGCCAATTGGGTTGGATTCCGAAGGATATCCGATATCTGTTCAGTTGGTAGCGGCGAGGAAAAACGAGTTCTTGTTGATTAGACTGCAGGAGCATATGGAGAAGAAGTTTGGAGGATGGAGACCTCCGAAGAATTAGATGCTACTTCAATATACCTTCACCATTCTATAAATGGTGTTAAAAAGTGCTGCTAATGGATTTAACCTCTATGATTTGGCTTTATATATGGTTGTCCTGACATTCAATGCTTTATGATTAAAATAAATGTTTTGACAAAAAAAAATTGATATCAAAGCAACATATTTTTTGACTTTTTTTGCTTTGCTGTACCAATCTTTGATTTGTAAAAGTTTCGGCACTTACTTTTCAAGTACAGCTACCTCTTCAGCCTGTTTACGACCTCCGTTGATGAGACTGTATAGAAAATGAGGCGTGCTGTCAGAGAAAAAGGATTTCATCCATCTTTTTGCATATGAAATTGTTTTGTAATTCACCGCAATTGCTATCAGGGAACGTCAAGAAAAACAACTTTTTACTTCTCCAGAACGAATTAACAACGGACTTTCTCCAATTTGCAATGACTAATCTCATTTGTCTGTAATTTAAACTTGGCTACAACTGATTTCTCATCCATTTTCCGGGTATCACCACTGTTTTTAACATTGATGACTCAGCAATCTTTTAAAGAAGGTTAAAGCAATCTGCTGTGCGAGATCGGGGTTTATTTTCATTTTGTTTTTTGCAAGTTTAAGGCAGCCGACACTACCCAGCATGCCACTCTCTGTGACCTAGGAAAGCTTGGATTCTGAGAGAAATCAACGTCTGCCCTCGGGTAAAGTAATATTCATATACAGAATATTCTTTCTCTTCCTCGCTGTTTTTGCACTTTGGTTTCTTATGAATGTATGGGAAAGGAACCAAGAAGGTGAGTAAATTTTTGCAAAGGTAAATTTTTTGCAAAAATCTGTAAGGCACTTTTACATTTTTACCCCGCGCTTTGCAGAAAAGGTGTTTCTAGGCTGAAATTTGCAAATTTTTTCTCTTTCTGATTTTGTTGCTGAAGTTATTAGCCAGGTTCTTATGGTAAATTTCAAAATAGAACTCCTGTAATCGAGTCTGAGCTATAAATCGACCAGTATAGAAGAAAGTTTCCGTATTTTTTGCCACAATGTATGCAGAATATGTATTTCTACCGAGCCTTCCAAGAGCAGCCTGAAATGTTTAGAAAATGACGCGCGGACCAGCAAAGCCATGCTGACAAAATTTGAAGAAAATTGGGTGCTTGTAAGTACTAGTCGCGACATAAAGTCCTGACACATTTTGTCGCGGGTGTCGCGCGAGAAAGTGGCAAGTTCGCGCGAAAGTGCATGTCGCTAGTGCAAAAACGGGGAATTGCCGCGACGGGTCCAAAAGAAAAACAAAATGCACTGTGCAAATGTGTCAGGACTTTATGTCGCGACTAGTATGTTTAGCACGTTCCTTGTCAAAAAAGCTTACATTTCGTATTTCAATCTAATGGAAAATTTTATTTTTACTTCCTTTCCAAATTTAATTTTTCAGTCTCAAACTACGACCAAAGCCATTGGCCTGGGCTTTGTCAAACAGGGCGATCGCAGTCACCAATTAACCTGGCTAATGAGTCAACTGCGTTCAAATTTCTTGAGCCTCTTGAATTTGTAAATTTCGACAAATCTGAGTGGTTATTTTTGGACAACAACGGATGGACAGGTATGATTACTTACATGGCCAAAATATTCAGTTTTAGCCGAGCTACGGGGATTTAAAAACTGGAAAAATCGGCCAGCGATCTCTGGAGGGAACTTGACCGGAACGTATCGTCTACATAACATTCATTTTCATTGGGGACAGAATACGTCGCACGGAAGTGAGCATAGTGTCAATGGAGTAAAATATGCGGGTGAAGTATGTTATTTACAGGGTTTTTGGACCCGTTATGCGTCTATATAAGGCTATAAAATATCTTTTCTTCAGATGCATTTTGTCTTCTCCAGGTTTAACAAACCCTGGAGGAATGGTGTTGACGATGTTCACGTGCTCTCTGTTTTCCTAGCCGCGAACGAATCGCACGGAGTCTTATCTCCAATTAAGAATGGGCTTTCTAAAATCGTCAAAAAAGGTGGAATAAAATCAAACGCAGGTTATAACGTGTTTCAGGCAAAATCACATCAATCAAAAACTTAAAACCATCCAGTTTTCTGCCGCAGGATCTAAAGCATTTTTATCGATACACTGGCTCCTTGACCGCCCCACCCTGCTCTGAAGGAGTGATTTGGACGGTAATGGAAAAACCAGTCGATATTTCGACCAGCCAGGTAGTGTATGGGGGCAATCGTATAGAGGTCTTTATGATATTTTTTCAGCTAGATCTCTTGCGAAAGATCCAAGCAAAAGATCGCAGGCCGTTTATCCCCGGAAACTACCGAAATTTGCAAAATTTAAACGATCGAATAATTGTGTACAGGACGTAGATTTATCACACTTATTGTCAATATTTATTGCTTTACGTTTATAACAATCTATGTACAATAAAAATACAATGTATTTCTCCTACTTGCAGAAGAATCACCTGGCTCATTTATGGCTCAACTTGTGACTTTATTTTTATTCAACCTTTAAAATACTACAGCAACAGAAAAGACGGCTTCAAACGGCAACATTTTTGACAGCTTTAACGATAAAATGCTAATTTCCGGACAACCTTTTTTGTGACTCTAACACCAAGTATTTTATGAGCTGTCAATCACATTTTAATAACTCTCCGATCCAATAAAAAGAAAGGACACTGAAACATTATCAAATAACGAGGAAATCGGACTTATATTCATGCCTTCAAAAAGTGCTTTGTACTTTAAAAGACGATTTCTGAGTCATTGAAGCAAGCCGTAGTTAGGCCAGGACATAGGATTTTTTCGATGTTGAGTTTTTTACATTATTATGACCCATGGCACCTGTAGAGAAAAAGCGAACCACAGTTTTCCTTAATTCTTCCATTAACTGTACTTTTTATACAATTTTCTGTTTATACAGTAATTCGTCATAACTTTCTACAATGGTGTCCGTTTGTCATAAAAATAAGGCTACTATGGTTTTTGGGCATGACGAGTTCAATAAAACCAAAAAAAATTCATCCGGTTACGGTAACATATAAAAATACTGTATCGGTCGGTAAAAATCGACCATAAAAAGTTTGTTTCAAAAAACCCACAGCCAATTTTTTCATATTCGTAATCAGCGTAAAATTCTGCTCTAGGACCAATTTTAAAAAGTTCAAAAATAGGACCCCCATTTTCCGTGGTGTAGTGGTTTTTGACCAAAACTGGTAATCTGATCACCCAGGTTCGAATCCGGGTGGGTGCGAATGTAGAAAAAAGACCTAAAATCACTTTTAATGAAAACCTGAGAGTTATTTGAAGCACGCTGAGCAATTTTAGGCATTAAAACTCTCTGAATTTGGGATTAAAACGATTTTTATGTAATTTTAGAGGATTAATGCATCAAAAATAAAACTGCTTCAAACTGGTTGAAATTGATAACACTTATTCTATGGCTAATTGTAAGAAACTTTCCCGTTAACTTTTTTTGGTAGAATGCTATATCATGGATTACTGTAACATTAAACCCGTTTTCGTTTTTGGTATGCCACAGGGCATAGAGACTTCAATGTATCACAATTATGATAGGAATGCTTGAGAACACGTTGTTTATCACACAAATGTGTTTTCTATGTCCGTAGGACTTGAAACACGTCCGTTATAACGCGCAGGTTTCCAATCGATAATGATGTCAAGATGCACAATATATCATGGGAAATTCTTTTTTTGAAATATGGAGCGTTGAGATTTCTTGCTTTTTAATAGATCTAATCAAAAAAAGAAAAACATTTACCCAAGAATTTTGAAGAAAACATCTGCTAAGTAGAATAAGTTTTATGTTACAGTAATCCATGATACAGCACTCTACCAGAAAAAGTTAACAGGAAAGTTTCTTACAATTAGCCATAGAATAAGTGTTATCAATTTCAACCAGTTTGAAGCAGTTTTATTTTTGATGCATTAATCCTCTAAAATTACATAAAAATCGTTTTAATCCCAAATTCAGAGAGTTTTAATGCCTAAAATTGCTCAGCGTGCTTCAAATAACTCTGAGGTTTTCATTAAAAGTGATTTTAGGTCTTTTTTCTACATTCGCACCCACCCGGATTCGAACCTGGGTGGTCTGATTACGAGTCCTGGTCAAAAACCACTGCACCACGGAAAATGGGGGTCCTATTTTTGAACTTTTTAAAATTGGTCCTAGAGCAGAATTTTACGCTGATTACGAATATGAAAAAATTGGCTGTGGGTTTTTTGAAACAAACTTTTTATGGTCGATTTTTACCGACCGATACAGTATTTTTATATGTTACCGTAACCGGATGAATTTTTTTTTGGTTTTATTGAACTCGTCATGCCCAAAAACCATAGTAGCCTTATTTTTATGACAAACGGACACCATTGTAGAAAGTTATGACGAATTACTGTATAAACAGAAAATTGTATTAAAAGTACAGTTAATGGAAGAATTGAGGAAAACTGTGGTTCGCTTTTTCCCTACTGGTGCTGTGGATCATATTTATGCAAAAAACTCAACTTCGAAAAAATCCTATGTCACGGCTTGCTTCACTGACTCAGAAATCGTCTTTTAACATTTGGTTTTTTTGTATTTTTTCTTGTGGCGTTTTGTTACATGACAAGTACAAAATCCCTCTATCATAGTATATTATCAAATTTCGCTTCTTTACCGAGCTGTTCCAGCGATGAAAAGCACTCTGCAAACCTATGCCGCCGCCCTCTATCGGATGTATTGTCAGTTCGAGGAGCGAGTTGTGGCCCCCGAAAGTACAGATCCGCTGACTAGAATCTCAGTGACCGAAGCGGCTAAGCAAATCCGGGAAGGGAAATTGGCATCGTATCAACTGGTAAAGGCGTACTTGGATCGGATAAAACATGTCAATTTGTATGTGAATGCGGTGACCGAGACGTTTGATGTGGAAGCTTTGGAAGAGGCGCAACAAGTTGATGAGTATTTGAGAAAGCTGGACAAGGAGTCGGACGAGTATAGAAATGTATGTTGCATAGGTAAAATTGAAAATATTTCTGTTTTAAAATACGTTTTACGACCTCGTTGAAGTCTGATATGAGCTATGGTAAATTTTTTTGACCCTTTTTTTGATTTCGACAGGTCCGGCCAACCGCCCTAAAAGGCCTCGTTTAGTTGGATACACGTATTTTACAATCTATTTCTCATCTTTCAGCTAGCCGAAGCAAAGCCTCTTCTTGGTGTCCCAGTCTCGATTAAATGCGCATTCCAAGTGAGAGGTCATCGAAATATTTCCGGCTTATGCCATCGACGGGACCTCCCTCTGGCAACAGAAGACGCTCCTGTTGTTGCGAGGTAAACATACCATATAAAATGCTCAATAAACCACTATATTTATATTCTTCAGGATCCGAGAAGCCGGTGGAATTCCTCATTGTTATACAAATGTCCCGGCCGCCTGCTTCTGGATCGAATCCACCAATAAAATTAACGGGACTTCAGCTTCTCCATACGACACAAGAACAACTTGTGGAGGATCTTCAGGCGGAGAAGGTTCAATTATATCTGCGGAGGGATCCTTAGTTGGTATTGGATCGGATTTTGGAGGGTCTGTAAGACAGCCGGCGATGTTGAATGGGATCTTTGGGCTGAAGCCAGTTAATACGATTCCCTTTGATGGGCATTGTCCTCAATGTCCTGATGATGAGGACTTGCGATTGATTTCTGGGACTGGACCGTTTACAAGATATGCGGAAGATATGGCGCTGTTTTATAGCGTAAGTTAAAGGTTCACTGTGGGCTATGAATTTTGGAAAATTGAAGGTAAATTTCATCTCCTTGAAAGTTCTGTTTGGATCAAACAGCATTCTTAACATGCACCCTGATTAAAACATAGTAATTCTTACTCGTCCGCTAAAATACATATATTTGACAGCCAATCATTTTTACAGGTCCTTTCCCACATTCCCATCCCGGGAAATTACCTCGATCTGAAGCTCTCCAAAGTTCTAACGGCTACTCCAACTGGAAACGCTCTTCAAATCAGCGATGACATAAGAAATGCGCTGTCCACCGTCGCTGGTTTCCTTGCTGACCATTTTAGTGCCAACGTTGAAGAGTTTGAATTCGAGCCTTTGGAAAAACTGCTCAAATGGTATTTGAATATTGGAGCCAACGAAGGGGATAACTCCATGATTCAAATCGGATTTCCTGTAAGTGATAATACGTAATTTTTACGAAGCACAAATCAAGGAGGGTCGTATTTCAAAACTTCTTTTTTGAAACAAAGAGCTTGTTCTGTTTTTTAAAAATGCAATTTTAGAACTCCACCATGTCGGATATGCTCCAAAATAAGATAAAAAGTTACCTCGGCCTCAGCAAAGTGAACGCTGGATCCGCGGAACTTCTCGATTGGTTCAGTGCTGCCAATCCTCCGGCCGAAAAGAAGCGACTTCATCAAGAACTTTTGAATTACAGGGCAAAGATCAACAACTTCCTAAAGAATGATGCAGTAATCGTCGTTCCAGCCTATCCAAAGACCCACTACTTCCATGGAGAACAACTTATCACTCAGAATGAGTTGTATACCACTTGTATTTTCAATGGTCTAGCTTTATCAGTTGCTACGGCGCCTATTGGATTGGATAATGGGGGATATCCGATATCAGTTCAAATTGTGGCGGCGAGAGGAAATGATTATTTACTGATCAGACTACAGGAAATTTTGGAGAAGAAATTTGGAGGATGGAGACCAGCTGGATCCAAATAGGATGCTCTAATGCTAAAGAAGATTTTTTAATTGCTGTTTAATGCTGATAAATTACTTTTTTCCAAAAATTTCAAATTCGAAAAAAGTATTTTATGTCGTATTTCAATATCTTTTACATACATCATCACTTTCAATATTATTACATTATTCTAATACAAGAGTACTACTTCGTCATATCGATTTCTCCGTCTTCTTCATTTACTTCTTTGACTGTACTTGTGACATCGTATTCCCCATCCTCGTAGCAATAGCAGTAATGCTGGTGTGTTTCGCAATGTTCAACAAGGAGCTGAAAAAAAACAAAAATCTTTAAAACACCAAGGAGAATCTTTAAAAATTGGTCAAAAAATGTCATCATTTTTTTATCAAAACAAAGTGTAATACTTGAGAAGGTTCAAAAATTGCTTCTATGTAACACGTCATCAAAAATATTTTAGAAACAGCCAAATTAAAAAAATGTAAAACACGTACCAATGGATCAACCTGCACGCCTTCTTCATTTCCATCTTCTTCACAAACAGCGGCATCATGGCTCAAATTAATTCCCATGAGTTCATCAAAGTCGGGCTCAGGAATCACTTCAAACTCATCAACTTCCAGTTTAATCATCTTTCCCAGGACTTCTATTGGTTCATCTTCATGTCTTCTTTTTGAACTGACAACAGTGTAGTGAGGAACGATAGCTACGGACATATTCAGATATAAGGTGAGAGCTGAAAATAACCGGTGAGATTTTCATCAATAGCAAGTCCCGAAATTAGTCCAAATCTAGGGAAATTACGACTAATTACAACAAAAAATCGAATACTGCTAAATTCATTTAAAAATTAAAAAAAAAAATACTCCCTAAACAACTGTAAAACAAACAAAGAACCTGTCCCACTCATCGAAGAACAGATTTATTAGCACTTGATTGCATTTCTGTTATTTTTCCAACTGCAGAAAATCTTGTGTGCTGCTGATTTCTCGATTTTTCTGTTACTATTCCAATTTTCAAATTTCTGTCGTTGCATAATATTACCTGCACATAGGACCAGCTCTCGACGGAGAAAGCTCAAGTTCACGTAAGGTTGTCGACCAATAACAGTTGATCTATCCAAAATTCTCGTATTTTGCAATCATTTTTCAACTTTCGGCCAAACAGCGACATAAAAATCCTAAGCCAACCATTCCAAGACAAAATTATCCCCTTTCACTTTAGATACATATATTTATTGCTCTTTAAAAAGAAATTTCAATCACAATATTCATCAAAATGATGCCTTCAAATCCTCTAATCAAACTTCCTCGGGGGTTGCCACCCTCCAAACTTTTCTTCCAAAAACTCCTGCATTCTCATCAACAAAAATTCATTTCCTCTGGCACTGACCAATTGAACACTCATTGGGTAGCCGTTCGAGTCCAATCCAATTGGAGCGCAAGCCACCGGGACAGCCAGGCCATTGAAAATGGCCGTGGAATGCCAGTCCGAGAACCCGCTGATTTTGTGCACATGATGGAAGTAATGGTTTTGTGGGAGAGGAGGAGCCACAAGGACCACATTCTGCTTCAATTCCGAATCGATCCACTGGCGATATCCGAGCAATTCGTCATGCATTCGGTGATGTTCAGCTTCGGATTTGGGCTCGCTGAAGGTCTTGATGGCCAAACAGGTGCCGGGATTGATCTTCCCAAAGCCCAGAATGCATTTATACATCTCTGAGAGGAAGTTGGACTTGTCTGCGTCCTAAAATAAAACAAATTTCAGCTCAGCTTCAGAAAATTCTTGTTGATATTATACTAGACCAATATCCCTTCAAGGCTTTCTAACTTACAGGAAAAGCCGCTTTGATCAATCCCCCATCGTGTGGATAAGGATGGACCAGCTCATTGACCAGACACTCCACCATTCTTTGAAATGGCTGCAGTTCAAAGGCCTCATTCTTGATCGAGAATCCTTCAGCAAGGGCGTTGGCTACAGTATGAACAGCGTTTTTTACGACTGGACTCAACGGAGTAGCTCCTTCGGAAGAATCGAGTGTATGCAGGACCTTTGTTGGTTTCAAGCTGGCGTAATTGTCGGGAATCTTCTTGCCGGACAAGGCCTGGAATCAGATTTGCTTTTATTACACTTGACATATGAAAAAGTGTTGACCTAAAAACAGAGCAAAAATAATCTTAAAGCCACTTACGCTGAAGAACAAGGCCATGTCCTTGGCATATCTTGTCATTGGGCCAGCAACGGCGACAGTTTTGAATTCCTCCGTGTCATTGTAAGGGAAATGGCCCTCAATTGGAATGTCCGTTCCCACCGGCTTGAACGAAAAGATCCCATTCATAAAGGCCGGGTTCCGCAACGATCCGCCAAAATCCGAGCCAATTCCAAGGATCGAGCCTTCGGCTGCCAACAAAGCACCTTCTCCACCAGACGAACCTCCAGGAGTTGTTCTGTCGTCGTAGGGAGAACAAGTAGTCCCGTAAACTTTATTGGACGTCTCAGCCCAGAAACAGGCCTCTGGCACATTAGTGTAGCATAATGGGATTCCACCGGCTTCACGGACTCTGAAAATCGGGAAAATTTTATATTATACTAGGCAGACATTTTTTTGTTCTTTTTTTTACTAGATTTTAAAAGACTAGTAAAAAAATCGAGAAAATTGAAACCTAAATGATAAGACTGCTTTCAATACCACAAAAACATACTTTTTGATGACACCAGCATCCTCGGCAGCAGGTGGATTCTGCCTCAAATGAGGCAATCCACAGATGTTTCTCCATCCCTTCACATCGAACGAATGCTTCACCGAAACCGGGATTCCAAGCAGAGGTTTGTTCGCAGCCAAGTTCTGGAACGCCTCCGAGTTTCTATCCAACTCCTTCAAATACTTGTCCACCTCCTTGGCCTGCTCCAACGCTTCGTATTCGTAGAGTTCGGAGACGGCGTTGATGTAACGATCGGCATCGCGGATCCTCTCGATGTACGTCTTCACATACTCGAAGGAGGTCAGCTTCCCTTCGCGGATCTGTTTGGCCGCTTCTTGGGCCGTCAAACGGGTCAGCGGATCCTGGCTTGGAGGTGTAATTATGCGCTTCTCAAGCTCCGCAAACACTCGATAGCTAGCGGAGAAGAGATTCTGAACGAACGTGGTACGCTCTTGCCCTGAAATAAATAAAGATTTAGCGAGAACCTGATTTACAATAACCAAAAAAATATTTATATTACTTTAGGCTAAAATAAGGTTAAAAATAGCGAAAGTCAGTTTTGAACAATATTGTTTACAATCCGAAGCCCTCTTTCTTCCTCAAAAAGCTCAATTAATGCTAATACAAACTAAAATACGAGTTCAGTAATCTATTTTTTAATTATGACAAAGTGTCACAACATTGGACGAAATGTCAAAGCAAAACTTCTCGACCAAATTTTCCATCGACCCGAAAAGTACGTTCTGCGTGTTCTCTCAACAAGTATAATGTCAAGCACTCCCCGTTTCCCTCACTTACCAGCTCCTGTTCCCTTCAGAGCACCAACCTTGGCCTCGGAAGACAAGCCGCGGACCAGCTGGTCGACCAGCGGCGGGATCATCGAACGCATCTTTCACCGCCTTTTACTCATCAACTGATAGCTTATGAAGTCTTCTCGCTGATGAAGCCTTTGTCCTTTCCGAGAATTTACATAAATCGAGGACACTTTTCGAGGACGATGTTGAAATAGGTGGGTGCAACTTGTTTTTATCCTTTTCTTTTGATTTTAGGTATCAAGCTCGTCGGAAATAAGGCGCAATAGCGCTTAGGGTGCCTCGTTTTTACGGCTGTGATCGTCTAATTTCACAGATACTACTGTTTTACTAGTTTCTGGGAAAATTTTTAGTTCAAACCTAAATTTTAGACGGTTTCTCGAGGTTGATAAATTTGAAAGTTTACAATTAGTGCTTTGACGTAATGTTATTTTCCGAACTCCATTTTACCAAAGGTGGTTGCGCAACATGCGATCTTCCCTCTCTCGTTGCGGAATTAGAGCCTTTTCCGCGGAAAATCAAAGACCTCCGCCAGTGGGCGTGGTCCTGAAAGAAGGTAGACGAATTGTAAAATACGCGACAAATTTTTTCTTTTAGGTACTCCGATTGCCAAGGCGTTCCAAACTTATGGCGGAGCTGCTTATCGAGTCTACTGCGATCTCGAAGAAAGAGTCATCGCTCCCGAAAGTTCTGATCCATTGACCAAAATCTCCGCATCCGAAGCCGCGCAGCGAATTAGAGAGGGGAAATTGTCGTCGTATGATCTGGCGAAGACCTATTTGAACAGAATCCGTTTTGTAAACACCTATGTGAATGCAGTGTCTGAGCGATTTGATGTGGAAGCGCTGGAATCAGCAAGAAAAGTGGATGAATATATTGAGAGTCTGGACAAAAACTCGGAGGAATTCAGAAATGTAAGTGGGTTTAAGAGAGATATTTATAATTTAGTAAAAAAAATCATTGTAAAATACGCAATTATTGGTTATGCACATAATTTTAAATTTTAGGTAACAATTTTTTTATTTTCTTTTGCTGATGATAAGTACAAAAAATGGAGAAGACTGGGCTCGGTTAACGCTTATTTCTGGCTATTTTAAGCTTCCCCAAACCAAGCCGCTTCTTGGAATTCCGGTATCAATAAAACATGCGTTTGATGTCAAAGGCCAACGAAATATTTGTGGTTTAACTCATCGACGAGACATCCCAGAGGCCACGGAAGATGCTGCGGCGGTCAAACGGTAAAGTCACACCCAGAAAATTGATTACAATACCTACTACAATGTCTAAATTTCTCAATTTTCAGAGTTCGTGAAGCCGGCGGAATCCCCCATTGCTACACGAACGTCCCTGAATCTTGTATGTGGTCGGACTCTTCGAACAAAATCTTTGGCACCACCTCTTCCCCGTATGATAATAGAACAATGGCTGGGGGCTCGTCCGGCGGGGAAGCATCGATTATTTCGGCTGAGGGATCGCTATTGGGAATTGGCTCGGATCTGGGCGGATCTGTGAGAAATCCGGCGATTTTCAATGGGATTTTTGGATTGAAATGTGTGAATGATATCCCGATGGAAGGCCATTTCCCGAATACAACTGTGGAAGCCTTCAAAGTCATCGCTGGAGTGGGACCATTGGCCAGATATGCCAAGGATATGGCCATGTTTTATAGTGTAAGTTTTTTTGAAATGCATTTTTGTTTCAAATTTTAGGTCCTCTCAGCTGATCCGATCTCCAAGAATTTTGGCAATCTGAAGCCGTCGAAAGTCCTTTTCACGGTTGATTCCTGCGATATGATCAATCCATTATCCCCAGTGGTTTATGACGCTGTCCATAAAGTGGCTCGTTCTTTGGCCACTAAATATTCAGTCCCAATGGAAGAGTATCATCTCCCACCCATGGAGAAGCTGATCGAATGCCAAATCAATGTCTGTTGCCCTCCGGGCGCGGAGAATTTTGTTATCGAAGGAGTTTTTCCAGTGAGTTGGAGCGATTTTTTTGATTTTTTTTTCATATTTTAGGAAAACATTTGATTTTTTTTGACGCAACAATTGGTTTTTTGGCCTGATTGCTTTGTTTAAGATGGATGTTTTAGAGAGTGGACGCCAGTAATTTCATTACGGAGAAGATAAAGGCCTACCTTAATGTCTCGAAAGTCAGTATTGGCCCGGCCGAAGGAGTGCATTACTTTAGTAACTCAAAATCTCCACAAAGACATCAGCAGCTCCTCAAGGATCTAGATGAATATAGAAAAAAAGTCGCCGATGACCTCAAGGAAAATGTGGTTTTGGTCGGCCCATCTCTCCCGAGAAATTATTATTTACATAATGAAATGACCTTATTCGGCCATTTGGATTGGTTTCATACCGCTATTTTTAATGGACTGGCACTTCCAGCAGCTGCTGTTCCGATTGGATTGGATCAGCATGGATATCCGGTATCAGCACAGATCGCAGCATCAAGAGGAAACAATTACTTGCTGATTAGGATGATGGAAGTCTTGGAGAAGGAGTTTGGAGGATGGAGACCACCGAGACAGGGGACAAAATGAGCTTGAAACGATTGAACGATGATTATTTAATTGATGTGGTTGGAGAATCCGAATAAATATAATTTTTTTTGGATTTTAATTTGATTTTTTGAGGTTTTTAATAATTTTAAAGTAGGTTTCAATGTTGCCTGAAAAAATGATTTTTCTATTATAGAAAGAGATGTTTGGCTAGCGCGAAGAAAGTTTTTGAGGAAAAGGTTTGTTTTCTGTTTTGTTCGCCCTTATCTGGGAACATTTTATTTATTTTCGTGGAAAGATTATCACTGTTACACTTATTTACATTCAAGATACTCCTCTCTGCAAGATCTCAAAAACAATATTCTTCGTGATTTTCCCGTTTTACACGGAGTGTTTATGAATATTGCATCATGAGTTTGATTATCAGCGCGAACGCAGCAAAAAAAAAATTTGCGGATATCGCTAAAGTGGTGCCAAAAATAGGAGTCGTTCATGTGTTCGTTGTGCCCGCCGCAGTTTCTTCGGCGCTATAAAAGGAGGGTTTGTCGCGGCAATAGTCATCTTGCAACTCACAAGCGTTTCAAGTAGCCATGTCGATTCTTGTCGAAGCCTTTGGTCCCGGTCTTCAGATGCATCTCGGTGGAGGTGGGAGGTACGGTACTTTTACGAGAGATGTCCTCCTTGAGGAGCTCTACAAGCCAACTGACTTGAGAAGATTGAATGATGAAGAAGGGCCGGAGTTTGTCGTTGCCGGCAACGACAGAGTGATGGCTCGCACGTACAAGTTGTTGGAGGAGGAGAAGCTGGATGAAGAGGACTTGACTGAGGTCATGATGGAGTCTGGATGGCATAGAAATGTAGGTAAATGATGACAGAAGATGAGAATTGGACTGAAATCACCCCGCAGGGTCCCCGTTCTTCACAAGATTCATTTTTTGTACTGATTAATTTCAGGCGTCCGTCCAGCCCTTGTTGAACATCCCCGTTTTTATCAAGGCGTCCAACGATGATGTGATCTTGAATCGGTAGGCCTTACGACTTTGACAGATATTTGACTTGTCAAAATTTTACATTTTCCTCTACATAGTCATTATTTTCAGTCTCCGCACTGCCGGTGCCATCACCTTGGTCGAGGAAGGCGGCGACTTCAATGACCCATGGCGAAAGGGCTTCAACCTCCTTTCCGGAAACCTGCGGTTCCCGCTGATCAAGCCCATTAGAATGTCCAATGGGATTCTGATCAAGCAGGACCGCGCCATCACCATTAGAGAGGACATGACTCAAGAGGATGAGGAGACGTACGGACCGGAATTGGTCAACTTTTTCGTCATCAAGAACCGCCAATTTGTGGAGGAGAATCGGCGTTTGTTTGTGACTGCAAGAAGAACCGAGGATCTGGTTACTTTTTACAGTGTAAGTAGCTTGGTTTAAAAAGTGGTTTCTGCCGATATTTGACATATGATTTAGGTCGGTTCGGCGACTCCAATTCCTCGAGACTTTGTCATTTTGAAGCCGTCCAGAGTCCTTCTGGCCGCTTATGAAGGTACCGGAATTACCTTGAAGGAAGATGACGTTGTCATTAAAATGGCCAACTTCCTCGGTGGCCGCTACAATGTGACCTACGAAAATTTCATGATGGCTCCCTTGGAGAGGATTGTGCAACTCTATGGAGGAGGCGGCAATCTTCACATCAAGAATGGAACTCAACATCAATCTGACAACTACGGTGGAAGACACACCCAGTTCTCCTTCGGTGGAAGATATAACAACTTCAGACTCACCGAGGAGCTTGTCGTTTACCGTCGCAATCTGATGGAGAATTTGAAGGACAATGTGATTCTGCTCACTTCCGATTTCCTTCAGAAGAACAGAATGTTCTCCAACATTGGCGTCACCATGTACGATGTCGTCTTTGAGGCGCTCGACATCCCGATCGTCACCATTCCCATTGGAAGAGATGAGGAGGGAAATGTGAAGCATGTCTTCTTGGCCACTGCCAGAGGCAACGAGTACTTGCTGATTCGTATGTTGGAAGTTCTCGAAGAGAACTTTGGCGGATTCGGCGGAAAGAACCGCAACTTCTAAGATGAAAATCTTATTCATTATAACCGATGATTACCCAGATAGTAGTTGCAGAAAATAAACACGCAGTTTTGGTATTTTTGAATTGGTTCTTGATGGATTTCTAGCAATTACAGTGAGGGACCTGATCCAGTGTCAAAACACGTATTATTTTGCATGCGGGAAGCCTAAAAAATGTGGCAAAAAGCTTCTCTCTCCAAGTGAAAAAAAAGTCGTTTTGAAGGTTGCCTTTCCCTCACAAAAACAGCGGGCGCGCTTTTGAAATCCGAGTTTTTTCACTTGGGGATGGAAGCATTTTGCCATATTTTTGATACTTCCCGGATGCAAAAAGGTACGTTTTTTGCCACTGGATCAGGCCCCCCACTGTATTGGCGAAAAAAACTATTCTTTGTGGCTTCAACACCGTTTAATATACGTATATTAATGTGTTTCTCTGTGAAAACATCTTATAAATTCATAAACAAAAGTGAAAACACGATAAACAAATGATAAAAGGGCAGTTGGCCTGATTGTTTGACAATCAACACAGTTTTCCCAGAAAGTACAGTTGCTCTTCTTGCTGTCACGTGGTCAATCTTTACTATATAAGAAGTCCTTGTATTATCTTCACAGTAATCATTGATTAACTTAAACTTTTTCCAATATGCCCAACCTTTTTCAAACATACGGCGGTGCTTTGTATCGTATGTACGCGCAGTTGGAAGAGAGGACCACTGCTCCAGAAAGTACTGACCCACTAACGCGGATATCTGCGACTGAAGCTGCAACGAAAATCAGAACGGGAAAATTATCATCATTCCAGCTTGTGAAAGTTTATTTGAAGCGAATTAAAGAAGTCAATTTGTATATCAACGCCGCGTCTGAAACCTTTGATAGTGAAGCGTTGGAAGAGGCGGCCAATGTGGACAGATATTTGGCAGGGTTGGATAAAAAGTCGGAGGAATACAAAAGCGTAAGGAAAATATTTCCTAACTCAAAAGTTTGGTTTCTACAGTTGGAAGTGAAGAAGCCTTTGTTAGGAGTCCCGGTTTCCATCAAACACTGTTTTGATGTCAAAGGAAAAAGAAATATCGCAGGGTTGAGCCGTCGACGCAATATTCCAGTGGCTACTGATGATGCTGAGGCGGTGAAAAGGCAAGGGATTATAGACATCTTAAGCAATGTTTATTTGAGCTTGTTAGATAAGATTTCTTCTCTTTTGCAGAATCCGTGAAGCGGGTGGAATCCCCTTCGTCTACACTAACCTTCCGGACGCCTGTTTATGGGTGGAAACTTCTAATCCGGTATATGGAAAGACCTCCTCTCCCTATGACACCAGAACAACTTCTGGAGGTTCCTCTGGCGGCGAAGGGGCTCTGATCTCGGCCGAAGGATCATTACTTGGGATTGGCTCGGATTTAGGTGGATCCGTTCGAATCCCCGCGTTGTTTAATGGAATTTATGGCTTAAAACCCGTGAATGACATTCCACTCGAAGGGCATTATCCGGATCCTAAAGACGACTCCATGAGATTACTTTTTGGGATTGGGGCAATGGCAAGATATGCCGAGGACATGGCTTTGTTCTACAGTGTAAGAAGTGGCCATAGCCGTGATATATGAGGTGAGATTTCAGATTCTTTCGCAATCCCCGATCCCTCGCGATTACTTGACTTTGAAACCCACTAGAGTCCTTCTAACGTTGCCTACTTTTGATCGACTGACTCCACTGACTGATGACGTTCGACGAGCTGCCTTGACTACGGCGAGATTGATCTCTGAACATTACAGAATTCCACTTGAGGAATATAAGCTAGCTCCAATGGAAAAGATGATCGAATGGTATATTAATGAGGCCTCTCCGCCTGGAGATGAGTCAATGACCAAATACGTTTATCCGGTAAACCCCTGATTTATGCCATTTAAATATTTTGGAACAGGACGCCACCACTTCCAATCTGCTTCTTGAAAAATTGCGGTCTTATTTGGGCCTCAATAAAGTGAATCCCGGCTCCGCTGAGTTTATCCACACTTTCGCTGAAGAGAAGACGCCAGCGAAATACGATCAACTTCATCGCGAGCTTCATGATTATCGACAAATTCTCAACGAACTGCTCAGAGACAATGTCATTCTTGTCGCTCCAAGCCTGCCAAAGAGTCATTACTTCCACAATGAATTGTTGATCGCGAGAACTGACTGGTTCCAGACAGCCATTTTCAATGGATTGGCGCTGCCTGTGGCCACAGTCCCATTGGGTTTGGATCGCGATGGATATCCAGTTGGAGCGCAAATTGCTAGTGCCAGGGGAAATAATTATTTGCTGACTCGGATGCAGGAAATGTTGGAGAAAAAGACTGGAGGCTGGCGACCACCGAGGAGCTTATTGTAGAATAAGAATTATGTTTGTCAATCTTACTCTGAGTTGACTTAGAAAGCCCTAGTGAACATGATGACTTAAGAAATATTAGATTCTTGGAAACTTGAAGATTATTAACATCGAATTGTTGCTGAATTTTCATGAATAAAACTTATAGTTTCTTTGTTCCTTTGACTTCTAATCGGCTTATTTATTCATAAATCACATGAAGACTGTTTATGAGTTTCTAATCTAAAACGCAACAAACCCAATCTTTTCTTCAATTTATTATAAGCCTTCCAGACGTTCTCCTTATCATAATAAATGTAGATTTAATCTCCAACCTGCCATTCTGTAAAGTTCATAAAAACTTTGATTAATGGGGCAAACGACTTCATAAATAATGATATTGCTTTTTCTACATTGTTTACACCAATGGAACGCGTGCCCGAGCAGACACTGAAGGCAGATAAAAGGGACCAGAAATTAACGCACATTACTACAGGTTTCCAATCACTCAAGTTTGTGGGTGGCATTGAATCACATTTCTGTCTGCGGGTAATAAAACTTTGCTTGTACATAGTCTTTGTATAATTATAGAAGGATTGTTTGATAGCTGTGTATGTATAATAGTAGGCCGGGTGGGTTGGATGAGGAGATTTGATTTGCAATCGGGACAGAGGAAGTTGGGTTTCTTGAGGAAAAACTTGATTCGTTTTGATGCGGAAAAAGTAAGGTATCATTTGAGATACCTTGCAAGCAAATTGAAGTCAATTTACTAAACATAATGTAATCTTTTTGCTATTTTCTGATGAAATGTTTAAATTAGACCATTGTTCATTGACATGCGTTCATGTCATGTTTTTGCCACAAATACGTCGCTCAAAATTTATCCTCTACGTTTCTCCGACAACTGTCACTATGATCGTAGCTTTTGACAATCAATGCCACGCAAAAACAAGAGTTCAGTTTGAAGGAATAACAAAGGAACAAAAAGTTTGGACCCCGAGGACATAAAAAAGCGCAAAATAACATAACGGTTTTGACACTCTTTTAATACAAATTCGAAATCGTCACAAGTTGCCGGCACAGTAGAACAAACTCATTTTTGGACTTTCTGAACCAGCGAATGTAAAAATAAAAAATTTATTGAAAGGAGTCAACGCTATGATACAATCAATTACGAGGGTCCCAAACATTTCTCCGAGGCCTCTTGTGGAAGACTTTGCAGAAAGAACGTTTCACTTATGCTGTTGTTCCCTTTATTGGGGATTATTCAGCGTTTCCGCAAAAGATTTGAGGGGTACTTTAATCAGCGCCCATTCCAAGGCATAAAAAATAAGAACCCGTCATCGGGCTTCTGCGTTGTTTTTTTGGACTCTCATCAAGCATAAAACCTTGTCATTGTAGTTTTTGATAAAGTTTTGCATAATTGATAAAACAAAATTAAAATTTTAGAACTTGAAAAATGGAGACGATGGCTCGAAACTACGGCTCAGCCTTGTATCGGCTTTATGCCAAGCTCGAGGAAAAGACCGTCGCTCCCGAAAGCACCAATCCTCTAACCAAAATCTCGGCGACAGAAGCGGCTAGAAGAATTCGAGAAGGCGAATTGTCATCATATGAGCTGGTCAAGTGCTATCTGGACAGAATAAAACATGTTAACTTGTATGTGAATGCTGTGGTTGAGACTTTCGATGTGGAGGCGTTGGAAGAGGCAAAGAAAGTCGATGAGTACATCAAGAATATCGACAAGAGTTCGTTGGAGTATAAAACAGTGAGTAGTTTTGCTGGGTTTGAAATCATCCGTCTAAATTTCCAGCTAGCCGAGAAGAAGCCGCTGCTTGGAATCCCTATCTCGATCAAGTGCGCATTCGAGGTGAAGGGCCACAGGAATGTCTCTGGTGCTTACTTTAGAAGAGATATTCCATTGTGTACCGAAGATGCAGTTACTGTTCAACGGTAAGCTCAAGATCTTTTTAAAACCTTGTCATCTCCTCTATTCATAATCCAAACTCCATTCATCCTCATTTTCTTGCAGAATTCGAGCAGCCGGCGGTATTCCCCATTGCTACAGCAATGTTCCTGACAGTTGCTTGTGGATCGAAAGTTCCAATAAGACTTATGGCACCACCTCTTCTCCCTATGATACCAGAACAACTTGTGGTGGATCTTCTGGCGGGGAGGGTTCCGTCATTGCATCCGAAGGATCCCTTCTTGGGATTGGCTCGGATTTGGCCGGATCTGTGCGAATACCGTGCATTTTGAATGGAGTTTTTGGATTGAAGCCGGTGAATGACATTCCCATGGAGGGCCACTGGCCAGATTGCGCGGGCGATGAGTTGCGACAAATGGCCGTGATTGGCCCTCTGGCCAGATATGCCGAGGATATCGCGACTTTTTATAGTGTAGGCTATTTTAAGCGGCATGACATATATTTCATTATAAGAACGTAATATGTATTTATTTCATATGACATTTTCAGGTCCTCTCCGCAACCCCGATCCCAAGTGATTTCATTGACTTAAAGCCAAGCAAGGTTCTTTATACTCTCCCCCAATTCAAGAGCGTTCTTCCATTGTCAGCGTCAACGCAGGGAGCCGTATTTAGAGTTGCAGAATTCTTGACTCATGAATACAATGTTCCCACTGCAGAATTTGAATTGGAAGAGGAGCAGAAAATCTTTGAATGGTATGGAAATGAAGTATGCAAACCCGGAGCTCCGACTATGGCTGGGGCTGTTGTTCCGGTAAGTTAATGAAAGGGCAAAGACATGCGTAGAGATAAAAAATGCTCTCCAAAGGATTAGGTTCAAACAGTAGCGAAATTTTGATAAGCATTGAAAAAATTGTAGTTTAATTCTTTGATTGCGGCGTCTGATGAAGACCGCAACCTTTTTTTTAAGTTGACGAAATGGCCATTTAAGGAAAAAATCAAATCTAACTGTCAAATCTGCAGATTTGAATTTCTTTTGAAAAAATTTAAAGACGCAAAAATGATTTATCGACGTATTCCTTCAGACCGCCGACGACTCCAGTTTTGGCTTTGAGCGTCTCAAGGCATTCCTTGGAGTCAGCAAAGCTTCCGCTGGAGTAACCCTCGTCACCAACATCTTTGGGGAATTCCGCCCTCCAAAAGTGTATCAGCGCCTTCACGAAGAGCTCCTGGAATACCGTCAAAGTCTCAACGAACTCCTCAAAGACAATGTTGTCCTTGTGGCTCCAGCTTTCCCCAAGACTCACTACTTCCATAACGAGCTTTTGTTTACTCTGTATGACTTCTTCTACACAGCTCTATGGAATACCATGGCTCTTCCAGCGGCTGTAGTCCCAATAGGATTGGATAACGAGGGATATCCAATCACTGTTCAGCTGATTGCTGCCAAAGGAAACAATTATTTATTGATGAGACTGCAACAAGTTTTGGAGACGAAATTTGGTGGGTGGAAGCCACCAAAGAGAGTGTAAATATATAAATTTAAAATTTGAAATGCTTACAATTTTGTAAATTGTATATATGCTTGAGCTCAATAAATAGATTGACTAGTATATTTAAAACTCTTTGCAAGCAAAAAAATCCAAACCGCGTAACTTTTTGAAGTAAAAAATTGTTCATAACACATCAAAATAATCAAGGCACCCTTTTCTAGCTATGTGAGAATCAGGAAGCAAATATTTTTTTGATGTTTCATTTTTTTAATAATGAGGGATTTTTGCCCTTTTAGTACAAGAAAGAAAAATATTATCAGTCGCGGCTAACCGTCAAAAAATCATCCATAAAACAGAACATGTAAAAAATGAACCCGGAACAAATTGAAATTTCAGGTCAGGTAGTAAAAAATCCTACAAATTTTAATGCGATAAAATTCTGATTTTTCGCTAAATTTAGTCAAAAAATTCATTAACCCTTAACAAAGATAAACAACACAACTTTTGAGCAACATGACTTGTCAACCTCACTCGTCAATCAAAAACACACTAATCCCTGATTACAAAGGTTGTCAAGAAATAAGCCTTTAAAAACTTTTTGCTTTTTACATATCATTACAAACGTACGGGGTCAGCTAATGCAAGTTTGGTCTGAGCTTGAAGGAAAAGTAAGTTTATGGCCCATAATAAAAGGTCGGTTGGTCTTGAGTAAAAAATTTATAAGTCATCAAAATCTGCACTTGAGTTTTTGAACTTCCTTCGAAACGAAATGTTCAAAGCGACTTTTCGAGTTTTAAAAAATTATTTTTCCGGTTGATTATCGCTATTGTTGCATCCTTGATTTAAAAAAATTATAGCATCACTACTAAAAGTGCCTTTGGTAAGTGAAGAAAATACGTAGACTACCCTGGCTTTAGCCTACGGTACCTTAATTTAAACATTTGTATTTTTTAGAGCTGTCAAGCACCACAATCATCATTGCCAATGGCCAGATTTCTCCAACGTGGCCTTGGCGCCTTGTACAGAAGATACGCTGAATGTGAGGAGCGTTCGATAGTCCCAAAAAGCGATGACCCCTTGACGAAATTGTCAGTTAAACAAGCGGCCAAGGAGATTCGAGAGGGGAAATTGTCATCATCCGACCTGGTCAGAGCCTATTACCGACGGCTGAAACATGTCAATTTGTACATCAACGCGGTGACCGAAACCTTTGAAGGGGAGGCGTTGGAAGAAGCGAGGAAAGTGGATGATTACATCAGAAATTTGGACAAGAATTCAGAGGAATTCAAAAATGTGAGCGTTTCAGAGAGTAGCTCTGTTAAACGGTCCTTAGTGTAGAAGGTGTGGATGTTTCTAAGCTGAAAAGCTGAAAATTCTTTTTTTTCAGCTTCCGTCAACCAAGCCACTTCTGGGAATCCCCGTTTCCATCAAGTCAGCCTTTCAAGTGAAGGGTCATCGAAATATCTCTGGTCTACCTCATCGACGAGACATTCCATTATGTGCTGAAGATGCCCCGGCAGTTCAGAGGTGGGTTCTAGACTTTTGTACATAATAGCGATATAGCGGATCTAATTTAATTTAAAAATGCCGCAACTTTAGAGGATTTTTGGTTGTAGTTTAATAAGCTTTAACATCGCGCCGCATTGTCACAATTCCAGAATTCGGTCGGCTGGTGGAATTCCTTATTGCTACACAAATGTCCCCGACGGATGTCTGTGGATCGAGTCGTCAAATAAAATCCATGGCACCACTTCATCTCCTTATGACAACCGGACAACAAGTGGAGGGTCTTCCGGCGGCGAAGGGGCTCTAATTTCGGCTGAAGGATCCGTAATTGGGATTGGATCGGATTTGGCGGGATCTATTCGAATCCCAGCATTATTCAATGGAATTTTTGGGCTGAAACCGGTGAATGACATTCCCATTGAAGGGCATTATCCATCAGTGGAAACTGATGAGATGAAGATCATGGCTTCAATTGGGCCACTGGCCAGGTATGCCGAAGACTTGACTGTTCTGTACAGTGTGAGTTTACGCTTTTTTTATAAGCTTATTTATCAGTTTTTTAGGTCCTGTCAGCCACTCCAATTCCCTCAAATTTCGAGTTGATAAAGCCCACCAAAGTCCTGCAATATTTTCCCCCAGTTGGAGTGATTCATCCATTAGATGATGATGTGAAAAATGCTGTCCCTAGAGTCGTAAATGCTCTAACACATCAATTTGGGGTCAAAAGTGAGGATTTTGAGTTGCCGACAATTGAAAAAATCGTGGAGTGGTATGTAAACGAAGTAAGGGATCCATCGAGACCAGCTTTCAAAGGGACGGTAAATCCGGTAAGTGCGAGGACGGGGAAATGCAAATTCCTTGGCTTATTGCAAGGCCTGGAAAATTTTAGCGAAAGGCCATAAAAAAATTCACAAAAAAACTCTAATCCTCGCCTTTCAGAACCCCTCCGATTTTGAAGGATTTACCGGCACGCTGAAGCTTTTATTTGGACTCAGCAAGTCCACATTTGGCTCAGTTTACGGCGAGAAAGTCCTGACCACTCCCAATGACCACAAGACATACAATAAGTTACACAACGAGCTCCTCGAATACCGTCAGAAACTGAATAATATCCTGAAAGACGATGTGATTCTGGTAGCGCCAAGTCTTCCGCTGACCCACTTCTTCCACAACGAGTTGATTATCCGCCAAACCGATTGGATTTCGACTGCAATGTTCAGTGTTTTGGGAGTTCCGGTGGCTACAGTACCCTTGGGATTGGATAGTAATGGATATCCGGTTGGAGTTCAGCTGGTCACCGCAAGGGGCAACAATTACTTGCTGTTGCGGATGCAAGAAGTGTTGGAGAAAACTTTTGGAGGCTGGAGGCCGGCCGAGAGACATTAGTTTGAATAAAATTTAGTGTTATAACAACTAGTTTGCCAAATAAAAAAATTAATTAAGTTCTGAAAATTTTGCTGTAATCTGTACTCTTGAAAATGGTCTAAATTATTTTGCAAGGTATAATTGGACAGGGTAAAGGTATTGCGTCAGATTTATAATCTTCCGTTGGTGATTATTACAACTTTGTTTTCAGTTCGCTTCACTAAACTTGCTCATTAGGAAAATCGTTGCTGAAAATTTCTGATCACTGTTTTTCTCATCCTGTGGAAGATTTTTGGCCATTTTTATTGTCCACAGATTAAAAAATTTCTTAATTTTTTTTTGCATTTTATTTGTTATCTTTGTTATACAGTAGAGTACCTTGTTACCAAAAAAATTGTTCTTGAATCCCTTAAAATGCGGAGTATTTTTTCTTGCATTCCTTGGGAGTCATCACTCTGTAAGCAGGATGCATTTGGAACCACCAATCTTGGAGGAGCGTTGGTAGATGAGCTGAAGGAATGTAAAAGAGTTTAGCATCAATTCCCGGCCGATAACGGGTCCTGGGATGCTTGGCAGTCAAGGCGTGGAAATAGGCGTCAACAACAATCTTCGGGTCAGATCCGAATCCATAGCGGATTCGGGTTGTGTCCTGGGCTGAAAAAGTTATGCTTGTGGGGGTGGAATTATCTTAGGTTACTGTGGGCGGTAGATGAAAGGAATGCGTTACGAATTTTTGTAGAGACGCTGCATTAAACAGGAATTCGCAGTTAACTCAAAAACCGAAAAAGTAGCGGTTTTAATCGCGGAATCGCGGTAGTCACGGTGCTTTGAGCAGTCTTCCAAAGTGTCCGCGAAGTTACTGTAGGTTTTGTTTTGCTGCTTTGTTAAAAGCTAGCGAGCGACATCAAGTGGTTTTGAAAAAAATGACCTTGCTTTACTGTAGGTTTTAAAATGCTTTTTTGAGCCAGCAAAGAGATGTTCCAATTACTGTGTGCTTCCACACAGTACATAGCCAACCTCGAACTTACTGTATTTGAAGAATTCTTCCCCAAAATCCCTCTTCACTTCCTCCGGCTGTCTGTCCCAAGCTCTTTGAATGTTTCTCAATCCGTTTTCCACCACATTCATTGGCGTTCTTAAGAATCCGGGTTCAACAATGTGCACAGAGATCCCATGAATTGCATATTCGCGTCTAAGAGTCGAAACACTTTTACTCTCACTTCAAATTACCTGATAGTGTCCGAAAACGCTTCCACACCGTATTTCGCGACTGCATAGGGCCCGATCTGGGCTGGGGCGCAGACCGAAAAGCTGCTGGTCACATTGACAATTCGGCCTCTGAAATGGGGAAAGGGTTATCAGGTTATCACAAAAGAGATGTAAATTGTGTCTTAAATTGTGTCGAATTTTGGGAACACAAATATAGAGTAGTGCAAAAACGTCAACAACTTCTGTGCCAACAGCAGCCCAAAAGCTGACTTTCAGAAAAAAAATGTTGACGTTCCAGATTCTTACCGGCTCTTCTTTAGCATGTTTCTAAACTTATGAGTGACTCTGATTACTCCCAAAGTGTCAACTTCAAACAATTTTCGATAGTGTTCCACCGGTTGCCACTCATCCCAAACGAATTCTCCAGCAATCCCTGCATTGTTGACAATGGCATGTAGTCCAGCCGGGCCAACAGTGTCCTCAATGAATTGCCGAGTCTTTTCAACGTCCTCATCGCTAGTGACGTCCATAAGGAAAGCGTGAAGTTGGCCGTTCATGCTTCTGCATTCTTCAGTGAGCAGTTTTCGGCCCTAGAAGATGCATAAATTGACCAGGAAGTTTTTTCGCTTACCTCATCTGTGGTACAGCTAGCGAAGACAGTCATCCCATGTTCCATACATCTTTTGGCTAAGCCATTGCCAAATCCGGAGTCGCAGCCAGTGATTAGAACGGCTTTTTTATAGGCCCCATCTATCAACTGCAGTTCTCTAAAGTATCTGACCGTGTAGTAGATGGCGGACCAAAGAATTGCGGCGTAGATTAGGAGCAATATCATTTTAGGAGAGAAATCAGTCTGTTACAAAGCTCTGACAAGATCGCTGGTTAGTGGCCACCGTAGTCAGCCAGCTAATTCCTCCACGAATCCCCTAACTGGTCAAACTTTTGTTCAACTAAAGATACGCTAACTTCTCAATGCTTTTGAGGCAAACAATCGACGATTTCTGCTGATTAGGAATAGTTTTTCATTATGATCGCTACAACTGCGATAATTTTAGCATGGGAAGTGCACAAAAACAATCATGAACTATGTCATTCTACTTTAAGTTTGTCCTTTGATTCCGTCCTTTATTCCTCATTTATCAAACGATTACTTTTTATGATCAGCATACCTTTTCCTACCCTCTTTTGCTGACAGTTTACAGAGTCATCATGACCTATTTTTCATAACTTTCTTGATTGGATTGCTAAATTTGACCTCTTTCTTGATTTCTGCCCCGAGCACGTGTTGATTACAATCGCTGCTCTGATTGCAGATATTTTACGATTGCCCCAAATTGTGCGATAAGCCAATATTTAAAAACGTACCCGAATGGATGTGCTTTCGAAAACAACATCTTTAATGAGATTAAAGCAATAAAATTGGAAAAAACTTGGGACTGTCAATCAGTACAGGAATGGGGAAATTCAGCTAACATAAGAAAGAATAGAAGTCATCGCAGCGTGTAATATTTCAGCCTTTTTTGGACATCTAATCTTTTGAAGCCACCTATCAGTTTGTCGGGAAAATAACGGCTATAGACAAGAAAAGATACCGCCAGAGAAAGGGCGTCTCGGAAATACCATCTCGAGCTTCATTGCCAATATCCAAAGAAAACTTTTTCTCACAAGTATAGAGTGGGGCGTTTGTACAACGACTGAAAACGTAGCCTAGAAAAATATAGTTTTAATGTGGCTTTGTTATAAGGATGTTTAACGGCATCGTTGGGCTTACAATCCAGCACAGTCCAGGAACTTTTCGTTTAGGTCTTACTTCTTGAAACCGCCGGCAGGAAATCGATTTTTTAAGTACAATTTCAAAGAAACCTCTTTTTCAGTTCACAAAATTAAAGAATTTTTTAGTAAGGATGTTGTGTCACCATAATTATTTCCCGTCGTAGGCAAAGAAGTTTTTGAAAATTTTGTTTCCAAAGCAGTAAAAAGCATGGTTCAAAAGCAGTAGCTTTACTGGCATTAAAAAACTTTTCCAATGCCGAAACTTCCTCAGACTATGTAATCCTCCAGATCTGGAGGCTCCACTTTCTTGTTATCGTAGGATCTCAAGATGGAAGATGTTCTGCTCTTTTCCTCCTCGCAAATGCGTCGCTCGCCGCTGCAGATGCGTTACAGTGTTTTATCTCCGTTGACGCAGCGATAATGATCATCTTGTGAGGTTCTAGCGTAACAACTGAACATTGAGGTCTTTTTTGAGATTCACTTTTTATTTCATTTCTCAACTTCCAACGAAATTCTCAAGGCTTTTTTCAGCCGTTGCTAGACACATTTGTTTTTTACCTCAAAGGTTTTTCGTTATCAAAAATGAAAAGAAAAAACAATTATCAGCGTTTTCCCAATTTTCCTCTTAATTTTAATCCCACAAATATTCAAAAAAAGGCTTGCATCCTATTCTAAGTTATCTATTGCTGATTTACCATCACTTCAAGATCCAAACTGATTTTCCACCCGATCAAAGGCTCTTGAATAACCTTGTAAACGCACTTTTGCTTGGTTCTAGCTTTCCTCGCTTCGTCTTATCGTCATGTCAGGTGAAGCCTTTCTTTTCTCAATTTTTCATCGCCTTTCAAAACGATTCTTTTTTGAAATTTTTGTTTTTTTGTTTGAAAAGGGGAGTTTGAGTTTTTGGGGGAAGGGTAAAATTTCTCCCCTGGATTACTCAGTATGATCATTTTGGAGGTGTTCGCGACAGCCATTTGTCATCTTTAGACTTCACACTTGTGTAATGACCTTTGTGGTGTAATTAGTGTTCTCCAAACTTTTTTAACCCGTTTCAAAATTTACGGTTCAAACCGGGAGTAAATTTAGATGTCGTTGAATTGATAAATGGAGATAGAAAGATGAACAGTTTGATTGGGTGGCATGCTCAAGGTTAGCGGAAGATACATTGACGTCCGGAAGAGTTGTCTTTATTTTACGATTTCTGGCGGGCTATGACGGCACTTATTGGTTGGCGCTTGGGAGCCTCTAAGAGCGTTCAGTAAAATCTCAGTGCTAAAAATGGATATAAGAAATTATTTTTTTCTAATTAATTTTCTTTTAAAAAATTAATTAGCCGTATGGTTATTGGTCTAAAGCTGACTCTTGGGGCATCTGAAATTGTTTGTTTTACAGACAGGTTATTGTGTTGAGCATAGGTTCTGGGGCACAAGCCTCAGTCGTAGACCCTTTAAGACACATAGAAATGCATGGGACCTTCAAGTGTAATTGGCTTGGAATTTGAAGCTACTGAGAGTCAGACAACAAGGTTTGTGGAAACGGCTTGTCGGATAGAAGCTTCTCTCTAGACACGTCGATGTACCAAGCTTCTAACTATATGTATTCGCAACAGTCAATGAGAAAAAAGTTTTCGTTCTGCATTTTTACGCCAATTTATCACACAGCAGTTCTGCTTAACCAATCATTTCTTCTCTACTTTTCATTGCCGTGAACAAATATAACTACTGTAAAGTATATTCTAAAAAAGTCTTGAACCCATTCAGGAAACATATTCTCATCCGAAATGTAATGGATTGCTCTTTTAGACTCTGTGTCGAGGAATTTAACCGGTTTATTGTCTCATCGGAGATGTATGAACTTTCTTTTTTTTTTATTCCTGTTCATTGATATTATTATATCCTTTTTTCTCTCCATTCTTAACTGTTTTACCGTTGATTGTACTTTGCTACAAGGCGGTACTGATATTCGCCAGTGCTACGGTAGTCACAGTTTCTGCACTTTTTTCTGAATAGAGTTTGTCATTATCGATGTTGCAGAATGTTTTCTCACGGGATTCTTGCAAAGGAAGTGGTTCCTTCGAACCGTAGAGACTGTGTTGTGATGTTGCGTTCTCCAGAGGGCCCTATAAAGCGATGAGAGTTCTCCTGCTTTTCATTAAATCGCTATCGGTGTTTTCCTGAAGAGGTCGAAGCGATAATCTCGAAGTCTCCGGAAAAACAAGAAATCAGAAACTGTACTCTATCCCTTTTTGATAACTTACTATTAGGGCAAAATTTTCATTTATTGACAGCCAAAGTTCTGGAGATCTGACCTTTTTTGATTGTGTTGCGGTTTAGCACCGGCACAGGTTCTAAAAATTCATCGTTTAGTTTGATGCTTTTGAAGGGAGGGTTGAGATATCGAACGATGAAACCATAAGACCATGCAGATTGATGAGGCTGCCAGAGAAAAAACTTTTTTTGCAGTTTTTTATTAAACTTTGGGAAATAATTCTGGACGACCAAGATAAAAATTTTGAAAGGTCTGATACGTTGGCTGTTCGGAGGTTCGATAGTAATTCACAATTTGTCTTAACAAAACTTTTTCGATTTTTTTTGATTGCTTGAGCCATCTACCGTTTGTGATACCCGCTGTGTTTGACTATGCACTTTCAGGCTTGCATAAAAATAAGTCATTGTTTGGCTTGGGACTTTGTTGATCATCAGCGGTTCGACTGTCTGATCAGATAAAAAGCCTGTTTATTCGATTCGTTTTTGTTAACAGGGTTGGAATTCCTATTTTTTTGGAAAATATTTACTGTTTTCTCAGAATCTTTAGCATTTCTTGTCAGGTGAATGTAGCCTTCATTCCTTCATTTTCCCTTCCTTATACTCGACTGTAAATGGACTATGACTGTTTTGTTTTTAAATGTGGAAGCACTGGTTGTCTTCTGCTGTACTTTGACTTTGTATTGTTGTTCATCAGTGACCGATTTGTTTACTCACTATCTAAATTCAGCCCTTCCCTACCAGAAGCCGTTAAACTTCCAGTTTTTTAGAACTCTGCTTCGTCCCATATGCGATTGCAGCTTTCGTTTTTAACACTCCTCTCCGGTGCTCCCATCATTCTGTTGTAATCACTTTCAACAAAAAATCATCTTTTTCCCCAAATTTTACTGGTTCATTTTTCGTACAATTGATACGTCTAGCGGGAAGCGAGGGAAAACACGTGAACGCCGCAACGTTTATTCAACTCGAGTCAACTGATGATAGCGCTCCTCTTTTATGCTGTTTGTTTGATTACCTTCCCTTAAAGCCCCTCATCAAGGCTTTCGTTACAAAACTCTCCTTTATCAGGAATTACAATATAATCAGCGTGTCTGTTTTTCCCCGTATGATCAAGTTTTGCGACCTTGGCGATAATTAATTACTAGTTATTAATGCTGTTCTTTGACATCGGTCGAGCTTCTTTGTTGTCTTGCTAGAGTTGTTGTGGAGTGTAAACGTGAGAGTCGCAACTTTAGTGAGGGATTTATGGGGTTTCTTTTTTGATCAAAGTCATTGAGAAATTTCTTATTTTCAGTCAAGTACCATCTACTTTAACTCTAAAATTTTTTAGTAAAAATCACGCTTACTTATGGCTATTACAGTGGGAGACCTGATCCAGTGGCAAAGAACGTACCACTTTGCATCCGGGAAGTATCAAAAATGTGGCAAAATGCTTCCCTCTCCAAGTGAGAAACTCAGATTTCAAAAGCGCGTCCGCTCTTTTTGGGAGGGAAAAGGCGCGCCCTTCAAAACGACATTTTTTCACTTGGAGAGGGAAGCATTTTGCCACATTTTGGATGCTTCCCGGATGCAAAATGGTACTTTTATTGCCACTGGATCAGGTCCCCCCACTGTAATAGTCATAAGTAAGCGTAATTTATACTGAAAAATTTTAGAGGTAAAGTAGATGGTACCTGACTGAAAATAAGAAACTTCTGAATGACTTTGGTCAAAAAAGAACCCCATAGAGCCCTCACTAAAGTCGCGACTCTCACGTTTACATTCCACAACAGACTCTAGCAAGACAACAAAGAAGCCGCCCACTGTATATAACATTTCATTGTGTCATTCCGTACTTACAAGCTATCTTCCGTTAGCGACTTTCGTGAATGGCTTAAAATTCTATTATTCAACCCATTTTCAGCTCCTCCAAAAATGGTGATTGATTTTACATCGCCGACGTCGTTACGACAATTCAAACTCGAAATCGACGGCCGAATTCTATATGTAAATGCGCACTATCTGGCAGAGATATCGCCCTATTTTCAAGCACTATGCTTTGCCAACTTCCGAGAACACGAGGACAACAAAGTGGAACTAAAAGGAGTCGAATACGAAGACATGCTAGAAGTCCTACGGTGTGTGTGCCCTGATGAGAACTTTGAGTTCGATCAGAGGATCAGCGGTAAGTGCTTTCGTCATTATTGAACTTCAACTTTTAGCTCAAAACCTGCCTGCACTAATATACTTGTCAAGTCGACTATTACTTCAAAATCTTCGCCGAGAGCTCGAATCGATATTACAATCGAATCCACAACCTCTCCTAGACGACCCTGAGGTCTCAACAGAGAATTTGGTGATCATTTTGGGTGAGGCTATGACCGCAGAGTTCTCGGAGACTGCGATTTGTCAGATGTGTCGACGTTTGGGCAAGAGGAATAAAGAAGAGGCATTCAAGCAGGTCGAGAAGCTCTTTCCTGCTGAATTTGCCGCCAAATTGACGGAAAAACTACAAAGTTATGTAAGTCCCTGCTTTATCGACCATTTTCTGTAAAAAAAATCCATCTTTCGTACTAAAATGATGTTGCTCTTGATGGTGATGTAAAAATTTATGTAAATCTTCTGTTTTCAGTACTATCAACAGCCTCTAGTGTGTCTAAAAGGGACTCCACATAACTGGAACGACGGTGTGTACATGCGACTCTTCTTTTGATCAAAGCCGGTAACGAAAAGAAACTACGGAATCTCACACGGAATCGAGTTATTTTCCGAAACATGAACAATGTTCAAAACGCAAAAAATTGTAATTAAAAATGTAAATAAAAGAAATAGCAAGGATCGTATTGAAAAATGGATGGTATCTTACATCGCTACACTCGCAGAAACTCGAATGTTCGGAAGATTTCTCCTATTTTTCCGCAGCCTGCAATTATTCAAAGTTTTTCTCGGGCGCAACTCGCCGCAGTAAATAAATGCTAAAAAAGAATAGAATTTTTTCTGACTCGTTCGTCCTCCATGTTCATGAAAGACCGTTTCCAATTTAGCTAGCATGAACGAAAATTTACAGCAACAGAGCGATGAAGTATTTGCTGTGACTTCCGTTTTCCCAGATGTTGCTGCTTTCGATGAGAAAAAACGAATCCTAACTGTAAAGCTGGATTGTGATGTGGAACTTAAGTTTATTCTCTTGCCAAACTACCCATTTGAGTAAGTTTTTAGCTGTTTTTGTTGGGTTTTTAGACATATTTCTTACAAATAAAAGGTAAAAGAAAAAATAAAGTTCAGGTCTCCTCCAGATCATCGAATTATTGCCCCTGCTTTCATGACGGAGCTTCAGCGAAAGATCTCGGAGCGTTTTCGCCAAAATTACGAGGACTTCAAAGGGATCCCGGTGATTTGTCAGTGTATCGCTGATGCTCAGAATATTATTGACGAATATCAGAGGGAACCGGCTTCCGAAAAGGCGAAAGAGGACCATGAAATCGAAGACAAACAAGTTGAAGTTGTGAAGCGACCTAAAGCCGTCAATCTGAGTGGCCAGAGGTTCAACTGGATTAGTGGTGAATGTTTGGAAGATCGGAAAAGCGTCTTCCAAGCGCATATTACCAATGTTCATAAGAAAGAAGACGTAAGCACTTTCTCTTTTTCCTTTTGAATTTAGAGCCTCTATTTTCTAGCCATTGGAAGCGCTATCGCAATTATTAGAAAACGGAAAAATTGCTCGAGCAACGCACAACATGTACGCGTATGTGATAAAACTGCCGAATGGTATTGAGCTTTCTGACTGCGAAGATGACGGAGAAAAAGGAGCTGGGCCAAAACTACTTCACATGCTCAAGTTGATGAACATGGAGAATCAAATGATAGTAATCACACGGTGGTATGGTGGAATTCATTTGGGTCCCGATAGATTTAGGCATATTTGTAATTTGGCTAGGGAAATCCTTGTGGCTTATAGGAAAGATCACGGGGAAGAGGTGGAAAAGAAATCGAAAAAGCGGTAAATCTTATGGGATTTTGCAGGAAACCCGTTTTTATTTTGTTTTCGAGACTTTAAGGTGCTCTAAGTCTTATATTATTGTCATATATACCTTAAAATTTGGTGGGTTTTGAACTACTAAGTGTTCAAAGTCCGGCGTAAATTTTTGCTTGCGATTTCTTTCTTCATACAGCGTTTGCTAACTTATTTCAATAATTTTTTAATCTCATATCATCAGTATTCCTCTCCGGAAAACATTATTTTGTATCATCTAGTCTTTTTTCTAACGCTCTCAATAATATTTCTGTTTATTGTGAGTCCCATCCCACTCATTTGGCTGTCATTTTAACAAACTTTTATTTAGTTCCAAACTCCAATCCTTGTAACGATTGTATATTAAACTTTAATAACTTTGAAAAGCGATGTAATTAGTGTTTATTCACCCGTTGAACTTTTAATTTCTTGAATTACCTACAATTAGTACGAACATAATTAGGAAAGGGACCTCAAAATTAGAGCCTTCGCCTTATTGCCATGACTTGTTCATCATCTTGAAGTGGTCGATGTTTTCTTCGCGTTTCACGACGTCCGCTTTCAGCATGCCTTCGTCTGGTTCCACATATTTCTTGCGTAACAGACAGTTGATGTCATTTACAACCTCATTTCGCAAGGGTTTAAAGAAGGTTAAAAAGCATGTCATAGCTCCAATGGCGTACAGCTGGCCAATAATGTGCAGGACCTAAAATTTTTATAATATTTGAGGAAAAGGTTGATAAAGCCGTCGTATCTCACAAGGGAATGGTCCCAACGATCCGTGGGATCCGCAAATAAGACCTAGATATTCTGAAAGAGCAGGTAAAATTTAGTAGGAATCCGTTTTTTCTACTTGCCGAATAAGTCTGTGCGACGAGAAATATCGTCGAAAAGATCCGACCAAAAAATCGAAAGAGAGAAAAGACGAACCGAGAGGCCTTGGAAGACGTCACCAAATAGTCTAGTGGAAAAAGTTCCACGCACAAATCTTTTGGGGGAGGGAGGCCTTGGAGGTTCGAGTCCACCCGGAGCCGGACATCTCCGGATTTGAACCTACGTGTTCATTACTGTATTCTACAGGTTTTGTTTAACCTGTTTTACAAGGTTTTTTGCATCCGAAGGCGTGGCAATCACTGGTCATTACCTCTTTTTATGATGCCGCCAGGTCCGAAGTTCCAAAGAAGACAAATTTATGCAAATTTATATCTTCCGGGCAGAATTTGACAAAAATAATTTGGGCATTTGTTAAACATATGTTCACGGCCATTTTAAACCAAAAAACTCAAAATCGATTTTTTCGGAAATATTCACGCGGTCTACTACACGCTCACGCAAGGACCCAAAAATTCTCTTTTCAACTTTTCTTGCAAAATTTTATGAAAAGGTGAGATTTTGGCAACATCCTTTTTGGGAAACCGAAAAAGATCTGCAAGATCCTATACAACCTTCCAGAATCGAGTAGAAGTGTCTGGAAAATACCACTATGTCGACATCGGGCTTATCAAAGATATTGCCGAAATGTCAACTTTTCTTAAAATTTTGCAACAAACCTTGCAAAACAGGTCAATAAACAAAAAACATTTTTTATGTAACTGTAGAACACAATAATGAACACGTAGGTTCAAGCCGGACATATCCGCTCCGGGTGGACTCGAACCTACAAAGCCTCCCACCGCCAAAAGATTCATGCGTGGAACTTTTTCCACTAGACTATTTGGTGACGCCTTCGAAGGCCTTTCGGTTCGTCTTTTCTCTCTTTCGATTTTTTGGTCGGATGTTTTCGACGATATTTCTCGTCGCACAGACTTATTCGGCAAGTAGAAAAAACGGATTCCTACTAAATTTTACCTGCTCTCAGTACCTACCATGAGGTGGGCATCGATGAGCACTCGGTTTCTCTCAATTTCCTCGTATGTGTAAAAGTTGGAGTAGACGAAAATGGTGACATAGACGCCAGCAGTGGCCGTAAATAAATAAAACCCCATTGATGGCAACAAGGCTTTGATACACGAAATGTTTTCCGAGTACTGATATCTAGTTGAGAGATTCATCTCTTCCATTTTGCCCAGCTGATAACGACAATAGCAGTAGATGTAAAGCAGAACCTAGAATTGGGGTTTGTTAATTTCAGTTACAGTTGGAGACCTGATCCAGTGGCAAAAAACGTACCATTTTACATCCGGGAAGTATCAAAAATGTGGTAAAATGCTTCCCTCTCCAAGTGAAAAAAATTTTGCGAGGCAAAGAGCGAGCCCTTCAAAACGACGTTTTTTCACTTGGACAGGGAAGCATTTTGCCACATTTTTGATGCTTGCCGGATGCAAAATGGTACGTTTTTTGCCGCTGGATCAGGTCCCCCACTGTAATTTTACAGCGCTCGTCTTTATATTCATAGACAAGACGAGAGTTAAGAGACTTAAAAAAAATCTTTAATAAGAGCTTACCAAGGCCGATGCAACGGAGCAAATAAACGCTGACACAAATACCATCAGATACATAAACACGTGGAATTGATCTAGCCGGCATCCAACGTACGCTTTGTTTAAATCCATACGCTCGCTAATGAAAATATCATAAATAATGGGGCATGTCGAGAATGTGAACGCTGTCAGCAACTAAAGTAAATTCAATCCGATCATACGATGACTTTCGGAGCTTACAGTCTGCCCAGTGATCATCCATCCAATCTGCGCCCCTTTTTTCTCATAAGTCTTCCTCATTAAAGTGGCCACTGTCCGTTCCAAAGTAATTTGAACAATTAATGTTGCACAGCAACCAACTCCAACTTCTTCAATAAACCGAGGAATCAGACATATTATGTTGGCTTGATATGGCGCGAAAATTTCGGCTTCCATGACGAATGTCCAACCATAGGAGACGAATCTGGCAATGTTGATGATAGGGTAGACAACTGCGATGTTGCGCTGAAAATCATTGATTATCAGCCTGTCGATGTTGAGTTTTCCTTACCAAAATGAGTTTCAGATTTGGATGGATAAGGGAGGTTTGGCTGAGCTTTTTGTTAAAATAGAAGGACAAGATTAGCGTGTAGACCATCAGAATTTCTGTAACTATTGTGAAAAGTCGGTAGACTTCACCCGCAGTGGCCATTATTACCTGAAAAAGCGAGTAAAACACGATAAAATCAGCATTTTTTGGAGATAAATTCAACAAAAATCAATTGGAAATAAATTCAACAAAAATCTGAGGCCCGTTGCAACAAGTCTAAAATTATATTCCAAATCTTATATGACGGTAATTTGGCCACATTCTGAACTCTAATGATGCCACTCAATTCACCGAATATTCAACATCCCACCGGTGGTTCTCCGACATTCTGAACATGCTGTTATTTGGAGCAAACTCTGAGAAAGACATTCAGGAATGTTGCGCGTCACTGTGTCATCCGCCTCTGGAGTGATTAGTTGGGTATTCAGAACACTGCCGCGATTTATTATATGCATTTTGGATCTAATTTTGTTGATGTTCATCTGTGAGGGCCGCCTAAAAATATTGGGAAATAAGAAGGTTGTCGAAAGAAAGTGTTCGAGGAATTGGAGGGTGAGATTTTGATGACATAAAAAGTTATTATTTGTCTGAAAGTTTGGGTAAAACTTCCGCATATTGGCCCACTCAAGAAAACAGAATTTTTCCGAGCTGCGCCCAGCCTTTGAAGTGACAGTTTCTGTTGATGGCGACAATTTTTTTTTCAAGTAGGTATTGATGATGATGGGAGATGAAATGTTACTAATCGTAAATAAAACAACATGGGGTATTGAGACTTCCATACCAGCAGTTATTGAGTCTCCAACGGACAATTCCGTAGAATTAGCGTCTAAGCAGACGTCTAGATGAGGCAAAATTTATAATATTTTATCACCATCATATAAATATCTATTTACATTTAATTTTATCAAATTACTGCCATGTTTTACTGAGTAATGTGAAGTAGTCAACATTTTCTGTTTTCCGGACGGCATCCGCCCTCTTTTCTGCATCCTCCGGTTCTATGACCATTTTAGGGCACAAGGAGTGAAGATCGTGATAAACTTCAGCTCTGAGTGGTCGGAAGGACAACAGGAAGTAGGACATTGTCGCAATTGCATATAGTTGAGCAACCACATGGAGAATCTGAAAGAGAATTATTGGTAGAAATTTTATTTTTCAATATTTTGACTGTACAGTAGCGGACCTGATCCAGTGGCAAAAAACGTATCATTTTACATCCCGGAAGTATCAAAAATGTGGCAAAATACCTCCACTTCCAAGTGAAAGACTCCGATTTCAAAAGCGTGCCGGCACTTTTTGTGAGGGAAAGGGCGCGCCCTTCAAAACGAAGATTTTTCACCTGGAGAGGGAAGCATTTTGCCACATTTTTAATGCTTCCCTGATGCAAAAAGGTACGTTTTTCGTAACTGAATCCGGCCCTCTACTGTACTATTCTTCTGATGCTGTAATTCGCTCGTCTTCACTTACCTGTATATACGCTTCGACCACCATTCGATGCGCTCTCATCTCTTCATCTTTCCAATATCGCAAGTATACCACTATTGTCACGTATACTCCAAATGACGCAGTGATTACATAGAATAGCATTGATGGCAATAAAGCCTTGATGGACTCGATGTTCTCTGTGTATTGATATCTGGTCGACAATTTCATCTCCCGCATCTGCACTAATTGCCTCTTACAGTAGAGATAGACGAGTGTGAGGGTCTAGAAAAGGAAAGGAAGTGGCAACAATTGGATTATAAAAATATTAAAGTGCTATGTTGAAAGATTATATCTTGAGAGAGCTAATTTTAAAGGGCCGTTCTGTGAACTCAAATACGTACTCGACGTATACTTTGTTCGTAGTAATAAAAAAGAATTTCGACATTTCAACACAACTCTCGTTGAACAGTGCCCTCTCTGTCTGGCAATAAACTTACCACGAACGACATTACCGAACAGCCAAACGCACAAACGAAGATCATCAGATACATGAACACATGGAATTGATCGAGTCGACAGCCAATGTACTTTTTCCGTAAATCAAACGCGCCACCGATGAAAATATCGTACACTATGGGTGCTATCGAGAATAGGACTGCTGACATAAACTGAAATTGAAAAAAAACATTATAATATAACACACTACGTTCACTTTATGGTATTTTTGTTGAAAAACGCTGCGTTTTTGGACATCTCTACCCGTTTGCCTAACAAGGGCTCGGCAAAACCTCGTCTTCTGGTTCTATCTTGAAACACATACCATTCGAAACAGCGAAGGCCAACGAAGACGTTCAAAACATGTAAGATGTTTTCAGACTCAATTTTTACGTACTTTCCGTTAGCGGGATCCCTAGTAAAAACTTGAAAGCCTTCGAAAGTTTCAACCACCCAAGATGAATAATAGCAGCTAATAAAAGTCGCTTCTAGACCAGTGTTTTACGTTCTTTCAAATGGTATACAATATATATATGTTTCAAGAAAAAAAACAGGCAACGAGTTTTTCCCTAGCCTTTGTAAGTTTCGGCAAACGGATTAGAAATCGTGTCTTGAAGGAAAAAACCCCAGTTGTGTCAAGTTTTACCTGTCAAGTCCAGCTTGAGATCGACCTCTTCTGTTAGTGCCGTTTGGAAAAGTCTCCAGAAATTTTGAAATTTGAAATTGCTTGCAACATTCTTCATTTGATCTCAAAAGTTTCCGATTGCCCTACCGTAAATCCACACTGCAGTGGCGACCGAAAAACAGGATCTCTAAACTTGTATTTATGCCTTTTTGCACCATTAATTGCCTCAAGCGCATTCCCAAAAGTCCCATTACCTCATTGACAGTATGCAAACACTTTGTTCCGGTTTTATTTAATTGCCTACTCTTATGTGAAAGATGTAGTAAACACACGTTTTCGTAAAAATAACTCACCGTTTGGCCCGTTATCATCCAGCCAAGTTTAACACCGTGACGCTCATAAGTTTTTCGTTTTAATGTGGCAATTGTCCTTTCAATTGTGATCTGAGAAATCAACGTTGCACAACATCCGAGGCCGACTTCCTCAACGAAACGAGGCAACAGGCAGATGACATTGGCCTGGATGGGTGGTAATAATTCCTTGTCCATGATGATTGCCCAGCCATATGAAATAAACCTGGCGATGTTAATGATCGGGAAGATGATGCCGATATTACGCTAAAAATTAAAGTTAGTTGGCCATGAAAATTATGGAAATAGAAGTAAAAATAAGTTTTGCCAGCTCACCAAGATTATCTTGAGGTTTGGATGAATCAATGAGGTTTGGTTGAGCTTCCTGTTGAAATAGAATGACAAAAAGAGGACGTACAACATGAGCACTTGCGTGATCACCGTAAAAGTATGTACAACCGTTTCAGCATCTACCATGCTGAAAAAAACTTTATTACTTTCCCTGCTTCTCATCGTTATGTGGCAAGGCACAATTGAGGCGGTGGATGAACATATGATATTGATTTAAAATTGCCAAAAAACGAGAAAGTTAACGCCTAAGTTCTAGGACCCAACACAAGTAAAAGAATTTGTAAAAACTCTGTCGAATTGCGACTTCCGGCACAACCTTTTCGTAAATTAAACATTTAATTACATGTACCAATCGAATGTAACAAGTCTGCCTAATTCGCCATTAAAGAACAGTCAAGCAAATAAAGTCTGATTCAAAATAGGATGGTCAAAACAAGGTATTTAAATGCTCATTAAGTTTCTATTGAACGCGGAAATTGAAAGAGATGACTTTTTGAAAACATCGAAGGCGTGCGTGATGGACCCGGCGGAGGTTTTTGAAACATGTCGTTCTCTAATGTCCAAAAAAAGAACTGAAGGTAATTGGAGGTGGTGTAAACAAGCTTGGAACCGTAAGACTACAAAACTTGTCGAATGCAGCAAAAGTTAGTTGAATATAAAAGCATTAATACTCTCGAAAACAGCAATAAACTGAACTTTTTGTGGGCGTGAAAATGAGTTCATACGCAGAATATAACAGGAAAAGATTACTAATTGTAAGGGTAGCCTAGGATAACTGTGATCTATAGAGCGAGAATTTGCCGGCTTGGGACTTATAATATCCAACCAAACAATTTTTTCACCGACATCGCGTGTAAAAATTGGAGCTATTGAAAAAAGTATTATCGCTGGGGGCAAAATTGTGGTCGCAGCGACAAAGGAATAGTACCAAACTGCACAGGGGAATTTGACCGAACTCTATGGCTCGAGTTCGAGTCGTGTGTATAATTATCTAAAGATCAGGGAAATTCCTTTTCCCTCGAAATTAGCAAATTTCGTGTGAACGACTTGATTATTTGTGCAAATGGTGTATCCCATGCACAAAACAGCTCGTCATCACTGCTCGCAAGAATATAAAAAAATTTTCCGACTAGACTGAGCGCTTTTAATCACTGTTGTCACACACCGAATTTTTGGAAAATAAGACCAAAATCTACATGCACCCAAGTAAGAAAATCTTGGTTCTTAATCTGTGCATCTATAATCTATGATGTTGCTTAATTAAACAGCGAACCCAAGAACTAATAATATAAAAATACTTTGTCTTTGCGAGATAAATTAGATTGCAGTATCTGTGAATGTCGGTGTATTAACATGAGTTGAGATACAAAGACTGGAGTGGACCGCCCACGGAGCTGCAATTTCCGTGTTCATCTGGTACGAACGGCCTTTGACGACCTCTAAAAGACGGAAGTTTCTCGGTAAGCTCGCAATAATAATTGTGTGAAATTTACGTGATAAGAAAATCTGGAAAAAATCTGGGGGATATACGTCCCGCTTCTGACATACGGGGTTCCAAATATTGAGTTTCTTATTTACTCGACTGGTGACTTATCGTATCTTCTAAAACGTATGTCAACGGCTACAATCCCAAGAGTAAACCTCAAGATTCACAAAATGTCCTCAGTTATTTGAGAATCACAAGATTCTCTGATTATTTTTGTTTCTCAGAAGGTGTCCAAGTAGCGGTTTTCCTCAGGGGACAAGCAACCCCCATTGTTTTTTTCCAGAACAAGCGTCATCTTCCAAAGTCCAAGGCAATAAGAGAAAGACAGACCTTGTAAAATTAGAAACGAATTGTAATTTTACAATGTCTGTAAACTTTACCTAGCCTACAAACTATGCTAAGTTAAGCTTTCTTTTTCCATAAACGAAAACAAAAAGCCGATGAAAAATTACACTTTACCTTAACCTGCAAAATGCCCTGTTTTTAAATATCTACGGTTACAAGTGTGTAAACTACAAATGTAAAGTGGAATTGTGATGGTAAATTGCCCTCAAAAGGTCTTATATGCGATGGACCTACAGCGGGCGACCTGATCCAATGGCAAAAAACATATCATATTGCATCAGAGAAGGATCAAAAATGTGGCAAAATGTTTCCATATCCAAGTGAAAAAACATCGTTTTTGAAGGGCGCGCCATTTCCCTCACGAAAAGAGCGGGCGCGCTTTTGCAATTGGAGTTTTTTTCACTTGGAGAAGGAAGCATTTTGCCACATTTTTTATACCTCCCGGATGCAAAATGGGACGCTTTTTGTCACTGGATCAGGTCCCTCACTGTAACTGTACTGGTTAATCAACGGTTAAAATATAAGATTGTTCGGTTACACATTACAAAAAATTTGTTGTAATAAAGAAACAAACGTATCGCAAGAATGTGCGTGTTTGTGGAGGGCTAACAAAGTGTGCAGTCCAACATCCAGGGACAAGTTTACAGTTTAAATTTGAGGCTAACGAAACTCGGGAGGTTAAAAATACTGCTGCACTTACATTAAACTGTTTATGCAAGTGACTAACTCCAAAACTAATTTAAAATTAATGGAACGCAAGTACGAGTTAGCAGAATGTATAAATTGTTTACATTACCAACGAGAATTTTTGAAACAGTAATTGGTTTTCCGCCTTCTGAGTCAATTTCATTATGAAAAAACGTCTCTTCTTCAGCTTTTTCTCCAAAAGAGGTTTTCCGGCATTTCTCATTCTTTGCTTGATCCAGAGCGGTCGCTCAGAAAAACTTTGGCATAACTTCCAAATGTGCAAAAAGTACTCAGACCCGGAACAACTTTCCAGGGCTTATCCAAATCCATTGGCTGCTCTCTTTGCCGTGGAACGCGAGCAACGTCTTCGGGAAATGCAGGAACTCCTTTCCGTGGCCATACAATCGTCCAAGTACATTGAGGAAATTCCTGTCACCCCCACAGCAGACGAGCCATGGACTCTGGCCGTTTTGAAGATTCAATATCTCCGCAGAGAACTCAAGGAAGTTGGATATTTGTACATCTACAAGTACGATGATTATCCATCCAAAATCCGGGCCAAATTTGACGAGTATTTTGAGCGGTTGGACAAAGTTGGAACTCATCTGGCGGGGATTGTGGACTACCATTGGGTGCTGTTCAACTCGCTGATTAAGTCCTGCAACAGTGTCATTGAAATGCGTCCACGCTCTTCACTTCCAAGAGAGGATGACGATGAAATCATCCATCTGCGCTCCGAGATCTCATGGCTTGTAGTAAGATTGCTGATAAATAATAGATGACTTCTCAGTCATTATTTGGTATACAGAGTATAAAAAAAGAGTATAACCGTTTTTATTTTTAGGTCGAACGCCGAGCCTGTGGTCTTATCACCAGTCCTTGGCTGAAACAACCCGAGACCTTTGTTCGAGCCATCGCGTTGCAGTTTTTCCAAAACTTTAAAAGATCTGTGAACCGGATTATGGAACTGAGAAGACGTCAACTTCACAATGCCCTCAACTTTGAAGCGGCTTGAATTTTTAAGATATATGTACATATTGAAAAGAATAAACTTATTGCATTTATGGTTTTCCTTTAATTAAATTTTTGGGTTTAATTTTTGCTTGGAGAAGGAACAATCTCAATTCGACTGACGTTTTTGCGCTTTGAAAAGCAAGTTTGAAAAATGCAGGTAAATAGCCTTTGAGACCCTCAACTTTATAGCTCTCCAAAAATATGTCGGTAATTCAATTTTTATACAGAAAATGTTAAAATTAAAAATAGAATTGAACCGTTGGCTCGAATCTTGCACATTGATGCTCAGGAGCGTCATCGAACATTTCGATCCGGCCACACTTCAGACATCGAACCTTTCTTGCCTTCTCGGCACTTTTTGCGGCATACCAATCAATACGAGCCTCATCGAAGGTCCCATCGACACTTGGAATTCTCATCTTCTTGGGTGAGCGGACTTGGATGTAAGCGGGGATGTCGCGGCGATTGGTCCTCCATATGGCTTCACATTCAATTTCATGGTCAAGCAGAGGCTCGGATTCAATTCTCTCACCGCAAACAAAACAAATTCTGCCTTGTGATGGGATTGGAGGAAGTTCGCTAGGGACTGAAAAGGAGAACATGGAGGTTAGGGCAAATAGATGTCAAGAGCTTCAATTTATGTAAAAAAACTGATCTCAAGGTAAGACCAGCTGATTTTTTTATGTTTTGAAAAATTATTTCGCCTTGGACTAGTTTCCATTGCCAAAATTTTTTGATCCAGGCTTTCTAAGAACTGGTATGCATCTTATGGCCTGCAGATTTTGCGAAAAAAATTTCTAGTTTCATCTTTGCATTCAAATTTTGGAACCATTAAAAGAAGGCCAAGTCTCTAAGTTTACCTTCGTTTTTCCTTCTCGACTTGATAGTCATTGTGGAGGGTCTTTCGTCATTCGTAGCGTTTCGTAACTTGGCAGGCGCCGATGCTGTGTTTCCCACGCTTTTACTCCGTCGTTTCGCTGGTGGAACTCTTTTGTTTTTGTTGTTCAGCTTTGTGGTCTGTTCCTTCAACTGGAATACGGTCAAATTTTAAGTTTTAAAAAAATAAAAATTGCAATAAAAATAAAAATTATGGCGCCTGGAAACTCACAATGGCCATTCTGTACGGATTCTGTTTGCACTGAGGTTGATGGACGCCGATCGAAAATCTGGAGAACAGCCGGTCACAGAACGGGCAGGGCACCAAATGGGGCGGCATGATTTCGTGCATTGCTATGGAGATCGCGGAGAACACGTCTAAAAGTGTTGTTATTAGATATTCATGGGATCGTCTTCGGACAAAAGACCCAGTTACATTTGAATTTGGGATGAGGCCGACCGTCGAGAAATATGGTAATGAAATCGGGGACATGTGAGTGCACTGCGGGCGGATTTTTGAAAGATTTTAGGGGTGTGACCTGTGACCGTAGCGTGGATTTTTTAAAACATTAAATCTAAGGGACTTCCCTCGATATGGATTGGAATATTTTTTGAAACTGTCCGATGACAAAGACGACAGTTTCAATGTTTAGAAACAAAAATGATTTAAAATTCTGAGGTGATGCCAGAAGGGTTTCTAAGAAGCTCGACAATTAAAGATTACAATATTCTAGTCACGTGGAAAAAATATGTAGGGGTGTGCTCAAAGTGGGGACGCATGGATTTTTAGAAACCAAGGTATATAGAGAATTCAAAATTCTAATTTAACGAGCAGTATTTCAGGGTAACCTATACTATTGGAATCTGTCAAAACTTGGGGTGATACAGTAGTATCACTCTGTCGGAAAAATAACTCGGACTAGTCGCAATAAAATGTTCTTCCTTGTCGCAAAATTTGAGCAATCGTCGGCCACACCTTCAGCTGTCGCAAGGCGATGAAGGGCGATTCCAAAGCAAGCCCAAATTATTTTCCCGACAGGCCGATATTTTTGTTCCCAGCATGAAAACATATGCCAATTTTTAAGAGAGTAAAATTATCGCGCTGTGAGCGTCTACCTTCCAAAATATCCCTCTATTTCCACCCGAACTTCCTCAACTTAACTCTCTTTTAAATACCCAACCCTGACGACAAAATATCCCCCTTTTGACCAACTCCTATGATTTACAAGATAAACAATGGATGCTTGCATGTGCCATTGCAAGTTTTATTGTCTTCTCAGGATTTTTTTTTTCGTTTTGAAACGCAATGACACTGCCAGGTGCGTTTCAGCATTGAGTGGATTTTAAATGGACAGTCAAAAGGGGCGATGCCTTGACAAAACAAGAGGGGAGCACAGAACAAAGGTTCAATTTCTGGACCGTTGAGGTCATTCTTGAGGCACTCCGAAATTTAGGACAAACTGAAGTACCTTTTGAAATATCCCTACAATTATGGTTATAAATTTTGCGCCCAAACTGGCGCCCTCATTCAGAGACAACTACCAAAAATTCTATCCGAACTAAACGTGCATTGGGAGTGACCACGACCAACACGGATTATTAGTAATTACACCAGAAAGAGAGTTATTTAATCCTTTGGGCAATGGCCAAATTGCGGTTATTTGGGCATTCTAGCACCTCAGGGTATAAATGCTTCTAATCGGGCCAAAGTTCAGCCCCAAAAGACATTGCAACAGAGCAGGCCAAAATTGCAAAGGACAGAACAGTCATTTGTCACTCATAGGAAGGAATTCAGTACTAGCGACCTTCATTCCAGTTATTAAAAATGCATAAACAGTCTAAGAGGACACAACAAAAAAATAAAAATTAATAGAAGATGAGTTCCAAAGCGCAACTTACATTATTCACGAAGTTTCATTGAAAAGGAGCTGCAAGTTCTGGAAAAAAGCATAGAGAAGGGAAAGTGAGCAGCTCTAGAGAATATTCAAGAAACAGGGGAAAGGCGCAATCTATGCCATGGTAACCAATAAGGGTGTAAATTGAAAGGCTTCACGTAAAGGCGTGTGGTTTCTTTTCATCCAGAAGCCTTATAAAAGATGATAAACATTCATTGGCACATGTGATTGTTGAGGCGTGAAGATTAGAGAGAAAAGCAAGGAAAACTTATGGCTAGCGAAGAAATATGGCTGTCCACAGAATTCAAACTGATCTTAAAACGGCCAGGCATCTGATAGGTTGGATCTGCCAAGTATATTCTCAAAACTTCAACAATAGAGTTTTATGTATTGGTTTAACAAATTTGAAAAGAACACAGCGATTATCGCAGACTTCTTTCCAATTGTCAGGCCTCCTAAAAACGTACGACATCAATTCCACAACGAAGAACGTACAAACTCAACTTGCACTTGTAAACTTTAGTCTTTTCCAAAGTTTATCTTTTTTTCTTGGATGTTTATTTTCGGTCAGCTGAATTGTCAACGCTCCTTCATAGTTCCTATTCTAATTCGAATGTTTTTGATGATAAAGCGGAGAGAAGCGACAGACAAAAAAGCGGACGGATATAAACAAAAAGCAGCCCAAATGACTGATCACTTCCTTTGACGAATCTCATTTGATTGGGGTCGAGTAATCTGGATCGAATGAACTGTGCCTAGACTATATATCTGGCTAAAGAGAACTTCTTTAACTTTTCCTTACATCTCCAACTCGGGTTACTCACGTCCACATACGTTTCTTCTATTTACTCGTTTCTCTGAACCCACTTATCCCTATCCTCGCAAACTCAATTTTCGTTGCAGAAATTTGAATTTTTTAGCCAACTTCCGAGTGCCACTGAAACGTTGAAGAACAGGATTACTGGAAAACTGCAGAGCCGGAGAAAGCTCGTCTTCCTTTCAACAAACGCTATATAAGCCTTCCGAGCCTGACTTTTAGTCATTGTTGGCCGACATGAGTTTCTCGTTGGAATACAGTGTCTTCTTATTCGTGTTGGTCGCTGTTACAGTTGTCAATGGATGCCGCTTGGACCCCAATTTGCTGGTGGAGAATTATGAAAGTAAGGCCTTAGATTTTCAATCGTTTTGCATAAAGGAATGGTGGACTTTTGAGTTTTGTAAGTGTTCTAGGATGCTCAGGTTTTAAGAAGCTTAGAAAACCGTAGTAAAAGCTGTGATCTTCAACGCTTGAATTTGAGCTCCTCAACAATTCCGGATGTATTTTTCTAACATGGCTCATTTCCAGGTCACTTGGAGAACGCGAGTCTTGAACTGAACGTTCCGGAATTCTACCAACAACTCACTTCGGCATCAGTTGAATTCAACACCTCAACAGATCCCACCGAACTTGGTGAAGTCATGTTTAACAACTGGTACACATTTGAGAAGGTTTACCGAAGCGCTTTGGACAAAGGAGGCCTTCCCAGTAACTTGATCGACTTTGCAGTTACGGTAGGTGTACCTTGAAGGCCCCCCGTTAATCTTGTTTTGTCATAGTTTCGATAGAATTGGATGAGTATCAAACTCAATCAACAGATGAGCGATTTGATTACTGTGTCGCGTTGATTAACTCAATCTTTTTTTTGCAGGAGGCTCGTCTGTATTGCCTGGTACGTTCAGCACAAGCGCAAGACAAGATCGATGCGAAGCACAAGGACCTCTCAATAAATTACAAGATCTTGTCCGAGGGCGAAAAGGCGATCGTCGAAAGAGCTCTGCCTAATGCCGCGGAAATGGTCACATCTCCGGAGAATTGGAGAAAATGACAAGACTTGGATATACAGAATTAAAAATTTTTAATGACATTAGAAGTACAAATGGGTCGTTTCAAACAGAAATTACACGGTTAAATATACAGAATTCTAGTTGTCAGTCAGCTTATTCCCGTTTATTCCGAGTATATAACAATTTATACTAATAAATCATATTCGAATATCTCTTTACTTGCAAATTTTTACAGTATAGTCCAAGAGTCTCTGAAATCATAATGCAGCTTCGAAAGCTTTGTATTCGATGGTCTGCTGATTACAGATGGCATGTTACACACAGCACCGATCATCAAATGAATACCACGCAAACCAATATGACTCAAAGCACTTTTTTATCAATTTAAAATTCTTTTTCAACACATTCGAATGGATATAAAGCACAAGATGGATATAATGATAAATTAAAGCAAGGTCTGCTCAAGCATGATCTCCTCGTAACCGGCCGGCACTTGACATGTTGTGTTGCGGAACTTAACATCAAGAATGGCGTTGTCCGCAACAAAGAACAATGGAAAAACTTGCCCACGGACGTTCGTTATTGAGAAGGGAATAGGCGTGTTGTTTCGGTAGAATTTCAGTTCAACGTGATCAAAAGTAACCGTCTGAAAAATGGAGCGTTTTTTATGAGAAATATATGTATACTCTGTTTTGAATTAATTATAAAAAAGATGTTTTTATTGCTCTGTAGATCAGCCTAACTAATTGTAAGACTTACAACTGAGTCTCCTTCATTCAAGGGGATGTCCGTTTTCCCAACAAGTTCTCCATTTGCCCATAATTCGCCTGTATTCCTCAAAGTCCAGGCAAATTCATCAACGGGTACATGCCCCAGTTCCACCGATCTGTGGCCAAGGCCAATGCCCCAGGTACCTGTAAAGCAAAAAAGTATTTTTTTGGCTATAGCAAAAGTTAAGAGCCCCAAAAAAGGGTTAGGTCTTGGCCGGGTTCGAACCGGCGGCCTTCTCCGTGTGAAGGAGACGTGATAACCACTACACTACAAGACCACGCCCCTCGCTCTTTCCTTATTCCATGTGGACTGACCGGATTGTGTAATATCCACTTGGAAGTAGGCCTTGTTTTGGACAATGGGAGCTGTGGCGAGGGAAGCGCCGGTTCCACAAATCCTCGAGCCATTTTTTAGCAGTACCACATCTGGTCCTGAAATTGAGTTTTTGTAAAAACGGCTTTTATTGTGTCTTCAACATATAAGCTTCTTTATCTTCTACATGTTGTGTTCTAAATCCAAAAAACAAAATGACAAATCTCACCCATGTGGCTGGTACTCAGCTTAATTGCCCTGGCATCCTCGCGTAACTGCGCATACGACGGGGTTGCTGTGAAACTGGGACCCTGCACACATTCGAGACACTGTCGAAATGGGAAAAACATAAATATTGATATAGTAGAGGGCTCCAAGAATGCTTCCCGTTTTCTTCGCGGTTGTCGGCTTTTGTTTTGAATGGGCCTGAAAGAGATGGCATTTCTGTGAGTTCATACTCAGTAAACCGCGAACAACGATGACGTCGGCTGAAGTGCGTAATAGGAGACGGGTCGGAGAAACAAAAAACAAAATTATTGACATTATCATTGCAAACTTCGATCAAAAAGTTATTGTTCTTAGAAAAAATTGCAATCTCATGTGCAAGTCCAGCGTTTCTTCGCATAATAGAGAGGGCAAAAAAATCTAAAAATTTTGGGAAATTTTTTTCTAAAAGGGTCATCGCAATTTTTATGAGATCTAAACATCGCCTATATATCCTTAAAGAATTTAAAAAAGTTTTTTCCAAGTTTCAACCAAGTTTTTATATACCTTCCTAAGCCCATTGCCTTATTTTTTCATGTCCGAAGATATTACAAAGCCTTCTCCTCTCCACACTATTATCATCCCAAACAAATCTACGCACCTCCAACGTCATACCGACGTAGTCATGTATCATATTCACGAGGACTCCCGAACGAACGAAATGAAAATAATATTTGGAGAAAAAATCCATTCCCTCTGGCGAATTCTCCTTCCAAAAAGGGAGACAACGGCACTTTTACCCCCGAATGGCCACATGCCCTCGTCTTTTTTTATGCGGCCCATTTTTTTTTGTCTTTCGCTGAAAATGGAAATTTTGGGAAACAAATTTCCAATACTTTTTGGAAGGACACTTGATAAAGCAAGACTAATTGACAAACCTTGGGAAAATTTACAAGTTTTTGATTGAAAAATGACTTTTTTTGATTTTTAAATATAAAATAAATAAAAATAATAACAGATAAAAATAACAGATATAAAGAATGATATAGAAAATATCCGAGATGGCGAGAAAACGATGATATTGGGTTACAAGAAATGGAAAAAGAAGAAAGTTTCAAGAACATTGGCCGCGATAAAAATCGTAAACAACAAGGAAAAAGTTTGCGGAAAACACGCGGGTTGAAGAAATTCGTGGGCGATAAACAATGAACTAAAGACTAAAGCATAGTGCATAGTTGATGAACGAAAGAAGAAAAATAAAATTGGCTCTGAATTTGTAAATTACGCAGTTTCAGCTTGTTATCCAAAAGAGAGGCCGAAATTTTTAAATTCTTTCCAAAATTAGTCAGAGTTTCCACAAATTACAGCCTTATCAAAAATTGGTCCTCCGGTTACTGTCCCCATCAAACTCACTCTCACTATAACAACAAAAACCATCGTTACTATAAATACAAAATCGCATTATGTCTAAAAACGGAATTGATGTCGCCATAAGTCTTTTGCAGCGTCAAATCAACAAGCCAGGAATAAATTTGAAGGTCGCTATGGCAACTGTACACGGGGATTTTTCTCGTTTATGCAGTTTGTTTCATATGTTTTCACGGGATTGGCCGAGGTCAAAGCCTGTGGACATGACAAGGTCTTTCTGGAGTATCAGCAATTTTTGACTCCTAGGTTACATAGATAAATTAAAATTTATTTTTTTTTTTAATTTTGTACTGCTTCATAGAAAATTGTAATTTTTTGTCAAAAAGTCAGAATTTTAATAATTTGCTATGAATTTCATTTTTTTATTTTTAAAGAAAAGTTTTATGTACTTTTAAAAAGCCCAAGAGATTTTTCAACTAAAATTCCAAAAATTCCACAATTTCTATGCAGCAAAAATGAAAATTCAACGGATTCCATCGATGAATTTTCATGCATGAACACGCTGAAATTGATACAAGTTTTTTTCGTTTGCTCTTTTCGTTTTCCGCCTATATTCAGAGCGCGCGTTTTGAATCTCGTTTTTTCAACGCTCGAACCGCACCTGCCAAGAATTTCCGAATGGCAGTTCAGGGTAAATCTGCCTTATAGAGATGGGGGTTTCTCGCATTTCCGGTGGCTTTGGAAAGGGGGGAGAGAGAAAATGAAAATGGGAAGAATGAGATGTCGTCAATCTTTTCTGGGGTTGGCTCTTGGGTTGTTGATCTGAATGGGAGGGGATTGAAGATCAAAAATGGAAAGATTTCCTCTTTAAAATTCTTAAAAAACGAATTTTTTAGCAGTACATGCAAGGGGCAGCCAAAATATTAAATGATTTTTGTTGACATGAGATTATGGAAAACGAGGAGAGAGTGTCAGACAAAAAATTTGTTTGACTGTACCTTTGTCTATTTTACCAAAAAAAAATATTTTTTAAAGCAAGAGGATCTGTTGTGGGGCAAAAATTCATTTTTTATTAAATTGAAGAATGGCGGTCAGAGAAAAATCCATTTTTTCTATTTACAAGGGAAGTACCCCAAGTGCGACGCTCAGATTTTCTTTAAATTTTGCACACACGTCGGGTATGGACTAAATATCAATTCCTGAAAGTTTTAGCTCGCGCTTTGCGGGCGCCGCCGAGATATTGAACGGGTTTTGCCGCCGAGAGAGCACACTAAACGTGTAGAGCGGTCAGAGAGGAAAACGCTTTTTGGCCATAACTTTGGCAGTTTCGTGCGGAAAAATTTGATTTTTTGTGGAAACATTACCCTTTACGATAGAAATGGGCATGAAAATTTTGGTGCCGAAATTCGGCAAAAAGTGTAAAATTTTCGCCCACTTTCGATCTAAAAATCCCGGTTGTTTCTGCAAAGCGCGAGCTAGGATTCTCGCATATATCTTAGAAAAAATTGTTCTAAATTTGTGCCAAGTTTCATCAAAATCTGAGCGTCGCACTTGGGGTACTTCCCCTGTTAGTTACAGTAGAGCTGTTGTAATAAACTTCCGTACAATAAAACCTGTCTATGAAGAACAAGCTTTGCGGCTTCGAGAGGCAGTTGTTGGCCAAACTGGACTTGCATACAAGAAATCACTTCTTTGACAAATAATTTTTTGCCCTCTGGCGGTTTATTGTACAGAAGCTGGACTGACCGTCGGAAAATTCAATTTTACTGGTAAAAGGAATCAAAAAAAGTGTCTCCACTTTAAAATCTCAGTGGTTTCAAAATTTCAATCACCTTCAAATCTCATCAAAATCTCAGCGTTCCTCAAACCACCTTACTTCAGAAGCCGATTACTTTTTGATATCATGATTAAGATTGCTTCCTACATTCGTCAAATTTTCCAAAAGGTATCCCCCAAAATTCGCGTTACCCAGCGCCCTTTGATCGTATTGTTTTCACCTTCGTTTGCGTGTTTATCCCCTCCGCTGTCTTCCAAACGTCTTTTTTTCGTCAATCGCGGCGGAAATCCACCGGTTTTTACTTGTTTTTTTACGAATTGTTGTAATGTTTCACCTAAGCGACGGATATGATGACTTTCGCTTTTTTAGAGTTTATCGCTCGATCAGCGTTTGTAAGGATATTTACTCCTTATAGCATAAAATTTACTTATTTTACAATGATTCTTTCGAAGCGAAAAGCTTATTTTTTCGAATGAAAATTGGTTATAAATTTGATTGCATCACTATTTTTTAGCAACACGTTGCAACAATAATTATGGTTATTATGGTTCTGCACGTCCTCTGTCTTTCTTCTTATCATGATTGTGCTAATTTGATTGTTTGGGGTTTTGCGTAAAGGGCGAAAGCACAATTAGATCTCGCAGTTATTTGGAGAAACATTTGTTGTTTTTGCTGTGATTAGATTAATTGGGGGTACTTGAGGCAGGTTCCGAACATTTTTGGGCGAGCGTTGGGAGCCTTGGAGTTTTAAGAAGTACGGGAAATTATTTTTTTTTGCGTTAAATTGAGATGCTTACAATTAGGCTCTGTTCTAAAATTTTTTTGCGGAGTATAGATGTCTAACTTGATGAATTAGCACAATGGATGACAAATTTTTTATTTCAACATTCTCAAAGATATGGCCAAAAAATTTATATTATGGCGACCTCTCACCTTTCCATGTTCTTATGACCGTAAAGATCATTGAATTCCGTTTTCTGAAATTAATTTTTTCAGGTATTATAAAGGCCTCTTCTTCCAAATTAAAAAACTTTTGGGAGATCGTATCATGGACATTTCCAAAATCAAAACGCAAGGTGTATTCTTGCTTTAGGCAACTTTTTGCTTCAAAATTTATTGTGGAAATTTCTTCAGTTGATTTTTTACCTCGAAAAGTTGTTTGCAACTTTCCGCAACACTTTTTTCCATGACAATTTTCTTCTCTGCCACACCCAAACCGCTGGGCCAGATAACAAGTTTTACCCTCCCCTCTCCCACAAACGCATTTAATTTCTGCTCGAATTAGCTTACCAATTTCGCAAACGAAATTCAGGAGTTATTGAGGCAACGAGTTAACCTTCCCTTCTTCCCCTTGTTCAGCCCGTTTAAATCGACGAACTTTGCGCGGCGGAAATGACTCTTGTTCATTATTTTTCCATTTTTTAAAGAACAACAAACAAAATCGTGGAATTTTTAAAATTTTGCGATTTATTGGAGGTCAAAGTTAAGGGAAGTTTTTGGTGGTAAAAACGGGTAGGAGCATAGTGAATTTATTGTAAAATTTAGAAGGTTTTTAGAAGATTGCTGCCTGAGGAAGCGGGCTATCAGTTGTGAGTCACTGAAGGGAGTTTGAGGTTGATTATGCGAAGAAAAGGGAATAAAAACTAAAGAAGATTAGGCGGCGGTTTGAACGGAATAAAGGCGAAATTAAAAATTTAACTGCTCAAAATGGAGAGTGCAAGTTTTAGGAATATCTGTCGCAACTGAAACGCCTTGTACTTGCTTAACGCAGACGTCTTTTTGCACTGCTCTTTTATCACTCATTCTATTGAAATTGCAAGGAGTTTTACTGTGCACAAGCACTGTGATAGCCTTTTTTTGCTGTATCAATATGTCTGGAAAATAATGTGGATCCGATGCTCCTTGGAATTTCCCATCATCGTCTAGCCGAAGCTTGCGATTTTCGTGCTCGACTGCGTCGAGTCTTGACATTTCGCTGCGAAAAAACCACATTATTTTCCC